CCCCCCAGCGACGTCAACAGAAGTTCCACGCCTTTGGTGCTATTCACCTTCAGTTTTGAGGTGTCAATCCTCATAACACGTTTGACAGCACTACCTTCGCAAAGCATGGCAGCTCTTGGTGCGAGCTGAGCTAGATGTTCTTGGGGACAGAGCCCTGCCAGGAATTACATTTTTTTCGAGTATTCATTCACATCTGTTTCCCCCGGTCTAAACACCGGAATCATGTTCCATGCAAGGTGCGACAACGAAGATGGTGTTCCAGATTGGCCACCTGCGGAAGTCATCCCTTCAGCAGCTCCTTCTGAACTCATCCTGGATCAGCAGCTTCCAGTAAGAACCCTTTGCTACGTCCTCACTGGCTGCGGTAGCTCCGCTACCAATGTGGTTGCCCACAAAGGTAGCAGAACCCCCAACCGAATCACCTGGGGACCTCCGGATCCGTTTCTCCGAGCACCAAGTTTTCTATGGCTGGCCACAGCACGAAAGTCGAAAGTCTCAATCGGGCCTACCAAAGCCCTCAACCGGGCTACCCTGAGCCGCACTCTGGAGGATTCATAGATGTTTGGACCGGACTGGATATTCATGCCCCTGACAACGCATTGCCCTAGAATGTTCCAAGGTGGACGCCAATGAAGGATCAAGAGTTGGCACAAAAATCACTATATATATATGTATATGTATATATATATATGTATATGTATATATATATTACGGTAACTACATTTAAATATACGGACATTTAAATATACGAACAGGTATTTCAGACTACCTCCGGGAAGGTTTTCCTTGGCCTGCCCCGCCATTTAAACATACGGAATCCAAGTCATTTAAACATACGACAGCTACATTTAAATATACGAGCTCGTATTTCATACTACCCCCGCGGCCTCGCGGTCTGGCCCGCCCTCCACATATTTAAATGTTGTTACCGTATATATATAATTATATATATATAGCCATTGTCACACCATCGTGCTATACCCAGCTCCGAGAATCTTTGAAAGCTCCCGGGGACTCCTCGACTCCGCAAAACTCAGCACGTCCAGCCCATCGGTAGTGCCATGTCCAAGCTCCTGGTGGAAACCCAGGGAGTTGATGAGACAATAATAATAATAGAGAATTGATGGGGATATAGTTGGGATATCTTATTTTATATAATTATATGTACAAGCGTACACATACAAATCTTGAATATCTATATGTCTATATCTATATATATATATATATATATATTATATAATATATATATAGATATATATCATTGATATAATGAGCATAACCATTTGATGCGGGGCGATTGGATCCGCACCTCGCTCTCTTTCTCCATCTGAAGAGTGCAGTCGTGCGAGCTATATCGATGTCTAATTTTCATGTGCACAGTCAAACGTGAAAAGTCAAACGTGAAAAGTCATACATGACGGTGAACTGGTAGCAGCGATGGCTTCCGAGGCACCTAGATCACCTAGATTTTGGAGGCCTGGATTCTTCAAACAGGGATAGAACTGGAACATAAGCAGGGAATGACGGGCACATGTCCACAGAACAGCGCAAGATGCAACACAAATAGATTGAGCAGAGATGGTGCCATGTTCATGTTTCCTTGAAGACTGGTCAAACACGCAGTCTCCCTCCCAGTCTTGTTGTGTGATTGGTGAAGTGGAGATTGATGATGGTTGACAATAATTTACTTCACTTCGAGTTATCCCCACCATGACATCTATACGTTTTGTTACTGGCAAATCTTCTGGCATTCTATCTGACATATCTTCTGGCATTTTATCTGGCATATCTTCTGGCATGATTCTATCTGGCATATCTTCTGGCATTCTACCTGGCATATCTTCTGCAATATGTTCTGGCATATCTTCTGGCACTCTATCTGGCGTATCTTCTGGCATATCTTCTGACATTCTATCTGGCATTCTATCCGGCAAATCTTCTGGCATCTGTTCTGGCAAACATTCTGGCACTTTATCTGGCATACCTTCTGGCATTCTATCTGGCATACCTTCTGGCATTCTATCTGGCATATCTTCTGGCATTTTATCTGGCATACCTTCTGGCATTCTATCTGGCATATCTTCTGGCATTCTACGTGGCATATCTTCTGGCAAATGTTCTGGCATATCTTCTGGCACTCTATCTGGAATATCTTCTGGCATATCTTCTGACATTCTATCCGGCATTCTATCTGGCAAATCTTCTGGCGTTCTATCTGGCAAACATTCTGGCACTTTATCTGGCATACCTTCTGGCATTCTAATTGACCTTCTATCTGGCATACCTTCTGGCATATCTTCTGGCATTCTATCTGGCAAACATTCTGGCACTTTATCTGGCATATCCTCTGGCATTCTTTCTGACATTCTATCTGGCATACCTTCTGGTATATCTTCTGGCATTCTATCTGGCCGTTGAGGTCCAGCGGTGCTCACTGAGCTCGGAGGGCCCCAGGAGGTCCAGCGGTGCTCACTGGAGCTTGGAGGGTTTCAGGTTGAGGTCCAGCGGTGCTCACGCTGAGCTCGGAAGGTCCCAGGTTGAGGTCCAGCGGTGCTCACTGAGCTCGGAAGGTCCCTGAGGTCCAGCGGTGCCCAGGGCGCTCAAACCCTTGCAGTTGAGGTCCAGCAGTGCCCACTGCGTGCGGAAGTTGGCGAAGAGCTTGGCGAAGAGTGGGCAAGGAAGTGAACATGGGAGTGGATGCAAAGGTGGTGGAGGAGAAGCTGGAGGAGAGGGAGGAGGAGGAGGAGAAGGTGGAGGATGAGGAGGAGGCGGAGGAGGAGAACAACTGTGACAATTGATAAAATCTAACAACCCTCACCTGGCAGGTGGGGAAACATCATGCTCTCTCTCTCTCTCTCTCTCTGTGCACCCATTGTGATTTATGGTTCTTTATGACTAATTTTATCCCCCCCTTTAAGGATCATAAGGATCTTTAAGGGGGCGGTGAAGGGGAGCGGTGGTAAAAAATAAAATATGTCAAAAAAGGGGGTCGCCTGCCATATTTGAGCTTAAAAAAAAAGTGTGCATATGGTAAAATAATGCAATGGAAAATTTTGGCACTGTCAGTGATGCATCAGCAGGCACCGGTGGATCGTTTGGAACATCCGTAGCAAAGTGTGGGATTTGGTCAGGTACGTGCAAACGGGCTGAAGCGCATGTCCACGTATTTGTTCTCTCCCCAAGCTTCGCGTGTGAAATGTTTGCGCGGGGAAGCTGCAAAACCATGGTATTTTATGGTATTTTACAGCCTTAGAAGCCCGCCCCATCAGAAATTCCATTGCGGCAGCAAGGTTCGGTTTCTGCGTATCTAGCCGCAGCAAGTAAGACCAGGGGCAGGAGTTCGCAGAGGTCATATGCGGTTTACTTTCTGATCTATGTGTATCCACTTGGCCCAAAAAAAGATATCCCGGCAAAAGACCCCAAACAGTGTGGAGTTAGGGTTCGAGAGGCAAAGATGGAAAGGACCTAAATCATCAGTGGCTACTCTTGGCAAGATCTCTGCTGGCAAGATCCCTGTACAAGATCTCTATAAGAGGTCTCTTGGCAAGACTCTTGAAGACATCTCTCTGATTGAAAGAGATCTCCTCAGAAGATCTCTGTGAGGGACCTCAAAGTAAGATTTCTGTTCAAGCTCTTATAATTATAAAAGATCTCTGAGAAAGAATGCTGCTCTCTTCACCAGGTCTCTGTACAAGATCTATAAGATGTCTCCTGGCAAGATGTCTGTACAAGATCTCTATAAGAGCTCTGTTGGCAAGATCTCTCTAAGAGGTCTCTTGGCAAGGTCTCTGATCAAGATCTCCATAAGAGGTCTCTTGGAAAGATCTCCGTAGAAGCTCCCTCTAAGAGGTATGTTGGCAAGATTTCTGTGTGAGATGTCTCGTTTTGTGCCAGCCTGCGCAGTCGAAATGCACATGGACATGTCACAAGAGCCATTTTGTGTGGACATTTACAGGAAAAGCGTGGGACGCTAATCCCGCGACACCCGTTTTGTGCGAGCCTGCGCAGTCGAAATACACATGAACATTTCACAAGAGCCATTTTGTATGGAAATTTGCAAGGAAAATGCCATATGCCCCGCCCGCGACCAACAGTTTGTTCGAGCCTGCGCATTCGAAATGCACATGGACATGTCACAAGAGCCATTTTTGTGTGGAAATTTACAGGGAATTGGCCGGACACGGATGATACCACCTCGATTAAACACCGGGCCTTAAGTGTTACCGTAAGAACCCATCAGGTTGGCCACACTGTTTGGGGGGAAAAAATGTGGCGGGTGAGATATTTCATGTGATCAGGTGAAATATTTCGAAGAAATTTCGTGTCTTACCCTCCCAAATATTCCAGGGTTAAAGGGGGGATCTAATTTTGGATCTCATTGGTGACTGTTTGCCTCAGACAAAATATCTCAGCATCTCAGCATCAGATCTGCAGACATCGTCCTGAGCCGGAGATCTTGACGCATCTCTTGGTGATTTGTTCGCCAGCTTTAACTAAGAACTCTGCAGGGTTTCCCTCTGGGAAGTCCACATTCTGGCCTGCGCTTTCCATGGACGAAGCCTATTTTTCCGCTGACCTGTATGCATATTTATATGTATGTATAATATATATACATATATTTAATATATATATATATTATGATACATAGAAAGATGTGTATAATTGTGTATAATATAAATATGCATATGTTACGTCATGTAATTTCATTTGGTGCAATACAACGTCATGTGTGATAAAATGCAAATGAATGCATGGAAGTGTAGAATCCATGCGTATAGAAAAATATAATATATACAGAAAAATATACATGCACATACATAATCCAAGACTCTAATGACTCTAATGCTCTAATGACAGTGATTGAAATGACTTAGAATCACTTTCATTCTTCATGAAGCTTGAGCTCGCAATCGCAATTTGTGGTCTCCTCAAAAAGGGTAGTCCAAAGCCTTGGACTGTTTTGGGGGTTGTTGTGCGACCAGGGGGTGCCATGGAAGAAATCACCGGCACACCAGCGCGTCCAAGGGGCACTTGTCGAAGGTCAGAGTGTAGCGCTTGTCCACACGGTCCGAGGGGTTGCTGATCGTGAATTCCACACCGCAGGAGTCTTGTTGACATTTGATCGTTGATTTCTGACCCATCAGCCAATCCAAGAATTCATTGATCTGAACCATCCCATCCTAGCAGGCTGACAGGGATGATCAGGGATATGCAGTCAGTGATTCAGAGTACAGCATCGAAGTTTTGCAAAGTTTTCCAGGTCGAAATCTGAGTTTCCCAAGGCTTACAAGCAGTATATACACATATGCAGCCAAGCTCGGCTGACCTTGTTTGCATCCGCTGCTTCAAACATCTTCCTGCTGTCCTCCTTCATGGGCCAAGGAAAGCTTCAAGTCAGCCCCTTTGCTGCTGCTTCGTAGGCATTCCCATGATGGATTGTCGAAATCCGTGGAAACCCCCATGACACGTCTTGAAATGTCATGAAAAGCCGTAAACCGCAAAGTATCGCATAGTAAAAAAACACCTATATGTTCTTATATCATCATCAACATCCATCAAGCAGGGTTTTCGAGCATTCTGGAGGTGATGTGCTGCAGGTACTCAGTCCTTTGCGAGTCCCAGGGATGCAAACAGGGCCGACATCTCCTCTTCAGAAAGCACACCATCACAGGATACGTCGTACCTGGCTGCACACATGGCACCCCCACCACCTCAGGCTTTTGGCCTGTCATAGACATGCATAGGCCTCGATTCCAATGGGCCCACCTTCCCACTAAAATCATTCATCTTGATGATGACGACGATGACGATGATGATGACGATGACGATGACGATGACGATGACGATGACGATGAGGATGAGGATGAGGATGATGATGATGATGATGATGGATGATGATGATGATGGATGATGATGATGATGATGATGATGATGATGATGATGATGATGATGATGATGATGTTTTTCCAACAAAAAACAAAAGTTCCCAGCATCCAGTGGCTCACTCCATATATGGTTCACTTCGACATATTTCGACCCAAGCTGCTTTTGAAAGAGCTCCTTCAAACGTCTCCGTCCCGCCATAGGAGAACTCCGCCGGCCGTTGCTGGGATGCGAAATTTGGGGCCCAGCTGCTGCGCAAGGGAAATGGAAATGAAACGCCAAGTACCCGGCCGTACGACAAAGGCAAATACATGAAAATACACCAGTTATGGATGTTTATGGATGATTTTCTGAGTCAAAAGTTCGATGTGTCATTTCCAATGGGTACTTCTTAAGCCTCATATAGTGCAATTGCTGTGAATTGCTCTGGCTGATTCTGAAACGGCACCACTACCCGAAGCACCCAAGCGCCCGAACGTTGCACTTCGCCACGTTCTTTCTCCAAATCTTGGGCCTGGTAGTGTGATGGCATTGTTTCACTAGTCCTTAAATGGTTCTTGGTTTCAACCCATTCCAAGGATGTTCGCCAGCTAGATTCAAGCCATGTTTCGAATGTGCTGGCATCATCTTTCAACAAACTTTCTATCAGTGCAAAGCCAACACTCAGCCAAGAGATTCAATCATCCTCTGTAAAATGTCTTCAACTAACCAGTATCCCAACTTTGGCCCATACAAAATTTGCTTCAAAATGAAGGCACTTTTTTTGGCACACAGAAGCTGAACGTCAGCAATGTCCAGGGGCCCGGCAACCGCCTCTCCCTCCTGCTCTGCTCGTTGTGCCCGGTGCCTCACCTTAAGTCCAACAGATTCCGAACTATCCCTTCACCCATCCCATGGTTGGGAAACATGGGGAAACCTCATGAAACCTCCATCCCCTAGTTGAAGCACCCCAATTTTCATGGTAAACCAGTGGTAAACCCATGTAATTAAATCCTCCTTCTATCCCAATTATATCACCATGTTTCCACTGGAAACGCGCACCTCTTCCATGTCACGATTCAGCTTCTGCACCTCCACATGGTGCCTAGTCTCGAACCTCAGCTGCGACGCGTAGTGGGAAATGATATATTTCCCACAGCTTCTCTATGGCTCTCTGATAGTCAGAACATGGAAAAATCACCTGTTGATGATTATTGTTTGGACGATTCTATTATAAAATATATATATATTTATTTAATTGGTATTAATTGGATTTCCCTTTGCAATATTTGAGGGTGGGGGCGTCCCCGGGGAATTTTTTCAGATTTCCCGGGGATTTTTTTTCAGGATACGGGGTCTATATAGCAAAACACATAAGGCCAGAAGCAGCAACCATGCGGAAAGGGTTCGCGCCCCTACCTTTTTATTTATTTTGTTTTTTTTCTGCGTTTTGGGAATTTTTTTTTGATTCTGTTGCGGGGCGTGTTGTTTGCTTGTTCCATGGCGCCAACCGGTGTATTCCTTGGCTTCCATTCATTTTCCAGAGTTTTAAACGTTTTTTGGGTGTTTAGTTTGCTTTTCACCGGTTTTTTTTGGTTTTGAACGATTTTGTTTTGTTCTTGCCGTTTTTGGGCGTGTTTCCCGCGACTTGCATACGTCTGATCACTAGTGGCATGGACGGTTCTGTGTTGTTTGCCGTTGTATTCATCGTGCATCCACTGTGTTAAACCAACAGACATGATAGATTGATTGATTTATTCATAGATAGATAGATGGTTAGATAGATAGATAGATAGATAGATAGATTAGATAGATAGATAGATAGCTAGATAGTTAGATAGATAGGTAGATAGATAGGTAGATAGAATAGATAGATAGATAGATAGATAGATAGATAGATAGATAGATAGATAGATAGATAGATAGATAGATAGATAGATAGATAGATAGATAGATAGACCGATAGACCGATAGATAGCTAGATAGCTAGATAGCTAGATAGCTAGCTAGCTAGCTAGATAGCTAGCTAGATAGATAGATAGATAGATAGATATAGATAGATAGATAGATACATAGATAGATAGATAGATAGATAGATAGATAGATACATAGATAGATAGATAGATAGATAGGTAGATAGATAGATAGATAGAGAGAGAGATAGATAGATAGATAGATCGATAGATCGATAGATCGATAGATCGATAGATCGATCGATCGATCGATAGATAGATAGATAGATAAGATATGATAAGATAAGATAAAATAAGGTAAGATAAGATAAGATAGATAAGATAAGATTAGATAAGATAAGATTAGATTAGATAGATAGATAGATTAGATGGATAGATAGATAGATAGATTTTGACGACAAGTTTGATCACATACGCTACAGAAGGTGGGCTGTATCATACACTTGCATTTTGTCACAAGCCGCGGGGGGTGGCTCTAAAATAAAGGCGGGGGGGGGCGCGGGGGGGAGGGCGCAGCGCTCCCCCCGCAAAGCGTCACATAGTCATGATACATTCATTCGCAATGTAGGTGGGCCTTATCATCCACCTTTGTGGCGATGTCAACAGCATACAGCGGTAGCGTAATACACTAGACGTAGCAGTTGGTGGGCCATATCATCCACCTTGTGGTTTTGTCACAGCATGGCAGCAAAGCACGCACTTGAATTTTGACGACAAGTTTGATCACACACGCTTGAAACAGAAGGTGGTCCGTATCATACACTTGCATTTTGTCACAAGCCGCGGGAGGGTGGCTCTAAAATAAAAAGGCGGGAGGGGGGCAAAGCGTCACGTAGTCATGATACATTCATTCGCAATGTAGGTGGGCCTTATCATCCACCTTTCTGGCGTTGTCACAAGCCGCGGGGGGGGGCTTTCCTGGAAATGCAGTTTTGCATGGTATTTACAATGTCTTTTGCTTATGCACATGGATACGGGGGGTGGTATTGCAATCGCGCGCCATACTTATACAATGCTTGATTGGATACCTTCCTTGCTTGCTGCCTGGCTGGCTGTCTTGCTGGCTCCCTGCATGGCTTGCTCACCTTCTCGCTTCGCTGACTGCCGTGCTTCCTCCCTTGCTCGCTCGCTCGCTCGCTTGCTCGCTTGCTCGCTTGCTCGCTCGCTCGCTTGCTGGCTTGCTGGCTTGCTGGCTTGCTGGCTGGCTTGCTGGCTTGCTGGCTTGCTTACTTGCTTGCTTGCTTGCTTGCGTGCTTGCGTGCTTGCGTGCTTGCGTGCGTGCGTGCTTGCTTGCTTGCTTGCTTGCGTGCTTGCTTGCTTGCTTGCTTGCTTGCTTGCTTGCTTGCATGCTTGCATGCTTGCATGCTTGCATGCTTGCATGCTTGCTTGCTTGCTTGCTTGCGTGCTTGCGTGCGTGCTTGCGTGCTTGCTGCTTGCTGCTTGCTGCTTGCTTGCTTGCTTGCTTGCTTGCTTGCTTGCTTGCGTTGCTTGCTTGCTTTGCTTTGCTGCTTGCGTGCTTGCTTGCTTGCTTGCATGCTTGCTTGCTTGCTTGCTTGCTTGCTTGCTTGCTGCCTTGCTTGCTTGCTTGCTTGCTGGCTGGCTGGCTTGCTTGCTTGCTTGCTTGGCTTGCTTGTTTGCTTGCTTGCTGGCTGGCTTGCTTGCTTGCTTGCTTGCTTGCCTGTTCCCTGCGTGGCCTGCGAATAGATTTCTGAAAAAAATTCCCCGGGAAATCTGAAAAAAATTCCCCGGAAAAATACGTACCCAATATTTGATTGCCAAAGGGCCACATTAATTTTTTTGCGCTCTGAAAAAGCTCCCGCATCTTCTTCCGAGCCCCAAGCGTTGCATATGCATCCTTCACTTGTGCCAATTCCAGCTCCAAGCCCTCCCATGTGCATGACTCACGTGACACTAATATGGCTAATCAAACATGGCAATGGGGAACCCCCTAAAGTATCCCTAATTTGGTATATCAGTGCCATTTTTCCGTTCAAAAAAGTGTGATGTTCAACATAACATACCACAAAAGAAACAATCCAAGGGTTTCCCACATAAACTTGATGCCAGGGGGGAAGGTACGAAAGCTAGCTGGCTGGGATATGCATTTGGGTGCCGGAAGTTGCCGTGAAATGGTACCATCTACTGCCAGCACGCGTGCGTCCTAAGGGAGAAAGGTGAAGCATATCTCTTGGAAGGAAAAACAAATATATAGTTGAAGACAGACAAGAGCGTGGGTAAAAAAAACCCTAAAACAGAAGCTGAAAATCCGTGCTTTTTGGATTTTTTTGGGCTCAATGCAGAGATAGAGAATAGGGGTACAGGATAAGAGAGAGAGAGAGAGACTTTTAAAAATGAATGATAATATATTATGAATTACAAGGGAAGTACCTAAAAAGAAACGACATAGAAAATATCTATAATTACAAGAGAATGTGATGATGACTCTGATCATTTTTCGCTTCAATTTTTCATCACTCCACCCCAAGGCTACTTCTGCCAGCACCTGAAGTTGCAAGTGGCCTGTTGTAGCCTGGCCGGAAAAGAACCAGGGAAACAAATAGGGAAAGAGGTGGAAATACTACACATAACATAGAGATATTTTTTTTACAAATGAAGATGAATTTGCATATGTATGTCTGTGGATACTTATATATACACAGCAAACATAGATTTATATATACGTATATAATAATATAATCATATATATATATAAGAACAAAGATACACAATATAACTGCATATGTACACATACACATCAACGCATCAACATCTCCACCTATTGCCATCGCGAAATCCCTAGGTTCCCTGAGCAAAACTTATTTGGAACTGCTCTCGTCGCACGCGCAATTCACTGTCTTTTCTGCGCCCTTGCTCTCTCAACGGAGAAGTTCTCAAAATGGCCCTCTGGGGACTATGCTGCGTAATTATCTCGGCTTGATATGGCTTGTTTAAGCAAGCTATACTCACATTTTGACCATTTTGTACTTATTCTGTTTGAGAAACTCTTGAAGTTTCCCTGGCACGTCTTTGGTACCCTCCAGGCAGCCTCAAGAGACAACAAATCGACATGTCATTGCTGACAAAGCCGACATCATTCCGAACAGTCTGCACCTTTCAGAATGGTAGAACTGTGAAAGTTCGGGCTCTAGAGCAACCGCTCTTATGCGGAGTACTGCTCTATCAAGAAATCATACCTGGAGCCATGGACTGAGAGAATTGACACACACAATTTGAAACTCAATCTGCAAGGACCGTCCTTTGTCTGTGGTTTCATCCCAAGTAGGGATGGAAAGCACTGTGACTCAGTGACATCACCATTTCACATCAGTCCCGAAACCAAAACCCTCAAAACGGATCCAAACGCTACGCATCTCTCTTAAGCAAGGAAAATTCCCCTGTTCTTGATGCTACCGCTTGAAATCGCCAAGCTGCAGAATCTATTTAACAATCGATGTCAAATTTCGCCAAGTTTCACAGGTTGGATCTCGTTTTTCTTCGCTGAGATTTTGCAGGTTTGGATGGTGCATGGCGAATGCTCCTCTCAGCGAGCGACAGGATGCCCGGGATGCGAGCCTGGTGGGGGCCTCTGAAAGAAGGGAGCGAATGTCATGTCTGGATTTTTTGAAACACAGGCCACCGTTTTAATATCTTTAATGAAAGATCAACCAGGAAATTATCTTTAACATTCTTTAACATATTTATATAATATCTTTAATATTAAGCACGGTTGACATTAAACAGGAAATGAAATTGGATGTAAGATATGTATATAAGAATCAAGAGGATTCAAAAGGCGGTTTATTTTTGGCATGCGTTCGTGGGACTGTCCATCAGCTTGAACTTCTCGCCATCAATGCCCAAGTAGCCTCAGATATGCAAACTGCACAGGATAATCCTGCGTTAAACCTGTCGTCACATGAATCCAGGTTGAATGGAAGCATAAGAAGGGTTCTGCTTCATTGTGACTAGTGTAAGGCATATATACAGAATTACGGCGTCTGTGGGTAGAATTATGGGGATTTACATGATGAAACATTATGCAAAAATATGCAAAATATGTGCACATACATAATTGTACATGGACAGATTCATCAAGAGCATATCCCATGAAGCCGGAGAAATCGCTGAATCTGCCAAGTCGCTGTCTGCTTGATCTTGTCCTTCGAGTGTCGCTCCCCGTGAGACTCGCATCTGCTCAATCTCCCTCTCAATTTCTTCGACCTGAGACCCATTTGGCTGTCAACATTGGGTACTCAAAACAAAAATGCCCGAATATGGCTTTGCCGGCAAATGGTGGTATACCGGTATACCCATAAAATCATAAAATGACCATTTTATGTCGGGGAAATGATGGTTCAACCAACAGGATCCAACGGGTTTTAGGGACAGCTTATTTTCAAAGAAGCCCATATGGGTTTGGCATGGGTTTGGCCGCATATCATGGGGAAAACCATGGAAAACCCATGAGCAAGTTGAACCACCAGGCGACATGGACAGAGTTGGGGGGGGCCTTGTCACTCATTTTTTTCCCGGCAGTGATGGCATCCATTCGAACTAGTGTGAATCCATGTGAATCCTGTAACGGCCCATGAATAGGCACAGAATGGCATATCATATAGCCATGAATCCTTTTAGCTGCAAACAAGTTCCTGTCAGAAAAACATCTCAGCATGTGCCAACATGACCCTTCTATCAAACAATCATGAAACGTCTACAATTGCAAGCCATGGTGAATGTAATCTTTTGATGCGACTATTCCAAGATCTTCAACACCACCAAGCTGTTGATTGTTCAACGCCTTGCCAGGAAAGGACGCCTAGGATCCAGACAATGAACTTTTCAGAGCGAGCTGTGCTGAGGTCGCTCTTGTTGCACGCGATGAGAATTGGAGTGTGGAGTTCCAGCATATCCTCAGATTAAGCGATGCATAGGATGTGCAAGGGTGAAGGAATGCGAAAGACTCTCTCTCTCTCTCTCTCTGTCGCCATCTGTCAAGACTGGCAGGATGCAAAAGACTGCGGAAAGCCTTTGTGCAAAGGGCCCGGCTCTGTTCGTGAGGAGCTCGTAGAAATGCTCCGCCACATCCTCTTCCACACGTCTGGAAGGGCTTGAAAGCTCGATCTGGGCCGTGCCCTTACAAATTCAAAACCTCGAATTTGGAATGAGATGGAGAAAAGAATGCCTAGCACCACACCCGTCCTTCAGCTTCGGCTTGTCATCCGAATCCACCAGGTAAATGATGCAACGCGCCTAGCCATAGCCCAAGGGCCCCCATGGCCCCCATGGCCCCCATGGCCCCCATGGCCCCCAAGGGACATGCCATGGCCACTGGCTGGCACCATGCCTCTGGCAGCATGTCGTTGGCCTTCCCTCTCATGCGCAAGTGCCCAGGGAAGTCAATCACCTTCAATCTGGCACCGGCGCGACATGTCTATGTCTAATCACAAACACTGGGATTCAAGCAGCTTAAGCAGGGGTTGACTCGCAAGAACCCAAACACCTAGTTTGCAACCCACCAAAATCTTGGTTTGAAATCCACGAAAACTTGGGCTTGATTGTTTGGCTCTCCCAGTGTCAGCGGACACTTATGATATGAAACGATCATCCGAAAACATACCCAACCATGCCGTAAAGATCGTAAAGACTTGGATGTGACCTACATGTGGTTTCCATGCGTGATTATGCATATATGATACATTGCTACATATATACAGTTTCATGACATATGCGTTGCTTTGGTTGGATACTTGTTGATTTGACAACGGTTCCCCAGGGACGCAACACGTCACAGCTTCCACCCATCAGTACCCCGGCAGCCTCCACTGAGCTGAGCTGTTGATCAGGGTTCTCCCCAGCTTTGATCGGGAAGCTGTCACGCTGCAGCTGCAGGGACGAAACCGTCTGAACCTGGCAAGGTATCAGTCAACTGCCCATTTTGCCCATATCCACCCCCACAAAAATCACAAAATAGATTCAATACTACTGATTCAAGGCCATTTATAGATGATTTTCATTGATTTTCCCCATTCAAACCTGTGTTTAGGGGATTTCCCATTGCCATGTTTGATTACCGGAGGGTATAATCCTAATTTTGAGGCTTGATTCCCCAATTTTGACCCAGACGCAGTGCACACCTGGGGATAACTTCAAAAATGGTGCTCAAATCGACCCACGCATCTTAGATCATCTTAGTCATGGTGAATGAGTCATAATACATCATAATACATGCTATTCAAATCAACCATCCAAAATCATCCAAATACATCCACTCACATGGCCATGACGTCCGACTCAAAAAAACCTCAAAAAAACCCATAGCTTCGGCCTCCTCTCCGTCACGGAGACGGAAAAAGGTGGCCGTCTTGCCGGAACCACACTGACCTAGGCGCGCGGGAAGGGACAGGATCTACATCTCGGTTACCATTGGTTCTCATTGGGATTGTTTCAGGGGGAGATCATCTACAGCAGACATCAGCAGACCATGGCCTTTTGGCTGAAGATATTAGTGGTTCCGGTTGAATTTTCCCTTGATCCAATTCCGGACCTTCAGTTTTTCGGATGTTTTTGGAGACCAGTGACCCAGCATCAGCGTGACGTTGCCTCGGGATCGACGACTTCTTCCCAGCGCATTGCCAGAAAAGACCTACAGGATGCCGCAAGAACTCCAGTGAAGTCCACTGGATACCACAAAAGATCTTACAAAGAAGATGATAAATAGCTGCAGCAACTTAAATCATCATTTTTTTGCACATGTACTTCTTCAAGATCTACTCATAATTTAAGCTTATACCAAACTTAAATATCTTAAGTTGTAGCACTGTATTCCCATTTCTCTGTGTTTATGTGCATGAACGCTGTGCGAAAAAACCCTCATGGCACTTCTCCTGGATCGGAGAAGTGCACCTGAAAGAGCTGCAAGCTGACGTAGACGCTGAGAAGGATCACCAGCCAGGTCAACACCAGGGCAGTGCTGGAACCAACTCCCAGGAAGGCTTCGATGCTCCCTGTGGCTTGGCGGAGGGCCTCCATAACACGCCTGCTTGGTCGAGAAAATATGAGAAAATGGTGAAGAAAGGGCAATCATGGGCAGTCTACAGTGAATGTCATAGGAAAAAAGTGGGAAAAAAAACATTGAAAAAAACTTGAAGTGCTGCAGAATCATTTTGGCCAAGACCAGGAACCACCACTCTGCGCCTCAAAATTTACGGCGGCCCTCGCCACCAGTTGCGGGGGTGGCACCCCACTGGGGCCCTTGAGAGCTTGACGCCCTTGAACCTCTTCGGCTGCATATTATTCGGAATCCCCAAAAGATGCACCCCCTAACCAGAAAAAACCCTTTATCTCATGACCTCCACAAGTGTACCTCTGCCATATCTAACCAATACCATACCTATACCTCAAAGGGTATCCGTTGTTTTCGGACGTGCCCATACATCAGTGTTGCATGGTCAATGCACTTCAAGCCTAGATTTCATGGGTCCAGCAGTCCAGCACACCTGCCCTCATCATTTTTACCAGCCTGATCACTTAGCTGGCACAGCTTGTCCTGCTGAACTGCACACCTCAGCAAACTCCCCGCAGCACCTCTCTGCGCAAACTGACAGTTGAATACAGTTGTATGATGTCCGCCTCCACTCAATCTTTGACTCTGGAGCACTTTAGAGCGTCATCCGCAAACCCTGACGTTGCTGAGAGAAAGGCAATTTCCGCCTTGGATCACAGGCCGCAACAGGGCCAACCAGTTGGAGGTGGAAAAGCAAACGTGTTGCTGGATATTTTTATTAGCTGCGGATTAGTGTGGCTAACTGCCTGCTATTTGTTTTCAGCTGCCGAGTGATCAGCAGCCATAGCATGGCATGGATCAGCAGCCATTGGGGTCCCCAGCTCCTCCTCTAGAGCCCCACCTTAAGCGCAGTGTTTACAGATGTGGCACAGGGTAGAGGCAGAAGCATGGTTTTTCTTTGCAACTCCAGCAATGAGAAGCAACCCCAATCTAGCTTGTACTATACCCGGTATGTTCATCACCAGCCTAACGAAGATCCCGTCACTATGATTCAAATGCGCATGCCCATAAGCCTTGCATGCTAAGGTTCTTTGAATGTGGCCGATTCGACTCGATAGTTTCTGATCCGGAAATTACTCCATTGAATGTCACCCTACATTTCAGGACTTCAACCGGTGAACTGCCAGTAAGCGCTTCGCAGCACTGCACTTTGTCTCGATTCGAAGAAGGTCACAGAAGCTGTGGTATTCCAACCCCCGGCCGCAGTCAAGCTATGGTCACTCTAAGCAGTGATAGATGCTGATAAATCCTGATAGATGCTGATATACTACCTTTGCCTTGCCCATCAGTGGCGCTTGGAGCCGTTCCTCACCGGAGAGCAGCAAAATCACGCAAATCTCCACCTACAGTTACCTCCTTCAACACCAAGTGCTTCTTATATTTTCTTATTATTAACAAACACTCACGATAATTGCACAACTACCTTCAAGGTTGATACATGGCAAAATAATCACCAATGCCGTCGGCCCCTTGGTGCCCCAATTTTGATCCATGCCCAGTTGATCAGAAATCATAAGTTCGGTGCTCTAGCCAATATATGAACAAATCGAATAGCTAACTAACAGTTAACTAGCCACAAAAATCAACATCTGTGGAAAATCCGCCCCATTTTTGCAGATCATTTTCCATGTTTTTTCCCATTGAAACCTCCATTTCCTCTAGATTCCTCATGTTTCCCACCTCGCGAGCCACATAACGTTCAGCACCTCCTTGGTGTTGCCCAACTCTGCGATGCCAGCGGGAGGCGGAGCTGTGTAGCGACGTACCTGGCCACCCCATTGGCCACGGAAGCTGCGGCCAGAGACCAACTTGTAGATGGCCTTGCTGTAGTGTTTCCGGCTCCAGGTACCTGAAAGATCTGGAACGTTTCATGACGGGTTTTGATTGTTTTCTACTAGGTGTTCGATGAGTCATTGAATCTATGGACAACTGATGTACCTCAAAGTGTAAAATTGTTGGGTTTCTATGGGGTGAAGGCTCTGCAGGTTTGTCTGAACATGGAGCACCCCAAAAAAAAAACTGGTTGATGTGTTAATTTTCCCTATGAGAATATTGCCATTTCGGGGGTGCCCCATTTTCAGGCACCCCCGTTGAAATAATGAGCTTATGATTCGACTGATGATAATCCTGATTATAATATTTTGATGATAAACTCATTTCTTCCAGGTGGCCACCAGCATCATCCAAAATCTACAAGTCATCGACTGGTGACGATGACATCTAATGACCCAATGACCTGATTGGGCCACATCACACAGCACTAAGGCAGCGACTGGAGCGCAAGTCCAAGACATCTCTGACGGAAACGCCCTCCTTGCAGTCCACTTGGAACAGCAGCTTGGCCAACGAGTTGCGATCCTCCAAGTTGTTTGGGTTCTGTACCCAGGACACCTCACCATTCTCCAAGATCTCAGTCACAATGATGCTGCCCTGCTTGGTTTCCAGCACTGTGTAGTAGTGGCAGGAGGCATGATCCATCTGGACCTGGCAACATTCCAAGACCACCCACTTATCTCAAAAAACCCAATCCGTCCCTATTGGTCCTATCGTTGCCGGCTCACAGCCCCACAGTGCCCCACAGTGCCCCACCTCCTGGTCCAGGGATTCCACAAAAATTCGGCACTTGCTGAGGCTCTCCTTGGCCAAAGCGCCCTCGGCCTTGCTGCTCTGCGCTTGCCAGGCCGCGGTGCCACTGGAGAAAACCACACAGACCTTCTCGGAGCCCTCAGCCTCTTGGATGCTTCGCACCTGGCAGGCGCGGTGGTTTCATGATGTTTAGATGTGACTAGATCTGTTTATTCAATTCTAAGGTTTTCATATGTTATATATATGTGTTTATGTGATTTTATGTTATGATATTTGATGATGGTTTGTCCATGCGTTTCCCTTGGTTTGCGGGCATCTGTCATCTGCCTGAGCCATCAGGATTTCGTGGCTCACTCACCACAACTCTTGGATGGTTCATTTAGTGATTTGATGGTAATCAATGGTGAATTAATGGTAATCAATGGATATCAATAGTGATTTGATGGAATTTAATCGTGACTCAATGACTCTAAATGGCATTTAGTGGGATTAATGGGGTAAGTGTCAGCTTTTAAACTATATATTATATATATATATATATTCGGTTCGATTTAAGAGCGACAAAAAAAAAAAACACGCTCGCAAAGAGTCAGCAGCGCCTCCAAACTTCCAATCTTGTAGATGCGAAAGGCAACTCCATCCTCTGTGATCTTGTTGAACTCCGGGGCTGCCATTGGGAGGATGTCATTCAAAAGAGTCTGTTCAAAGACGGAGTCCACCTCAAGCTTTGCAAGGCCAAATTTCGTCGGAGCTGTCTTTGAAATGCGACCGTCTGTCTCCACCTGAAAGCGAGAGGTCCAAGCCCGTGGAAAATCAGGACCAGGATTGGCAACCGAAAAGGTCTTGTCTGCGAAACGCTGCTTTCTTCTGTCACGTGTGGACTCCTCCTCAGAAACCAACGTGCGAACCTTGGTGACATATTCCATGTTTGGATCTGGTGGAATGAAGCTGTCTCCTTCCTGTGTGCGATCGCACTGGGGTACGTTGTAGATGTCCACAAGCAGCTTCTGGTTCTCCTCTTTCATGCCGGGCCAGGTCTGTTGATGCAAGCTTTGCAAGAAAGCCTTTCCAAGCTGGGAGCGGCCCTCCATGGATTCGGGGCCACCACTGCAGGGCGGCAGTCGACCAACAAACCTCTCCTCAGTAGATAGGGAAAACTTGTCCAAGTTCAAATCCACACCCTGTGGCATCTCTGCGCGCTGTCCCAGCTGGAATCGTTGCGGCATGAACAACGGGCGTCCGGACTGCGCCAAGGGAACCCCAGGCTTCTGTTGGCCTTGCAAGGCATGACGCTGAGCAAGCTCAAACCTGTCCAGACCAAACTCCACACCACCGTAGATGGCCTGCAAATTGCTGTAGCCACCGGTGATGACATCCACCAGCTTGCCGTCCTTCAGCTGAATGCGCGAATTGCCACGCATGTTCCAAAGCTGTGGTATCTCAGGGTAAGCTTCTGGCTCCGTGGCTCCCACAATGTCATCTGCGATCTGATACCAGGTAGGGTCAAGGCGAGCCTTAGAGTCAATCAGGTACTTTGCCATCACCGAGGCTTTTGCGAGCTCCCGCAAGTGGAACACTACGCTCTTGCGCTCAGCAATCAGGTCAAAGTTCCTGGTGAAAGCATCTGCGAACTTCTTCAACGGGTGCTGTGGAAGTGTGACTGCTGCATCTTCCAATCCCTTGGGTGTTACCACCTGCTCTCGGGCTTCCACTCCCATCTTCACATGCGGAATCAGGGTATTGTCCTCAGACATCCGCACCTCTGCTTTCCTCACCACAAACCACTCGCGCCCTGCCCATCCCTTGTTCGGCTTCATGGTCATTTCAGACCAGTCGAAGACACTCAGCATGCCTACGACCTCAGCACACTGAGATGATATCCGCCCTAGCTACAACATACTGCAACATGATACAAACATATACAAACACATTCATCTTCATCATCATCATCATCATCATCACATGTCCCGCGCTAGATATACGTAAATATCACAGCCATTCACCGCCCATATGCAATTGCCGCTGAGTCGGAGACCGGCATCGAATACTCACCAAGAGCCAGTTCCTTGAGAAAGTAATCTGCCTGAAACATGACATCTCCTACGCTGGTGCCAGCCAGCCAACTGGGCTCATAGACCTTCTTCTGCGGAGTCTTCTCCAAGTTGTGCGGGTCAACTGGGTCCAAGGAAAACAGTGGCTCCCGCTTTGCCGTTCTCCTGACCTTGAGTGCCAGCAGCAAATACTCCAAGTTGATTGCAGCAGATGGTTCCAAGGTTGCTGCCACCTTCACTGTGCGGGAAGCCTCATCCAGAACCAAGCAGCACAAGCCTTGTGGAGCCGGGCTGCACCCCATGCGCTCTGCCAAACGCACGTTCTTGGGGACGCTATCCATTCGCCAGCCGATGTCATACTCCTGACGGTTCTTTTGCTTCTTCAAGTCTTCACGTTTTGCCCTGTTGTCCTCTGCCACCTGTCGGTCCTGACTCAGAATCTGAGCCATGCACTCGGTGTGCACACACGTCTGCCTTCCCTCACGGCCCTGGTACGAGAACTCGCCCACCGGCAAACTACAGCGCGTGCACAGAGGCACCTCTTCTCCCTGCCGCAATTCAGCAGCGTGCTGGTGTATCAAGCTCAAGTGGCCGTTCAACAACCAGAGGCTAATGGTCGAATCAAACGAGCATCCTGCCTAACTTGAATCACTTCATCCCACATGAGCTTTTGGAAACATGTTGAAACATGTTGAAACTAGAAATTGCTTGAAACCACCAGGCCTCCGAGTCCAGGTCCCAGAGATCCTGCTTGACCTTCTTGGCCCTTGGCTTGGTCAACGCCGCCTCAAGCACCTGCTCTTATCGCTGATCAACTGACCCGAAATCGAAAAAAAGAGAGTCACGGTGGAAAACCCATGGGGAAAACCACCAGGTGGAAGATGAATTCAAGTAGCCACAAATCGCCGATATTTATCTAGAAATATCATGGAATTATGACATATTATTATGACATCAACAGAAACGAAACATGAGCCACGCCTCCGCTGACACTGTGTCTGGTTTCTTTGGAGCTGGGCCCTTGAACCATGGGAAGGCCGTGCGGGTATAGCCTACGGGCAGTGACTCCGTGACTCTGTTCGAGGAAGCCACTTGAATAAAGACCTTTGAATCATCACAATATGTAACAATAATAGTACTATAACAAGCATGAACAAATACAAACTATATACGTGATAATGGAGAGTAATGATGACATATATAATCATATATATATAATACTTCAATATACTCCAATAGTAAAAACACACATATCATCGTGATAAAAGAAATAGACCAAGGCCTGCTTCTGTGCCATCTCGACACTCACCAAACTTTTCCGCGTATTGCCGGAGAGCTTCCTTCTCGTCATCGACGCCGATTTCAGCCTTGGGGCGGAGCTTCACAACTTCAAACTGCCACCGGTTGCCCCAATGTTTGCCTGGTTGTATCTCGGTTGACTCCCCATGTTCATCATTGTTCATCCATGTTCATTGGGTAAACCATGGTAAACCCATGGTAAACCCATGTAGATCTGATGTCTTTCTGAAATGTCTTATTATGTCTTAAGATCAAATCGCTGCCACCAACTCGAGATCTCCAAGCTGCCAGGATCGCATCACAGGAAGCCACGGTCTCCTCCTTGGACCTTGGCTCAACTTGGCTCAACACCGGGACATCGACTCAGTGGTCACCACCGGCATCCGGCATCCGGTAGATATCCAAGGAACAGCGCCGTCTCAGCGGTCTCGGAACTGGTGGAACTGATGGTGGAACTGATGGACTTTGTCTTCATGGGCAGCACCTGAGCCAGCAGCTTTGTTGATCTTTGTTGATCTTTATTGTGTTTGGTGGGCTTAGAGTCTTAGAGTATCTTAGAGTCATTTTCTTTCGCCTGTACTGCATATTGGATGATGAGAATGAGGTTGGTGCTACACCCCCTTTCCTGCCCAAAGCTGTGCCATAGTCACATAGTCACGCAAAACATCACTAAACACAAACCAACACAAACCAACCTGGTGTATCCTGGTGTGCTTTCATAACTCTCCTTCAGTATCCTTCAGTCCAAGTGAGCTAATTCGATAAAAATCGAATGCGATAGATCCAAAAAGCAGATCGAGGCCAGCAAAAAACGACGCACCTCGGCATCCTTGGAGGCCCATTGAGAAAAGCCTCTGCGCTTCACCTTTGCCTGGTGAACCACCCAAGTGCTGAGACATCTGAGACCATGAGACATTTTTGGGCGAAATCCTCAAAGATTATGGTAGCCATATGTAGCCATCACCATTCGTAAAGCCTTTCAAAAAGCCTTTCACTGGGAGAAAAGGAGAAAACCTTGGCCCCTCAAGTCGCCCAGTCTGAAATGCCTCAACACTGGGCATCTCTGTTGGGGACTGCGCAGCCTGCCACTCTGCAAACCACACGGAGCTGACAAGAATTGAAGCTAGACATTTCAGCGGAAAACCTACCAGTTTCTTGCAGAACTAGGTGATCCTTGATGACGTTAACATCATGAGTCATAAACATCAATCCGGCTGCAAGATTGGAGGATGCATCGTGGTGAATCAACGCATCCAAAATGTTCCCCAGACTGCCTGCGCCATTGGCAAACCGAGGTGCCGGGGAATGCGAGGACCAATGGCTGCGATCAACAAAACAGCAGGCTAACACTTACCCTCTGGTAATTTAACATAGCCATAGCTATTGAAAATCACCATTTATAGTGGATTTTCCCATTGAAAATGGTGATTTTCCATAGTTATGTTAAATTATGTTAAATTACCAGAGGGTAGAGTCGGGGTCCAAATGTAGATCATTCCCTGAATATCCATGAATGACCCTTCAGCCAGCTTGGCGCCCCGCAATCGTCTCCAGTTGAGATGGTGGCAGAGGGAGAAAAAAAAAAGTCGGAACGGCGGACGCAGCGCCGTATTCATTTTTCTCCGGAAGCAGCTTCACACTAAAGATTTACCTAAGTCGCTAGTTGCCTACTGTGATGTCCTCACATGAAGGGCCTGAAGTCCTAACAACCTCCCATGACCTCCCTAAATCCTGCATGTTCTTTCTACTTTCAAGGCCCAACTCTAGGATACTCTAGGTCTATGTTCATAGCATGTGGCAAGTTCAAAGGAAGCTGCACAGCATGCCGACTCAGAATACAGTTTTACATCATGTTACATCCAAAGTCATCTTAATTCAGTGATATTCAGTGTATCTGAAGGATAGGAAATGACAGTCCATGTTCAGCATCAAACAGGACACTCCTTCGACCCCCTGATTTCATCTCTATGTGCCTCTGTCAGATCCTGCTAGAAGCCTCTCAGCAAATTCCTCCGATCCTTGGCTGTCTTGCTCTCGTGTTATATTATATATATATATATACATATCCATCTATCTATGTCTGTGTGTAAGTGTATGTGTACTTTCTTTCCAAGAGCTCGGGAGTCTAGGTTAGACTGCGCTCTGCTATATATGTGCAATTATATGTTCAAATCACCCTCAAGAACGTATGTCTAGATGATATATATATATATTATACATACAGTACATAGACAGTAGTGTGTGGCAGTGCTAGCCATGGACTAGCAAGTGGCCCTTCGCTCAAGGACATTTCATGTGCATGCGAACCATCTATGATCTGATTCTGCAAGATTAAAACATGTTGAATCACGCAAGTCACTGCTTTTCCGCTTATACAGGCCTGTGGGATCTGTGGCTATACTCCCACCAACGAAATCTCACAAGCCCGCGCCTGAAAGTCTCAAAATGCACGATTGAGAAGCCTCTGCCGGTTGGGATGTGGCTTTGTGATGATTTGTGAGGATATCTCGGGGATTCTTGGGGTGACACGCTTCCTCCAGCCGTCCCAAATCTCCCGCTGAATGCTGTCAAGCCACGAGGAGGTGCTCCTTTGCTTGATGCTGCCTCCCCATTTTCCGGACATCTCTTTGACTGCGATATGTTTGAAGATCGCTTTGGCATACTTCTTGTTGTCACCTGCGGCATCTGGGACTGGTTCGGGACAGGACATCATAAGAAATCCGTTCAACGCAAATTGAAAGACATGAAACGCACCTGCATTGAGATGAAGGCTCTTCTGGAACGCCTTCACATCTGGCACCAAGACTGCATCCTTTGAAGCATCGACATTGGCCATGACTGTCCATGTTCAGCCATGATGTAATTACATGTAATTACCAGTGGGGAAAACGCTGACCACAAACGACCACAAACGACCACAAACGACCACAAACTACAAACGGTCGCATGGTGGTCATTCACCAGTTCCTGCAATGCCAAATTGGTTTTTTTTTCCTCCTGTGCTATGCCAAACAACATCCGAATACATCAAATCATTCAAGAACAGATCAAAAAACGTATGCCTATACATATACATATATACTTATGTACTTATATAATCTTATATACATGTACATCAAAATCATCATTCAGAACTTCCTGCGGAGTCCTTGCAATCAGCTTGGAACAGCAGCTTCGCCAAGGAGTTCCGATCTTCCAAGTTGTTGGGGTTGGAGAGCCAGGATGCAGAACCATCCCTCAACTCCGTCACCAAGCAGCTCTGCCCTTCCGTTTCCTGAATTGGCCGAGGTCACTGAATGGGCGTAGAAAAATACTGAAATATATCTTTATAACAATTGGATATATATTGATATATATATATAATTTATTGATGAATCATATGATAATATATAATTGTATATAAAAATGTACATACAGTAATTCCTTGGTTCATCTATTCATTCCTGAGCCCAAACAAAAACTTCGAAGCCAAGATGCCAGGACCAAGTAGAAATTGCGCCCAGTACGACCATGGGCAGCTTCCTTGGCACTCGCATGGCAGGTGCTTTCTGTGTGTGTGTGCGGGCGCACATGAACCTGCAAATGTATATGTATCAGTATCATATACTGCATCTGGTAAAATGTATCGACGCACAGGTGCGTGCGCAAATCACATGCCATGTAATTACAGTGATACAGCACGTCCAAATTGGATCAAAATGATATATAATCCTCGTCTCTTGCCAGGAGGGGTGGAACCCCTAAAAAAATACAATAAAATGCAGGTGCCTAAGGACAAAATGCCAATAAAATGAGAGGGCATAAGGTAAGATAGGAAAACCCAAGCAAAATATAATGGACAGGTACAAAAAGAATATGACGTCAGGCCCCCTCCACCTGGCAACTGTTGGACCTCGGGCTCCGGAATTTTCTTTTGGGTTGATCTTGTTTCCTTATTTAATTGGTTTTAATCATCGTTGAAGGAAAACCACCAAAATGGCAAGACCCAACCTCATATATCCCAGTATCTGCGGATTTCGACCAAATATAATATATGCTCCCCGCCCCCAAAGATCTACCATTTTCAGCTTTTTGTTGATGTCAAAGAGGTAGTATTTGTAACCTTTTGCAAAAACAAAGTAGGTACACTATTACTTTCAAAAAAGATGAGCACATACTCAGGTCAGAAAGCACAACATTTCTTGAAGGAAGCAATCTGTTTCAAATTGCAGCGTTACCTAATATTAAACATTCCTTCAATCATACAGTATTTCTTTCAAAACACCAGACTCTAACATTTTGGATATGTCTGTGTTTTTGATGCAACAGAGTAAAAATAATATCTTGATCAGCAATTCTTAATCTACAATGAATATAGCAATCTGCTGTGAGCTGCCTGTGTCTTTTGTTGGCCAAGGGAGGCAATAGAAAATGAGGGGGGCCAACCCATTTTCGAAGTTAATGTCCAAGTGATTCCAAATCTCTGGAAAGTTTCACAAAATGATCAAAGCGTTCACAGCTGTGCATCTTTGCTATCATGCTATCTCTGTCAGTCAACTTGATGGGTTAGGCACCTCAAACAATAAAATGCACCCACAAAATAAAATGCTGGGGTGTGACCCATTTTATTTTCAGTGTTATTTTATATAAAAGGGGCTCCTGCCCCCTCATTCTATTTAGGTACAAGCATGGAGGGTGAGATGTATATATATATATAAATTATATATACATACATATATATAGGGTAGAGATGTGCAGAGACTAGATTAAACAAATACATGGTACAGACTCATTGTAACTCAATTGAATCCAAAAAGAGTCTTAACATCGACAGTCAGCATCCAGTTCTCATTCCAATCATCTAAGGGCGGCCCATCCCTTTGAATCCCCCAAGAAGTTCCCAAGAAGTTCCCTGAGTTCCCTCAGTTGGCTGAGGATCATGTTCCATGGCCTCCACATACATTCTCACTTTGCACACTTTCTCCCTAGAGGCAGAGCCCTGCCACTGGCTCTTGGTCTTCCAGGACTCAACGCCACTGGAGAAGACCACCATGATCTTCTCGGAGCCTTCGGCCTCTTGGATGCTTCGCACCTAAAAAAAGATGTCAACAACGAAAAACAACTGGGCCATTGGGCCATTGGGCTTGGTCTGAAAATGGGCTATACTAATGGCTATACATACCGTATACCTCTTTTTTCTTGCAATTTTGCAGGGAAAATGATGACAAACCAGATGATATTGAGGAAAACCCCGATTTTCAAACAAACCCATTTGATTACATTTGAATGTCCCAATTGGTGGTAGTGTATTCTGATGTCAAGTGTAGCTGTGCTTGGAAGCTGCAACCCTTTCCAAGCATCTGTCTGAACCTTTGGTCTATCTTGTGCAACGAAGAGAAACAAACGCACTTGCAAAGAGTCAGCAGCACCTCCAAACTTCCAATCTTGTAGATGCGAAAGGCAACTCCATCCTCTGTGATCTTGTTGAACTCCGGGGCTGCCATTGGGAGGATGTCATTCAAAAGAGTCTGTTCAAAGACGGAGTCCACCTCAAGCTTTGCAAGGCCAAATTTCGTCGGAGCTGTCTTTGAAATGCGACCGTCTGTCTCCACCTGAAAGCGAGAGGTCCAAGCCCGTGGAAAATCAGGACCAGGATTGGCAACCGAAAAGGTCTTGTCTGCGAAACGCTGCTTTCTTCTGTCACGTGTGGACTCCTCCTCAGAAACCAACGTGCGAACCTTGGTGACATATTCCATGTTTGGATCTGGTGGAATGAAGCTGTCTCCTTCCTGTGTGCGATCGCACTGGGGTACGTTGTAGATGTCCACAAGCAGCTTCTGGTTCTCCTCTTTCATGCCGGGCCAGGTCTGTTGATGCAAGCTTTGCAAGAAAGCTTTTCCAAGCTGGGAGCGGCCCTCCATGGATTCGGGGCCACCACTGCAGGGCGGCAGTCGACCAACAAACCTCTCCTCAGTAGATAGGGAAAACTTGTCCAAGTTCAAATCCACACCCTGTGGCATCTCTGCGCGCTGTCCCAGCTGGAATCGTTGCGGCATGAACAACGGGCGGCCGGACTGCGCCAAGGGAACCTCAGCTGCAACGGTTCCACTTCCATCCAATGCCGGCATCCCCAAGGCACGAGCACACTAGCTCCAACGAACCAGAGCAAGAACCATGCAAGAACCATCATCATCATCATCACCACCACCACCACCATCACCATCACCATCACCATCACCATCATCACCACCACCACCACCATCAGCATCATCATCATCATCATCATCATCAAGCCAGAGTGTCAATTCAGTTGGTTTGTACCCTGCCGCAGCAGACACTTGCCAGCGCAATTCGGCGCGCCAAGGAACCCCAGGCTTCTGCTGGCCCTGAAGTGCATGACGCTGCGTCAGCTCAAATCGATCCAAGCCAAACCTTGATTGGGGGAGGCATGTCTCAAACTTGGGCAAGGTGAAGCCCCCCAAGTAGAAACCCTATTTGAATCATGTCTTTACAATAATAATAGTGGTTCCTTTAGTTGATACTAATTGTTGATTCTACCTAACTAATCATTTCTTATAATTGGTTCCGCCCCCCGGCTAGTAATACTATGCAACTTGACATGTTGCCCCTGCCAGGTGAACTCAGCGTTTCTGAATCCACCGTTGACCCTAAAAGTAGGGGCTACCCTCCGGTATACGTGGCCAGCTGGGAGAATCCTCAGTAGCAAATGGAGGAATATGGGAAATCCCCTATATAATGCCTATATATATATATAGACGTTATACACATTAGAAATGGAAGTTTATAGCTGGGAAAATCATTGATAAATTCAGGTCCTTGGCATGACTTGGCCATTGCCTTGTTTGATGGAGGATTTAATGCTGGTGGGCATGCCTTGTTTGTACGTGATACTCTTGGCCTTCCTTAGTTGAAACGTTGGAATGTTTTCGTCCAGGAACTCCACACCACCGTAGATGGCCTGCAAATTGCTGTAGCCACCGGTGATGACATCCACCAGCTTGCCGTCCTTCAGCTGAATGCGCGAATTGCCACGCATGTTCCAAAGCTGTGGTATCTCAGGGTAAGCTTCTGGCTCCGTGGCTCCCACAATGTCATCTGCGATCTGATACCAGGTAGGGTCAAGGCGAGCCTTAGAGTCAATCAGGTACTTTGCCATCACCGAGGCTTTTGCGAGCTCCCGCAAGTGGAACACTACGCTCTTGCGCTCAGCAATCAGGTCAAAGTTCCTGGTGAAAGCATCTGCGAACTTCTTCAGCGGGTGCTGTGGAAGTGTGACTGCTGCATCTTCCAATCCCTTGGGTGTTACCACCTGCTCTCGGGCTTCCACTCCCATCTTCACATGCGGAATCAGGGTATTGTCCCCAGACATCCGCACCTCTGCTTTCCTCACCACAAACCACTCGCGCCCTGCCCATCCCTTGTTCGGCTTCATGGTCATTTCAGACCAGTCGAAGACACTCAGCATGCCTACGACCTCAGCACACTGAGATGATATCCGCCCTAGCTACAACATACTGCAACATGGGTTTATGGGAAAATTTTCAGGAACCCCGGAACCCCCTATATTTTCACGGGGAAAACCATGGTTTCCTGTAGATACAAACACATTCAGGAGCATCACATGTTGCGTGCTAGATATAGGATGATATAGGATGATATAGGATGATATAGGATGATATCACAGCCATTCACAGCGCATATGCAATTGCCGCTGAGTCAGAGACGGGCATCGAATACTCACCAAGAGCCAGTTCCTTGAGAAAGTAGTCTGCCTGAAACATGACATCTCCTACGCTGGTGCCAGCCAGCCAACTGGGCTCATAGACCTTCTTCTGCGGAGTCTTCTCCAAGTTGTGCGGGTCAACTGGGTCCAAGGAAAACAGTGGCTCCCGCTTTTCCATTCTCCTGACCTTGAGTGCCAGCAGCAAATACTCCAAGTTGATTGCAGCAGATGGTTCCAAGGTTGCTGCCACCTTCACTGTGCGGGAAGCCTCATCCAGAACCAAGCAGCACAAGCCTTGTGGAGCCGGGCTGCACCCCATGCGCTCTGCCAAACGCACGTTCTTGGGGACACTCTCCATTCGCCAGCCGATGTCATACTCCTGACGGTTCTTTTGCTTCTTCAAGTCTTCACGTCTTGCCCTGTTGTCCTCTGCTACCTGTCGATCCTGACTCAGAATCTGGGCCATGCACTCGGTGTGCACACACGTCTGCCTTCCCTCACGGCCCTGGTACGAGAACTCGCCCACCGGCAAACTACAGCGCGTGCACAGAGGCACCTCTTCTCCCTGTGGCCAACACCAGGGCCAACGACAACCACGACTAACCAGCAAAAAACAGTAAAAGAATAATGAATAGCAGCACTGACCCAGTGGACAAGTCCCTACACCTGGTAAGAAATGTAACAAGATGTAACAAGTCATGCAGAAATATGCAGAAGAAGAAAAGAAAAAACTCAGCCTCACCTCTGAGTCAACTTCCCACAAGTCTTGCTTCGTAATCTTCTTCGCTCTGGGTTTCGATGCCAAAGCTGCATGCACTGCCTGCAGAAAGCCACACAAGAATCATAAGAAGCCAGCAAGCCAGCTAGGTCAGCATCGCGTGAAGAGGATTTCTTCAGAGCAACAAAAACAGAACAGATTCGCAGCCTCTGCGGGGATGCTGTCGCATTTCTTCTGGGACGGACCCTCAAACCACGGAAAGGACAGGCGGTTGTAGCCTGCGGAATTGAAACAAGCGACGAGCAAATCAGATTCAACTCTTGACACAGGTCTTGAAGATTAAGGAGGGGGGAAAAAAACTTTCGCCGAACCCGTGGCTTACGATTGCAACTCATGAGACTCTATATCAAGTACATAGCTCGAAAAAGGACCAAGTTGCCTGAATCGGTGCCATCGCGACATTCGCCAAACTTCAGAGAATACTGGCGAAGTGCTTCCTTCTCATCAGGCTGATCCTCACGATCCAACATCTCCCCCATGACCCATGACCCATGACCCAGTTGGACCATCTTGGCCAGTGTCCTCCCTTTAAGAAGGAAACCATCAACACAGAAATGGGCTGGTTCATTGGGTGAAACTGATGAAGCCACCTCCTCAGCCGAGGTGGAGCATTCATCAACAAACTTCCTCGGAGTGCGGAGAGCAGCGCAGCAAAACTTGGAACCGAAGGACCCAAAATCCGTGACCACGACATATACACTGCGAATCCAATCAACGGCCGGAGTTCTGACGCATGTGTTTGAAAGAAAAAACTGTCATTCGTGGATCCGTTTCATGTATACGTTGTAGAATCCAGTCGGGCTACACATCCAACCCTTCAGGAACGACTTCTGTGGTGGCCTCGGTCATCACCTCACGTAAGGACAGGCGGTCTCTCAATGGTAATCCTCCAGTGGTTGACAGGGATGTCATGGATAATCTATGATAATCTCCATTGAGAATCATTACACCTGGGGTTCTCCAAAAATGGGGAATAAAATGGAAACCAATGGTTTGGGGTACCCAGATTTTAGGAGCCCCCAGGGCCCCCATATAGTCATCAACCCCGTTAACCCCGTTAACCCCGTTCATTGCTGGATGTCGCCAAACATTTCGTCAAATCCCCACCCACCATTGCTCACCTCTTCAGTCTCTTGGGAGGCCCATCGGGCAAAGGCTCCGCGCCTTTCCCGCACTGCCTACCAAAGGAGACGACAACGAAAAAAAAACGATGTGTCCTATGCGGCCATCCTGGCCGCGCGAGAGGGCAATGTGAATAACATAACACGAAGTCCACCCAAATCTATCCAAATCTATCAGCTTCTTTCAGTGTCAGTCCCTATAGGACCCTTTCAATCATGGTCTACCTGAGTCTACCCCACCCAAGGTCTGTCAGATGACAAGGTTTCAAATGGTTTCAAGGCCTCCATGGCCATGTCCTCAGGCACCTGGGAGTGAGCAGGATCAACCAGGATCAAGGTCTGACCGAAATTCCCAGAAGTCAAATTTTCAACCAGGATTTTTTCATGGAAGAAACTGCACAGAAACAGCCCTGTGAAGAAACATGTCACATGACTTTGGGTCAAATTTTCAGTAGCGACAGATATTTGACAGATATTGGTCCTATGAGATGAAGTCTTGACCTATCCCAGCTTCCTTCCCACCTCCTGGCCAGTGACCACTCAGCGTTGCGCCAATGGCTGCGGGGCAGGGTGGATCAGGGTGGAGGCTGTCTCTCTCTGCATGTGTTTTGTTTGGGGATCATGATGATCATTCATCCCTGGATCCTGGATCGATCCAAGCATCTCTTGGATCCTTTCGGGGCACCCCAGTTGTAGCTGACTTCAATAGGGAACCCCTGGCTGCAGCTGATTTTCTCTGTCACTCGAAAGCCTGCTTCGTCGTCAACGGCGCTAGTTGGGAAGAGCCATAACCTAAGAAAGATACCGTAGGCCCCATGCTTAAGCAAATCGACAATCAACCTAGCTGATCCATAAGCATGAGAGATGATATATTATATATATATTGGATGAGATGATATTGGATGGTGCTAGTGACTGCTAGTGTGCATGAGATGGTTCTTACACTGTTCTTACCTCATTCCGGTATCTCAACATCTATGCCAGCATTCATTGCGGTCAGCCTCTCACGCGACAATCTCAATCACTCCATGCCTGAGAAGGAACCAAAACTGAAGCAAGCCAGGCAGCAAGTGCTGTACAAAGGCAAAAACATGTAAAAACCATCGGTGCTATGGGCCAAGATATAGCCAAAACCCAAATTCCTTCCCATGGATATCCTTGGCATTGACTGTCTCATTTCGAGGTTGCCCGATTGCCATCCAGACCCAAGCAGCGCCTCTCACAAATTCCCTCGTCCTGCCATTCCGGTCTTGCTCTGAGCGCTCCTGGACAAAGTCTGGATCTGGATGCATGGCTACCGAAAGGATGCAACCCACCGACGACGTAACTCGGTTCACGTGTCTCTAGGCCTGGGCATTTGAATACTAGTGAACGAGACCCTCGCAGCAAACGTGGAAAAGCGTGAGGTCTCGCAATTTTCAAGCGTTTCTCTCCAAGTTCCCCTTTTCCCCCCGGAAAAATACAAACACACACACACAGAGATAGATTAGATATAATTATACGTGTATGTATATATATATACATGTATATATATAGAGGTGTGTGTGTGTATTGTATTGTATTGTATCGTATTGTAATGTTATGTATGTAATGTATTTATGTAATGTAATGTAATGTAATGTTTTAAGTATGTATGTATGTATGTATGTATGTCTGTCTGTCTGTCTGTCTGTCTGTCTGTCTGTCTGTATGTCTGTATGTCTGTATGTCTGGATGTCTGGATGTCTGCATGTCTGTATGTCTGTATGTATGTATGTGTGTATGTGTGTATGTCTGTATGTCTGTATGTCTGTATGTCTGTATGTCTGTATGTCTGTATGTCTGTACGTACGGACGTACGTACGTACGTATGTATGTATGTATGTATATCTCTGTGTGTATGCATAAATATGTATATATCTATATACATACATATGCATATACATATGCATATGCATAAACATGTACATATACGCATATACATATACATGTACATGCACATTTATTTGTATTTAACACATATAAAACGTTAGTAAACATCGAACTCCACTCCAAAGGATTGGCTCGGAGGATGATAGCCTTCGACATTGCCCATCCCCGCTGTCCCCGCCTGGCCAACCACATGACATTCAGAAAGTCAGAGGAATGGCCCATCGCTGCAAGGCCCAAGCGCCCGGGAATGCCATTGGGTTGGGACCTTGGACCCATTGGAGCCATTGGACCCATTGGAACTCAACCTCACTCAACCTGACTCAACCTGACTCAACCTCAACCTGACTCAACCTGACTCAACCTCAACCTGACTCAACCTGACTCAACCTCCCGAGTCAGAACCTCCCGAGGCAGGGAGAATCTTTAGCAGAAATGCAGCTAAGATCAACTTATCAACCAACCAAAACATCATGAACTATTCGATGTGGTGGATCTCAACCAACAGAAATTGACATTTTTGCCAACAGAAATACCATGAAATGTCCAACAAAGATGTGTTTAAAGTTTCAACCAACAGACACAGTGAGTTTCTTCATGATGAATAGTTCCCTCTAAGATATCAATTGTTACGGGATTCTGACCCCCATTAACTCCCTAAAGCAATCCCCCATTTGTATCCATTTGTCGGAACGTCTCATCCCATTCTGATCCAGGAATGGACCATGTCAAAGATGTTGGCACCAAGCGACGATGTGGATGTAGGCGCGTGTCGCTTCCTGTTTCCTCCCCACTTTCCTCGCAAACCCCTGGCTGTGACGTACTTGAAAATCGCTTTGGCATACTGTTTGCTGTGGTGGGCACCAGAGCCTGTTGAGATCAAACCGCACCATGCTGTGAGTGAAGGAAGCATAACCACGGCAAGAATGTGCATGAAGCATATGAACTCGAACGCCACACAAAGGTTGAGGAAAAGGATGTTGAAAATCAACCGGGCAACATGTTTGGCAGCATGATCATCCATGTTGCTTAAGATTATAGAATATTATAGAACTCTTGAATCCTCCAGCTGAAGTGATGCGCTGGAAGCCACAAGGCCCAGCCTGCAGGCAGAACAAGGCTCTGCTGGAACTTTTTCACATCTTCAACGGTGATGCCATCCTTGCGAGATCAGAAGCTGATGTTTTATGCAGTTTTTGGAATGGCTGCATGACTTCCTTCACACTCATGCAAATTCATGTACAATTTCATACAATCAATCATCAATTAAAGTTGATCTCCCCCAACCTCGGTGCCTTCCATGTGAAATAAATAAACCCAAAAAATTGAAGGCCCTCGGCATCAGCCCATGGGGTCCTTGCAGTCCGCTTGGAAGAGCAGCTTCGCCAGCGAGTTCCGGTCCTCTAAGCTGCGGGGGTTCTGGAGCCAGCTGACTTCCCCGCCGCGCGGGAGCTCCGTCATCAAGGTGGTCTTGCCATGGGTTTCCTCGGGGCGACTTGCTGGGCGACCCAAAAAACTGGATTGAATCAGAACTCATTGAAATCAAGTCATTGAGATAGCTACGCAGCTACGGTAAGCTTTGATTTATCCATTGAATCAATTGAATGGATATCCGATAGGTGATGGCACACTGGGTTCCTCGAAGTTCCGTCCACAAACAAATGCCTTCAAAAAGTTGCTAAAAGCAAATGTGCAAAAGTCCAGAACCAAGTAGAAGTTGCATCCAACGCGACCGTTGGAAGCTTCATGCTCCACGGCCTCCACATACATTTTGCACTTGGACAACTTCTCCTTTTCGATTCGGTCGTCAGGCTTTGCAGAGTTGGCTTCCCAAGAGGCGGCTCCACTGGAAAAGACCACGCAAATGGTCTCAGGGCCGTCAGTCTCCTGAATCGTTCGCACCTGCAAACAGCTTTTTCAAACAGTCCGATGGCCCGGGGAATGAAAACTGAAATGGAATCCTGTTGCAGCCTGTCCTTTTCATTGCGTCACATACAATTTGACTGTTTAACACCACCTCATTGTGCATCATGTGATATCATGTGCATCATGATCTTCCAGACTCATGTGACTGTGCTTGGAATGTATTTTTAGGATTTTCTGGGTGTCTAGTTGCCAGTATTGGGATGTTTGTGGATGTTGGGCACAGGTGACCGGCAGCCTCAACGCTCCCGATCTTGTAGATGCGATAGATGGCTCCATCCTCGGCCGTCTTCTCAAACTCTGAGGCAGCAGATGGCAGCACATCCTCCAAGAGGTTCTTCCTGGGTGGGCGAATCTATCACTGGCATCTGCTTTGATCCAAGTTTCCCGGTCCAACCCAGAAAGGTTGGCCCATCTCGAGCTGAGACATCCTCAGATCATGTTTCCCATTGCTTCCCCACTTCAACCATCTTCAACCTCACCCCGCCAGCTCAGCTCCTCATGGAATCGTCGATCTCAATCTTGGAGAGTCCAAACTTGGTCGGGGCAGACACCGGCACCTTGCCATCCAACTCCAACTGGAAACCTGCGCAGGGAGCCGATTTCCCCGGCCCAAGTTGCCAAGGCCTGAAAATGCCTCGCAGGTTGGCCAGGATTGCACCTTAATACATCTAGCAATACATCTAGCACCTAAATACATCTTTGAAGTGGTCCACCCGGAGTCCACCTGGAGTCCACCTGGAGTCCACCTGGAGTCCACCTGGAGTCCACCTGGAGTCCACCTGGAGTCCACCTGGAGTCCACCTTGCAACATCCCCGGCCTGAGGTCCAAGACCTGGGAAATTCGGGCCCCGGATTGGACACTGAGAAGCTCTTGTCGGCAAATCTCATCCTTCGGCGGGTTCGCATGGACTCCTCCTCGCCCACGATGTGGCGAACCTGGGTCACATACCTCACGTGGTCATGCTAACCCTTAAGGGATGCAGCTGTTCAATCATCAAGCAGCAAAGGATGGAATTGAATATATCGTAGACATTAGAAATATATCTATGTTCTTTCCATCTTTGATTTCAATAGAATGGAGTAAAGTAAAGCGCGCAAACGCAAACATAATTGCATGTCACGTATATATATATATTACGTATAGATATAAATATAAACAATATAGATATAGAATGAAAGTCTTTTGGATTGGAATATGTGTGGCTTTTCCCTTAGTTCTTTGAATTTCGTGAACCTTCCTCTTGGCCAGTGCCACATTCAAATCGTCCAGAGTCGTGCTCCCCGGACTCCACCAGAACTTTCAACGGAAAAGCTGCATGAGTTCATAATGAATAGATGTAAAATCAGCGGTCTGGGGATAGAATGTATTAGAATTAGATAGAACTATAATGAACTATATGGAATTATATCAAACCCATCATTGGACAAACTGTGTCTGGACTCCTGTTTTATAATTAGCCTAGAGCAGGAAGAACTCATGATGAGAACGGGTCACTCCATGTTTGGATCAGGTGGAATGAACGCATCGCCCTCTTCAACGCGGTCGCATTGGGGCACGGCAAAAACGTTCAACAGCAGCTTCTCATCTGCTGCTTTCACACCTGTGGCGTGCAGAAACGGGACCTAGCAACATCCTGAGACATCCTGGCCCGGGCACCTGGCCATGACTTTTCTTGCAAGCTTTGCAGGAAGGCTTTGCCAAGAGCAGTGCGGTGCGGGAGGGAGCCAGCGTCAGCACTGCAGGGTGGGAGACGGCCAGCGAAGCGCTCTTCTGTGCTGAGGTTGAACTTGTCCTCAAAGAATTCAAAGAAAAACCACAGTGTTCAGCATCATTTCAGCCCCTTCCGGACTAGTTCCAAATATGTATATTGTATATGTGCATGTGCATTTACAGGGCCCACACGCACACGCTGATCTAGATAGATAGATAGATAGATAGATAGAGAGATAGAGAGATAGAGAGATAGAGAGATAGAGAGATAGAGATAGAGAGATAGAGAGATAGATAGATAGATAGATAGATTAATTAGATTAATTAGATAGATAGATAGATAGATAGATAATGATAGATAGATATGTGTGTGTGCGCATATAAGTTTACATTATTATTATTATCATCATTATTATTATATAATATATACTTCTGAAGCATGGGGAAAATTGATCCAAACACATTCACTCTTGAAGAATCATTCACGCCCAGAGTGCCCAATGCCAAAATCAAAACCGTGCAAAAAGAACACTGTCTGGTAATCAAGCATGGCACTGGAAAACTCTGTATAAAATATGATAAAATAAAGATGTCCCATTAAAAGCTCCATTTAGTTCGGGGATGTTCCAGCCATGTTTTGACCAGATGGTATCATGTATCATCCAAGCGTCCAAGTTCAGGTCTACACCCTGAGGCATCTCACCACGTTGTCCCAGCTGAAAGCGCTGGGGCATGAAGAGAGGACGGCTGGACTGCGCCAATGGCATTCCAGGACCTCTGGCTTGGCTCTGCATTGCCTCACCACGTGTTTGGACGGGCCATATTCCCAACATTTGAAGGAACACCTCTCAAATCTGGAAGCTCCAAATTTGGAATCTGTGGATATTCGTCCTATAACTTCTAAAATCTGGCAATGTGGCGGTAGTGTCATCACCCCTGTCGCACTGATTTCAGAGCAAGTCGCATGGCGCTGAGCTAGCTCGAACCTGCAGCGCATGTGGCTTAGTACAACTCATGATGTGGAGCCCCGCATCATGGCAGCTATATCTATAGTGATAAGGACGGTTAATTCATAATGTGTTCCTGGTGTTACCTGGTAACGTCGCATAATATCGGCATATTGGCATTGGACATCAAATTCAACTCTGTTAAACCATATGGCCGTACAGAAAGTCATAAGTGCTAGACACTGCAAGAAGACTTTGTCGCAAACCAATCATGGCAGCGCAGTGATATGGACCAAAGCACAATAAATAATGATTAGCAGGTTGTGGCAGGTTATTTTAAAAAAGGTGTGTGAATCCCGGCCTGTCCAAGCCAAATTCAACACCACCATAGATGGCCTGCAAGCTGCTCTGACCTCCAGTAATGATATCCACCAACTTGCCATTCTTCAGCTGAATGCGCGAGTTGCCACGCATGTTCCACAGCTGTGGGATCTCAGGATATTGTTCTGGTGGAGTTGACTGCACAATCTCATCAGCCAACTTGTACCAGGCGGGATCCAGACGCGCCTTGGAATCCACCAAATATTTGGCCATCACCGAGGCTTTCGCCAGTTCTCGCAGGTGGAAGACCACACTCTTGCGCTCTGCGATGAGATCAAAGTTCTTGGTGAAGGCATCGGCGAACTTCTTCAGTGGGTGATTGGGCAGGGTCACAGGAGCATCCTCCATGCCTCAGGGCAACGCAACATGCAACATCGCAACATGGCCCTCGGAGTGCGTCAATCTTCCGGAAAAATGCCGAGGGTTCGTGGCAGCGCTGTATCCTGTATCATGCGTAGTATGTACTCACTCCTTAATCTCTTGACACAAATTAATATATATATACATATACATATACATATACATATACATATATATATATACACATATACACATATACACATATACACATATACATATACATATACATATACAGTATACAGTATACATATACATATACATATGTATGTGTGTGTGACTGTGCATGTATATATATATACACATTATATATATATTATATATAATATATATATATATTATATTATATATTATATATTATATTTTTATATTATATATATATATTATCTCTCTCTCTCTCTCCATCGCCATCTCGGAGATGTATATGTATATACGTATTTCATTATTTGTTTGTTTATTTATTTGTTTGTTTCATTTGTTTGGTTATCTATTTGTTTATTTATTAATATGTATTATATGTTATTTTCTATTATCTATTTATGTGTTTACTTTTACTTCTTTATTTATGCATTTATTTATTTATGTTTAATTCATGTATGTGGTTACGCATTTATTTTGAGAACCAAAAAAAAAGTGCTCATTTGAAAACCAAAAAAGTGCTCTTCTCCAACTGGGTCAGCTATATCATGCTATATCCAAGTTGCCCTTCTTGGTCACGACCTGTTCTCGGGCTTCAACACCCATTCGCACGTGCGGAATCAAGGTATTATCCTCTGCCGTGCGGACTTCCGCCTTGCGAACCACGAACCACTCGCGGCCCGCCCAGGCCTTGTTTCCTTGGAAGCCCACCAGGTAAACTCGGTAAACCAATGGTAAACCATCGGCAATTGCCATGAACATGTAGAAAAAAATATGAACGAAATAAATTGTTAGCCATTTGGTGGATTTTTTGGAAGAACCACATGTGAAGGAAAATGAACGAAATGATTTTTGGATTGTCCAATTGCCCAAGCAAAGCCGCTGATCAGATTCACCTGTCCAACTGTTGGGCCTTGTGGATCAGATTCTTATGGATTCTTATGGTTGCTATGGATCTTTTCATGTCTTTTCTATGAACTTTCTTACAGTATCCTGCTGCTGGATCCGTAGGATTTTCATCAAGTGGCTTTCCTTCATCTCCGACCAATCGAAGACACTCAGCATGCCCAAGACCTTGGGACAACAGACTCGACGAGAGAAACACTCTGAAAGACTCTTGGCCAAAGGAATACCCTCCGGTAAACTAACATAACTATGGAAATCACCATTTTTAATGGGAAAATCCACTATAAATGGCCATTTTCAATAGCTACAGTATGTTAATTTACCAGAGGGTATCATTGGAATATCATTGGAATAGCATGGAACAGCACTGGAATATCCACCCAAAAATCCGCCTGTTTTTTTTTGTGACCATCTTCTCTCAGGAAAGCGAATTCTGAGGCATCTACAGGCATGTCATACTCCCCAAGGGCAAGCTCCTTGCAGGGACGCCACGGGAGAATTTGGGTCAAATTGCATGTGCGTATGTGTTTTCCATGCCTTTGAGCTACTGCACCATGGTCCCATGAGCGCCAGTCCATGAGCGCCAACTAGTCTCCTTCAAGAAGTAGTCAGCCTGGAACATGACGTCTCCAACACTGGTGCCAGCCAGCCAACTGGGTTCATAGACCTTCTTCTGCGGAGTCTTCTCCAGGTTCTGAGGGTCCACCGGGTCCAGCGAAAACAAGGGCTCCCGTTGCGCAGTCCTTCGGACCTTGAGTGCCTCAGTTGGATCCACTGGGATCGATGTGGATCGATGGGGAGGGCAAGGGCACCACATGGCACCACATGGCACCACCAACTGATACCAAGATATGCCAAGTTACCAGCAGCAAATACTCCAAATTGATGGCAGCCGATGGTTCCAGAGTGGCTGCAACCTTCACCGTTCGAGAGGTTTCATCCAGAACCAAGCAGCACAGGCCTTGGGGTGGCGCCGGGCAACCCATCTGCACTGCAAGGGTGGTGTTCTTTGGAACGCTGTCCATTCGCCAACCAATGTCATATTCCTTGCGATTCTTTTGCTTCTTCAGGTTCTCTCTTTTGGCCCGGCTGTTCTCATCACGCTGACCTCGGGGTGCCAAGCACACGTTGTGGTCAAAAAAACTACTTGCAGGCTACGAGATTCTATGAGTGTGGGGGAACTTCTTACAAAATGGTACCAATTAGTGCTTCCAAGTGATTCCAAGTGCATCCGATTCTTCCAACAAATTCCAACAGGTTCCGTCTCCAGCATCACATCCTGCAGCAACCAAGCCACGGTCCTGGATAAGGACTTGAGCCATGCACTCTGCATGGACGCACGTCTCCTTGCCTTCCCTACCTTGATAACTGAACCTCAGGGGATGGGCTGCTACTCAATCATCGTACTGGGGACAACCTGGTACAGATTGCCGCATGTTGCGACATGACATTGCGCATCAAACCAAACTCAAACTGAGCGAAAACTAGATTAGCCCCCAGGTCCCAACCTAGTTCAATCAGCAATACTTGCAGAAGCATTACATCCACAGGTATCCAAACCATGCTCGGTTAACATCAACATTTACACTTACATATATATATATACTATGTATGTATATAAATAAATAAGTATTGCTTACTCTGAGTTTCACCCACGTCCCTATTAAAAGACCTTAGAGAGATGAGAAGATTGGCCTGGCATGTCTGCAGCGCCCACACCATTCCCAGCTAGTCGTGGCAAATGGCCAAACATTGCATTGTAAGCGTATTGTTATATCATGGTTCTATCATGGTTCCACTGCCAGGAGGACTACCAAATAATCAACGACTCCAACATGCTCAACCAATTCAAGAAAATGACTTACCAGGAGTGACCGCATCAACTGAAATCCATCTCAGACCCACTGCTGGAGGCATCGAAATCACATGGAAAATCACCCGAAAACTCCGCAGCTCTGCTGGCCAGTGAACTCTCCCACTGGCAGAGAACAGCGCGTGCAGAGCGGCACATCTTCACCCTGACCATCAGGACCATCCCGCCCAACGTCCAGTTAAATGGGTTAAAGATGCCACAAGTACCCCATTAATTATGAGGTTGAACTACCCATCAAATGGGATTATAACATGTTATAAGTTATTAGGAGCTGATAATCCCAGTAACTCAGTAATTAATGACTGGGAGGGGCACAACATGGCAGCTACAGCCGCAAGCAGTGAGAAAACTCCTGGGTGTATGGATCAAGGTTGGATACCTCCAAAATGGCTGGTGAAATCATTCGGAATGACGCACATCTGTGGATCCGTGCCCAAACCGTTGACCGTAAGCAACTGAGCTGCAAGCCTCTGAGTCCGCCTCCCAGTGTTTGTCCTTCATGATTCTGCGGACCGGCTTGTTCATCGCTGACTTCAGAGCCTCCGGGGGAAGTCACTGGGTCCCAGGATGTCCCAGGACTGCCAATGCCGGTAGCTCAGCATGCAGCTAGTAGCAGCTAGTCACTGATCGATCCCTGCGCCTCATTTGACAACGTCTGACGCTCAGGCTGCTTAGCAGGTGCCGTGTACCATGGGAAAGCTTTGCGGTTGTAGCCTAACATCTGAGGCAATGCTTAGGGCATTGGACTCACGTCCCACGATACCACGCAATCAATCCAAACTAATCTGTCGAAGATTCAGCACAAGGGTCCCAGACAAAAGCAGAACCCCAAGAGTCTGAATCCGACTTTTGGGAAAAAAAATACAGCAGGTTTCCATAGATTTCAACGCTGGATCCATTGTAAAACATAATTTTTGCCATGCCTGGGTTGCAGCCATCCCGGCTTTCCCCAAAGCGTTCCAGGTAAACCTTCAGGGCATCTGCTTCATCCGAGGACAGGCCTTTTTCCTTGGTCAGGTGCATAGCGACACATGGCAACCAACCAATGCGGTCAACTTAGACTCCAAAAACTCCATGAAAAATATGAAAACACTGGGCAAATGGCAGCCACTGGGGTTTCCTCAGCCGCCGGGGCTTCCTCCACTTGCAAGTCGCTCCTGTCACGTTTGGAGCCCCCAGGCCCAAGTTGGCATGACAGATAGATGTATATACCTTAACTTATGTATTAATTATATTATTCATCGTTTCATACTTCCACATCTTCCACCATCTTCCACATTCTTCCACCATTGGTTTGCAAGACTAAAATGACACGTTACCAATCGAGCGCAAAGCTCAGCTCAGCTTCGGACTTCTGCTCCACTTCCTCCAGAGTCTGCTCAGCAGTTTGCACTTCTGCCTCCTTCGCTCGTTGCAGCTGAAAAAAAAAACATGAACGATGAGGAAATGCCAAAGGAAGAACAAGTCAAACAGCGAAAGAGACTGAGAGCGAGAGAGAGAGAGAGAGAGCATGAAAGAGAGAGAGCATGAAAGAGAGAGAGAGAGAGAGCATGAGAGAGAGAGAGAGAGTGCGAGAGAGAGAGAGAGAGTGCATGAGAGAGAGAGAGAGAGAGTGCATGAGAGAGAGAGAGAGTGCATGAGAGAGAGAGAGAGAGTGCATGAGAGAGAGAGAGAGAGAGTGCATGAGAGAGAGAGAGAGAGTGCAAGAGAGAGAGAGAGAGAGTGCATGAGAGAGAGAGAGAGAGAGTGCATGAGAGAGAGAGAGAGCGCATGTGTGCGTTACTTCGTGCGTGCAAAAAGGTAGTGTTTCGGTTTCACTTCCTCTATGTACGTCCTCGAATGTACCATGAAGCGCGCAGGGTTCACTTCAACTTTGCATAAATTGCTGAGCTAGAGCCATGAGTTGAAACTGCGTGCCTCATCATCCTTAGACGAAACCCATTGTGAGAAGGCAGAACGTCCAGAACGCTTGGTGACCTGCATTGCTCCAAAGCTCATCACAAGTCAGTTGTGAAGTGGTTCAGGCCCGACAAATTTCACATCCCAACGTATTCGCTGTGTTCAAGTCAAGTGGGTGTGTCTGAAAATGGGGTATACACACCCAAATAGCTACTGTAATGGGAAATTAATGGGAATATGTATGACTATCTCAACCATTGGTTTTTGTCTGCGCCCTTGGGGTACCCCATTTTCAGACAAACCCATGTAGGAGGACCAGAGTCTAATTGTCCCATCACATGGCGATCTGAGGATTTTCTGACCTGCACCTGGGTCGAAACCTCTGCCTTCTTGACGAGAAGCTCCTGCGAACGAGTCCGGGACTACTGTGAGTTCTGCAACGGGGATATCAACAATGATCGCAAGGCCAGCAAAACCTTCACAAGACTTGTCCTTGGAGTCCTTGCAAAGCATTGAATACAGTCAATCGAATGCTAGAAGTGTCTTGAACTCTGGAACACAAGCAACATAAACGACATGACATAACATATTTCGATATATTTAGATCATCAATGTATTCTTGCCCTATTCCCAAACTCACAAAGCAACACAAAAGCGCCAACTGTCGGCTCCTTGCCGCGCAAGCTGGGGGTTACCCATCCATTTGCTGGGCCCGACCCTTGCACCAGCTCCTTAGGAAACCGGTGCCAATCCCATGGGCTGACAAACCAGGGGCACACTACGGGAAACCCATGGGTTTTTGCAATCACAAATGATGGAAAAGATTGGTCAAAAAATCTGATGGTAAAAGGAATGTGGTGTTTTTTAACCATCTAGTTTTAAAATTATGGTCCTCGTATGTCCTGGTCCTTCACATCTTCCTTCAGACCAAGTCTGGGCTGGATGCCACTGGACAAGATTCATATTCGATTCGGCCATCGCGAGAGTTCAGCTCCTGTTGGGAAGCCATGGAAAGCCAATCAGAAATCCAAAATCCCAAGTAATGTGGGTAAAACATGGTAAAACAGTGTCATAAACTCATAAACCACCCATTTGGGAATGGTTTGACCCACACCAGGAATGGTTCCAAAAGGACCATCCCTGCAGGCTTCGACCAATGGGGTGCCCCCAATAAGGGTGCCCCATAAGGGGATCCTTGACCACAGAGCCGGTGGAGAGGCGGCGCACAGCCATTTCCGACGTCAGCTCACATCCGCTGCGCACAATGATCTCGCCGTGCTCGGCACCACCAACTACCTGGAGACCGGCACTGACTTTGGGATCATCTGGCCCCTGATGCCCCTGGATCCTTTTGTATGAATTGTGTGCAAGCTATAACTCGAGATTCATAAATTCATTGATTTCAAGAAACAGAGTCTAATAATTCATAAAAGGATATAAAAGGTGTAAGTGTAAATCATTACTTTTGAGGCCCCACCCAATTCATGAATTACCCCAGCTATCACCTGGGCGCCCCATCCTCCCATAAGAGCGCCATCACTAGCGGCTGCGGCTCGCCCCGTCGCGACCGAGACTTGAGTTTGAGACTGGCGAAGTAGGAACCCATGCCTACCCCGAAAAAGATGCTGAAAAGTAAAATCCAATCCTAATAGTGGAAGTTCCTATCAGTTTTACTGCAGTTACTACAGTACGTATATTTGAAGGCAATTTCCAAATGGTTGGGAAAGGCACCTTCGAAACCCCATTCCACATGTCCTTCAAAACCCTAGATCTCCACCCTTCAGCATGAGCATTGGGACTCCATTTTCTGCAGCTGTGCCAAGCGATGCTAGTTGAGCAGGAAGATGTGAGAAAGCCAAGCAGGTCATGTCATATAATTGCATTCATCTGTGCCGAATGGCAGATTGTGGGCTGCCAGAACCAGGCTATTCCAACTAAGGTTCAGCGGCTAGCCCAGCAGGTTGTACTGTTTCTTGGCACCGAGCATCCTCAGTCTGCAAGTCAGTGGCATGCAATGAAACTTAGTGCACATGCGATCCATTTTACTCACGATGGATGCCAATACATTTGATACCCTCCAGTAAATGAACATAGACATGGAAAACCCACCAGAAAGTGTAGTAGATCATTTTCCTTGCAAAACAAGGCACGTTTTCCGTGGGCTTTCCATATCTACGTACCAAAATTGCATAAAAATACTGCAAGGTATGGGATGATAAAGGTCCCAATTCTCAGGGGCTTGGGCAAGCATCCCAAGCTCAGGGGCTCCAACAGACATGGCCGGTTTGAGACTTTGACCAACTCGTCTTACAGAGCCACCCCATCGTCCACGAAAGCTCTGGCCCGTCATCTGTTTGAAGACCATCTTGGCAAACCTTGTGCGACAAAATGAACGATGATGGCTTGGTATACTATAAACAAAGTGGGTGTTGTAAGATATTTATGATATTAGGGTGGCGTGAGCCATCTACAATCAGCCAGATGGCGTGTGTTCCACCAATGCCTCCATTTGCTGACAACCATGCCTATCGCAAAAAACGACCCATGCCCCTGCCACTCCAGTTATAGTTCTCTCTCCCTAATGTCACATGCCCCATAGGAACCCCGGTTTAGTTTAGTTGAATCATGTTGAATCTATTCATTTTGGGGTCTCGTGTTCAGGTGTTTCAACATTATGTGGATGGGATTGATGGGATTGGCAAGCTTTCCAAGGAACTGCTTGCGCACTGAGAGGGACACGGGCATGTTTCCACCCTGTGCTTGGATCGCGCTCAGCGCTCCGATCGTGGCGGCTGAGCAATCAGCGGTGAAGAGCCTGGAGTGGTTGCGGTCCAGCGGAAGATGAAACTTTCGATCTTCAAAACAACAAGGAACGTAGAAACATGGCAACTATGCAAAACTCGGATGTGCATCATTGAACTGTATGGAGCAGTGCTAAATTACTAAATTACTGAGTTCTGATGAGGAGCTGCTTCGCCAGGGAGTTGCGATCTTCCAAATTTTGGGGGTTCACAGCCAACGCCCTCGAGCCGTTAGAAAGCTGTTCCACCACGATCACATTCTCTTGGACTGTCCTGGGCTACTCATGGGCCGTGGGCAGCAGTTGATTGGCAGGGAGGGCTGTGTACATCTGTGTATGGTTATGTTTTTGATATTTTTTGAGGCTATTGGGGGCACATGGGGGCACCAAAGAGCGGGAAAAGGCTTCGGCCAAAAAGCTTGAAGACCAGGTAGAAATGGTGTGGCTGCTTTCCAGATTGCAAATGTCCATCCGCAGGCTCAATGAACACCTCAGCATCTCCAATTACTTGAATGTTCACCAGGGCTACTTCTCATATCAGCATCCCTAACCATGATTCCAACCCAGTTACTTTATGGAGCCCCCAGTTAGAGGACTTTACGGTGAATACGGTGAATCCTTGGGGTTGGAAAATGATGATCCAGCCGTCCAGCCTTGCATTCCTGGAGCTTCTCCTCTTGCGCTGCATTGGAGGCGTTACATTTGAGCTGCCACTCAGGGGCACCTGGGTCGCCGGTGGCGACCCGAGACTCCGAGTCAAGGGAACCCGATGGAATCCGAGGCACCGAAAGATGTGATGTTGAGAAGCAACAAAAATCAACACACCGCGATCCTATGGAATATCCGTGAATATCCCAAGTTTCTCCGCTTAGTCAATCAGAACCAATCATCAACTGAGCATCGGCTGGAAAAGATGGCACCGACCTTCTCCTGACCGAACTTCAGCTGTGTGGTGCGTACCTCCAAGCTGCCGATTTGGTAAATCCGGAACGTGGAACCTCGCATCGCGGCCACAGGGAAACAACTGCCCGTGTTTAACGACTTTTCTGGACCTACCTTCAAATCGATCTAAGCTGCAGATGCCAAGGCCTCATCTTGATTCAAACCTTTACCCAGATGTTTTTTCTTGGCAAAAAAAGTGACAAAACTGTATGTGGATGTATGTGATGTCTGTGTGTGTGCTTCTATTTGGCGAGCTGCCATCTTCGGTTTGCTTCTTAAATTCTGGGGCCGCCGTGGGCAAAATGTCATGCGTCAGCACCATGGCAAAAGTGTCGTCAAAGTCCACTTTAATGAGGCCCATCTTCTTGTTTGACACATCCTCAGGCTACTTGGAGCTACTTGGTTTCACCTTCTGAAAGATAGGTGAAAATGGTTGAAATGCAAAAGACAAAAGCCATCAAAGGCCATCAAACACTTACAATGATTGTTGTATATCATATATCGATATGTTGATTTATAATAATTCGGTCAAAAAAAGTTGGTATCAATATGTATCAATTCAATACTTCATGTAAAGATATCTAGAATATACACTGAATACGTGCATGTGCATGTATATATATATATATATATTTATGTGTGTGTGTGCATGTGTGTATGTATATGTATATGTACGTATATATATATATGTGTGTGTGCGTGTATGTATATGTATATGTATATGTATATGTATATGTATATGTATATGTATATGTATATTATATGTATATGTATATGTATATGTATATGTGTATGAATTTATGTATGCATGCATGCATGCATGCATGTATGTATGTAATGTAATGTATTGTATTGTAATGTGTTGTAATGCAATGCAATGCAATGCAATGCAATGGAATGGAATGGAATGTATGCATGTATGTATACAGTACATATACCCATATCGCCTTAGCTATTTTTTCCCAGCGTCGGTTTTGGTCCCATCCTTTTCCAGCTGAATTCGCGAGGTCCAGGACCTGGATCCAAGTGACGAGATCCACCAGTGTCAGTGTCACCAGTGGCTTTTGTTCCATGGAAATCATGGAAATCTGCTCAGTTGAGGATGGAATGATACTTCTGAATAATACATTAATGATATGTGAATTATACTTCTGAATATATAACCTAATATAAACCATAATATAGAGATACTGAGATACATGATGTGTACCACCGAAGTATGCAAGCTGCGATCACCAGTGCCAAGCCTTGGAAACTCTGCTCCAGCGTTTCCAACCTGAAATGCTTTGTCAAAGAAATGCATCTGTCGCCGCTCAAAGAGGAGTTTCTCCTCATTCACTAGGCTACGAATCTTGGAAGTGTACCTCAGCTGCAGTGGCCCGAAGTAGGTGGCACCCGGGAATCAAATTTTGCAAGTTTTGTAGGCATCTTGCTGTGATCCAAATTCATCAACTCATCACCTCAGTGTGGGGTCTTTTCATATGTGTTCAAGGTCTGCCACAACATCCACAACTCTCAACCCAAAATATCTGCCAAATCTCTGAACTGAAAAACGTGTCGGTCAGATTCGGTCAGGTCGTTGCGTCAAGTGACTCCATACTGGGATCTGGAGGAACAAAGGCATCACCCTCCTCGCTACGGTCGCATTCGGGCGACTCGTAGACCTTCAACAGGAGGTCTTCGTACTCGGCTTTCAGCCCAGGATACTTCCTGGGCTGAAAGAATTCAGACCAACATGGTCAACCACATTAGTTTCAAGAGATTAGCACAAGAAAAGAATGATAAACAGTTGCTTTCCCAACAAAATGTTTACAGGCTGCAACCAATTATCATGTCTTGTCTCGGTCAGTTGCATTCATTTTCCAGAAACGGAAAGATGTACAGCATATGAGTACGCAAAACTCAAGAAGAATTTCACTTGCTTTCTAACGTGGCCCACTTCACGTTGTTATGTCATCCCCCACCATTCTCTCACATCCTCTTCAAGTTTCCGCTCTCTCAAGCCCTTCAAAAAGGCCTTCCCCAAGGTGACTTTGGCTTCCAGCGAGTCATTGGTGCCAGCAGCAGCTGGCAGGTAGCCAGCGAACTTCTCGATCCTGGAGAGGTTGAATTTGTCCAAGTTCAGGTCGACACCCTGCGGCATCTGTGGCACCTCGAACCGTTCGGGCGTGCTCGATGCCAGCAGATGGCTCAAATGGGTATATTTGTATGGGTTATGAATGGGCTATGAGTCAAAACCTCTAGAAACTTCGCACTAATGGGCTGAAATCTATGATGTTCACCCCGCCCAAGTCATCCTCTCTTCCTATCAGCATTCACTCACCGCAAAGCCCCAGTCGCGCCTGGGCCTGCTGTCCGATCTGAAAACGCTGAGGCATGAACATGGGTCGCCCTGCAAAGCTTCAGTGTCATGGGTGAAACCGCTGAAAACAAGATGCCAAAGGGCTTGCACAACTGGTAGACTAAAAGTTGATGCGGGTCATATCTTCGGAAAGTACGAAGTTGATCAAACTTGTTATGTATGTTGTGTGTGTGCGCCATTGGATTAGCCGTGATGTTTCTTTCCATGGTTTGACACCTTTCTTTCCCCTGATCTCCCCTGGTTCTCAACGGATCGCCTGATTGACCCAGCTGCATGCCAGCCTGCCCTTGCATGGCATGGCGCTGGGCTAACTCGAAGCGGTCCAAGCCAAACTCCACGCCGCCATAGATGGCGTGCAGGTTTCGATGTCCGCCTTTTTTGGGTGTCAAAAAAGACGTGGAGGTCGGGAGTTCCCAGAAATGGAGCTTTCACCAGCCAATTTATGGGAGTTTAAGCATGAATAATGGGGATTAAACTATGATTCTTGACCAATGAGTAATGGGCATGTACCTGAACATCCCGCAAGCTGTGGCCATTTGAATGGGAGAAATGACGACACACCGATTTAAACCATGGGAATTTTTTCGGGCATCTTGAATTTTCAATGTGAGTCGAGTCTTTTTTTGGACAAGTCTTGGGAAATGTTTTTCCCGCCCAGGCACCAGTGATCATGTCAATCAGTCTGCCATTCTTCAATTGAATACGGGAGTTTCCCCTCATATTCCATAGCTGCGGGATCTGAGGATGGGCTTCTGCCGCGGTATTTTTCACAATCCTTGGCTTCTGCGGATCAAGAGCGCGGCTTGTCGCGGCTAAAGTATCCAGGGCTCCAGCAGTATCCCCCAAGGCACATTTAAAGGAACAATGCTCACGAGGGCATTGGATCTTGCTAGGTACTCACTCACTTCACCGGCTAAACTGCTCAAACAGGGCCTAGCATCTCATCTGCCAGTTGATACCAGCTGCTACTGACACGGATGTTGGAATCCACCAAATATTTCGCCATCACCGAGGCCTTCGCAAGCTCACGCAAGTGGAAAACCACACTCTTTCGCTCGGCAACAAGGTCGAAGTTGCGCGTGAAGGCATCGGCAAATTTCCTTGCTTCAAGCAAGCAAATACCAAACAGAAAGCCCACATCCAATTTCCAGCCCAAAACAGGCTCTTCAATAGAACCCATTTAGACATATTTAGACAATAGATGAAACTTTAAACATCTTTAAACCACCAAGATTCTTCAATGGATGTGTGTTTGCCGTCACAGCTGCATCTTCCAGCCCAGTCTTGGTCAGGATTTGCTCCCGGGCCTCCACCCCCATCTTCACCACGGGGACCAGGGTCTGATCCACCGACATTCGGACCTCGGCTTTGCGCACCACAAACCATTCGCGGCCTGACCAGTTGCGATCCCTCTCCGTGCTCGAAACCTCGGACCAGTCGAAGACGCTCATCATGCCAGCCACCTGACGATGAAGCCACAGCTAAATGATGGGGCAATAGGGTACCAGGTAGGGTATAGTGGAAAAAAGCGCTAGAAATCTGAAGTGTCAACACGTCTTTTTTTTCGAGTTACTGGAAGCTTTTTTGAAGATTGTGAGGTGTGGCTGAACCACAATGAGTTGCAACTGGTTTCATGCTCTGAGCTTGGGACTGGCATGGTGTACTCTCCCAGTGCCAATTCCTTCAGGAAGTAGTCTGCTTGGAACATGACATCTCCAACACTGGTGCCGGCCAGCCAACTGGGTTCATAGACCTTCTTCTGCGGAGTCTTCTCCTCGGTCGGCATCTGTATTACACCCTGGCCGCAAATTGTTTCAGGACCAATGTGAGAAACGGGGGAGTATTCCCAAACACTGATACCAAGACATCCTACTTATGCCCCTGGCAAAACCTCTCAAACGGCCGGCACCAGCAAAGCAATGCCAGGTCGTTCACGGCAGGTCTCCAAGTTCTGCGGATCCACTGGATCTAAGGAGAAGAGTGGTTCGCGCTTAGCAGTCTTACGCACCTTTAATGCCAGGAGCAAGTACTCCAAATTCACTGCAGCAGCTGGCTCCAGGGTAGGTGCCACCTACAGGAGACCAACTGAATCAAAGGATCAGTTTCCGGAGGCCCAACCATAGCCCAACCACTTGATTTTTAAATATTTTGAAGCTATACCGGCTATACCTTCTGGCCCAATAAATGCACCTTGACGGTTCTGGAAGCCTCATCAAGCACCAAGCAGCACAGCCCGGGACAAGCTGTGCTGCAGCCCATACCTACGGTGATGGCCATTGGATATCTGTGCAGAATCATATCTGTATCCCTCTGTGTCCTCTATTTGCATGTGTGTGTGTGTGCAACTACCTTGTGTTTGTAATAGGCAGGTGGGTAGGTAGCTAGCTAGGTAGATAGGTAGCTAGGTCGCTAGGTGGCTAAGTCGCTGGGTGCTAGGGCTAGGTAGATAGGTAGCTAGGTAGCTGGGTAGCTGGGTAGATAGGTAATTAGGTAGTTAGGTAGGTAGCACGTAGGTAGGTAGATGGATGATGGATGATGGATGATGGATAGATGGATACATGGATAGATAGACAGACAGATAGATTAGACACACGATTGATAAACAACTAAAAATCACGGGTCTGCTTGTATGGTTTCCACTGGTTTCCACTGGTTTCCACCCAGATTTCGCCAAGACTTCGCCCGCCGAGGCACGCTCTGCCAGCACGGCGTTTTGTGGGACACTGTCCATGCGCCAACCGATCTCGTATTCTTTGCGACTCTTGAGCTTCTTCTCTGCTTCCCAAGAAGCTCGCCTGTCTTCATGTCGCTGGGCATCCTGCGACAAGCACTGCTTCCAAGCACTGTTGATGTCGCAAACTGAAACCAATGGGTTAGAATCGGTTAGAACATTGGAGAACTAAAGTCGACCTCCAACCTCAGTCCTCAACGAGAACTTGTGCCATGCACTCAGCGTGCACCCAGCTGCGTCTCCCCTGTCGGCCCTCATATGCAAACTGCCCCACTGGCATGCAACACCTTGTGCACAAAGGCACTTCCTTGGTTCCGGAAGAGGCTTGATGCCAGGGACAACTTTAAAGGACCCAGCTCTCTGGCTTGCAGACATTGTTGATTGCTGATTTCCCTTCAAGTCTTGATGCATCTCATGGTCATTGAGGCCAGACTTGCCTCTGAATCTTCGCTGTCATAAGTTGCAGATGCAGGGCAGTTTCGTCAGGACTAGCAGCATTTCAAGAAACAATGCTCATAAAGACTATATGGGTGGACCACCGCACATGGAACTTAATTCAGCAATTCAGAGTGAACCGACATGATTTCCTTGGAGGCATGCTGATTCATCTCATTCACGCTGATCCCTTGGGATGCCATGTTAATCCTGCCATGTTAATCCTCAGCCCACTGGAAGTGGTTTTGCCTTCATATCGTGACACTGCCGGTGCTTCTGCCGTGGCATCCCGAGATATCCCGAGATATCCCGAGGCAAAATCAACGTGAGGCCAGGGAGAGGTAAGCTAGCAGGACAGTACGAATGTTGTACCGGAGACTGCTCGGCTGAAAGAAGAAACTGAAATATAATATATATATATATATATAGACTCGTTCAGCGCCACAACTTTTGTCGCTCTGCAAGGTCAAGTGTGTCAAAATTAAAAAATCACCGAAAAGCTTTTCCCCACCAAGAAGCACAAAACAACCAGTCCAGGGATTTCAATCCCAATACCCCTGGAAACTCCCAGCCAAACCTAAAGAGATTCCAGCCAAGGTATTAGCAATAGGGCTTCCTTCTGTCCGGCCAAACCCAAGATCAGAAGGACTAAACCCATGTGTCACGCATCCAATGCGTTTTTTGTGCTTTTTTGTGCGCTTGTTTGCCTTCTTCCGGGGGGGAAGTGAAACTAGGGGGGGCCCTTAAGCCGAAACTCCAGGGCAAAAGTATGTTAAAACTTCACTCATCTATTCAACCGAGGGCGTTAAATCATAGACTCGTTCAGCGCCACAACTTTTGTCGCTCTGCAAGGTCAAGTGTGTCAAAATTAAAAAATCACCGAAAAGCTTTTCCCCACCAAGAAGCACAAAACAACCAGTCCAGGGATTTCAATCCCAATACCCCTGGAAACTCCCAGCCAAACCTAAAGAGATTCCAGCCAAGGTATTAGCAATAGGGCTTCCTTCTGTCCGGCCAAACCCAAGATCAGAAGGACTAAACCCATGTGTCACGCATCCAATGCGTTTTTTGTGTTTTTTTGTGCGCTTGTTTGCCTTCTTCCGAGTCCCCCTGCTCTGTGCCTTTGGCACGGGCTCAAGTGGAGGCAGGGGTAAGGTGAGACTACGGGAGTATTGCTGACGAAAATTTTTTGAAAATCGTGTCCACGGTAAGGAGAGTTCAGCTAGGACCGATAACCCTTCATTCAAATAAACTCTTGCAGTCTTGGCGGATTGCCAACGACCAGCTACCAAAAGCCGATCAAAATTGCTTTGGTTTGAAAACAGATAGGTTGCCCCTCCCCTTCGCAATGAGTAGGGGCGAAAATCCCACTGCGAGAACCCCAATACGGACATAACACCGGAGAATTCTTTACGCCATTGATGCGCTGGACCCGCGAGAAGTTGGTTCGAAGGGGAATTCTGCACCCATTGATACAAGCGTCGGCAAACATCTTCAACGTAAATGGTGACAGACTCTGCTGCCCCCTGACGCTTGCCACTTTTGGTTAACCCCAACGATATCACAGCGGGACCACGCGGCGAACGAATAGAAACTTGACTCCCTTTAATCTGCAGGAGTTCTCCCGTCCGCAGGAGCCCATGAAACCCTAGCAAAAAACTGAGAGCTAATCTACAGTTCTGTTTAAAAGTTGCGTACCCAACCATGGCATGCAAGACTTCTAAAGGCAGAGGAGGAGCTCTGTTTGGCACCTCATGCGTTGTCCAAGTTTTCAAAAGACGCCAACTTTCCAAAAGTTTGCCTTTTAATTGAGGCTGGGCATCTTGTAATGCCGCAAGGATATTTGAGCCTTCCGTGCGACCCGCACCGGTGGCCCACAGATGCTCCATATAATCACTGACTATTGCATCCAAAGCGACACCATGGTTAGGCAAGGTTAGATGGTGGTCACGCAAGTATGTGTAAAAGTTTTCACGTGCCTGAGCATAACGTGCCTTTGTAACAGGTTGGACGGTCAGTTCCCTTAACGTACCTAAGCTTTTACGGATTTTTACCCTATCTTCTTGCGTCTTTCCTTCCAAACGTCTTTTAGGCATTGGACCATTTTCTTTTCCGGGGCCGCCTACTCGGGGCGTCCGCCGGATTGTCCTTTGTATTCACGTAAGCCCACAAAACGTGGGAGTTGGTCGCAAGAAGCAGGGAATTGATCCGAAGCAAGGTACGTTTTAGCTTACGGCTAGATGACCGTCCTCTACTCAACGCATGCAGGCACACTAAAGAATCAACTAAATGCACAAACTTGGAATGCGTAATTCCTTTGCGTTCAATCCGCCACCTCAAAGCCGTAAGAACGGCTCGAAGCTCAAGCACATTAATATGCTCAGCTTGTTGCGACCAGGTCCATCCACAGATGGTACGCCATTTCCACAACTTTGATGGAATGGACGCCCTTAATCTCTGATATTTGACCTGATCGTCCGTAGACGGCTGAATCAAAAGGTCATCACCTTTGATACTGATCAACGTGCACAATTTCCGAACCAGCTTAAGCTCATTAGCCAGGTGCCCCACCCGTCGGCAGCTTCCCATCATAGGCCGCTGCAGGTAGGTCTGGAAATCCGTTTCACTTCCTGGTGCGGTGCGTTCCACCAAATCTTGTACCCTCAAGTTGGGATTCAAACCTAAACGAGCTCCCAGCCGGGATAGTAACCACGCAATAATGGTAACATTCCAGGAATTTCCCACCAATGTCAAACGGCAATCCTGGTATGCTTGCGAACCATGTTTGCTCTTTGGCATACATTGCGCAGTATACCCTTTGGGGAATCCCATTATCACCTCTCTTTCCTCAACATCAGGAATGCGCATTGCCCCATGTTTGTTTGAAAGACAATGCCGTGCTTGATACTGATAGGGAGGAAAACGAAATGAGTCTTGCGTCCACCTCTTAACATCATCCGGACAACACTGTCGAAGACCTGCAGGCTTATAGCCTGGTGCCGATCTCGGCCTAGAGGTGGTAAACGTTGGCAGTAAACCTTGATCAACCATAGACCATCCTTCATGAAGATATTTTGCTGGCTCAACATGGGCCTTTAATGTGATACGTGCCCGACCAGACGGAAGAACATCCAAGGTGGCATCCTCTTCAGCCACCAATTCCCATTCCGTCCAATACAACCGTGGTCTGTGAGCCAGGCTCACATTTCCAGCATCAATATACCAAGGTGTAGCACCGAAACTAGCCGACATGATCTCCTCGTCACTCTGGTCCATGGATGCCACTGATTCCATCAAAGTCTGAACTTGGGCCCACGGAAAGGCTGCTTTCAGCAAATCTCTTACGCGGGGTACATGCTGAAACAAAGCACTACGTTCATCTCGGAGCGCTCCTTTTCGTGCAGCATTTAGACCTGATACCCCCTGACATGGGGGACCAGCCCCCAGCAGTATGAGGCCCACCTGAGAAAATTTCAGGGACCAGTCTTTAACCATCTCACCAGTGATGTCCTGCACATTTGACACATGAATAGTGTTGGGAAACCGTGATTCAACAACTCGGGCTGCTTCCGGCGACCGCTCAACACTGATATGCCCCATTACGTTCCAACCAAGGACGTCAGCGGCAACTCGTAACCCACTGATGCCATCGAACAACCCCACGGTAAGCACACCCGTAATGTCTGTTGGCTCCACCACATCCCCCCGTACAGGACACTGGGCTGCCACACAACCCGCAGGCGATAGCTTGTTGGAAGCCGTAACACCCCCGCCCGTAGTTGACGCGTCACTAGCGGTTACCAAGCTACTAAGGCGGCAACGGAAGTCCATGTAAGCCAAAGGAATCAACCCAAGAAACCTTGCCAATTCTTCTCGGACCTCTTCAGGCAGTTTCAATTTGACCACGGGGGGAAATCCTTCAAAGGAGCAGATAAAGGTCCAAATAGCATTAAGGCTACCTAGGAGCGGTCTCCTGAACATCGCCAAATAAACCAAGCCTCCACCGACAATCTGCATCTGTTTCTGTGTGGCTTCACCTGCTTCAAGTACAAGCCTGGTCAAATAAGCGTACCTGAGAACCTTCTCCTGCTTGGGATACGCAATTCCGGCTTTACCATCAACCACCGCACCTTGAACTTCAGCAAGAGTTTGACTCGCCACCCCTTTTCTAGGGTGACGGGGAACCTTCAGCAATGCACTCCTCCCGTAAACTAGAAACCAACGGTGAAACATGACCTGCAATAGCTTCCGCATGTCCCTTTGAGACTTTGCGAAGCTCATCAAAATTATCTAAATAAATTCTCATGAGGGGATTGCTCGTAGTGAAACTTCTATCCTTTCGCATTTCGACCTCCCCCCCAAGGTGACACCGTACCAACGCCTTCTTGGCAATAACCCTGTGCACATGTTGGGCTAACGCTACGCTGTTCTTAAAACCCATTGGTAAGACAGAGCTACACGGGTACCATACTCCAGGTTTATCTCCACAGAGTCGAGCAGGAAGAGGACGATTGAAAGCCATGAAGCGATGCCAGCTAGGGGGGATCTTGAAGATGTAAAAGAAACATCGTACATCCTCACTGGAAATCACCAGATCCTCATCACACAAAAGTTCCAAAGGCGTCATCCCAGAAATTGACGGCAAGGTAGCAATGTCGCTGTCCAACCCTCGACATACCGCATTCACCGGCACAAGGTTCATAATGACCCTCATCACCTCGTAGTTCCCCTCAAACTCGTGCTTAGACACCCCGAATAACCCGTTAAGAAGGGGCTTATCCTGAACCCGATAGATCTCGTCTTCATGCACCATGCTAAAGACTCCCCTCTGCAACATATTATCGCAAAAAGCATCCCAGCACTCTGGTGCAACCATCACGCGCGGGGGGCGCACATAGACCTGATCTTCTGGCGCCAACAGGTACGTGTCGAAATTAAGCACATAGTGATGAGAACCCAGCTCAACCACCTTCTCTAACTCCACCCCTCCAATCTCAACAGGCAACGCAGGGCTGACATTTTCCCACCTAATCCACTGTACGTTCAGGATTTCATCACCTTTATAGTCGACCCCTCTTACACAAAAGAAGTCATGCCACGAAAACGCGTCCAATCGCTCAGTCCACTCACACACCCGCTTGCACGCTGGTAGTAGACCTTCAAGAACTTGCTTCTGCAACTTGGAAACATTCTCTCCAACAAATTCAAGTCCTTCCCCATTAAGGGAATTCAAAGAAAGCACTAACACTTTGAGACAGACCAACCACGACTCCCTAGCTTCAGAAAAAAGGTGGCGTAGCAGCAAGAGGGATGTGGGTAAAGGAAAAACTTTACCCGTGGGCGCGACCTTACAGAGCCTACACCTAAACAAATCCACCTTGCTTTCCAGCCACTTGAAAATCTGTTCTATTCCGAAACTAGTGTGATCAGTCGGCTCCCAACTTTTTCCAGCATTGGCGCGGCCCAAGCCTGTGCCTTGGCTGTCGTCAGCTGTACCTTCATCCACATCGGGAGAAGATTCATGCACACTACCAGGAGGAGTGGCAGCTCCTCCACGGAAAAAGTGAAACCCAACCGGGAGCTCATTGACTCCCTCTGCTACCGCCCTACAGTCTTCTCCCTTTCTCTGCATCGTCCTGGAGCTTCTGCCTGCGTCCTCACTTCCTTTACTGTTGCATCCTCCTGTTGCCTTTTTTCTTTCACTCCCATCATCCTCGGGAGTATCTCTAAGAGCGCAAACCTTTTCTCCCTCTGCTATTCTTCTTCTTTTTTCTCCCACACTCAGGAGTTTTTCTTTGGCGCCTCGGGAGCTTTTCCTTTGTTTTTGCCCTTGTCCTTTCCTCCTTCCTTGTCCTTGCCTTTCCCTTTTCCTTTGTCTCTTGGCCAGGCGGGGCTGCTCCCTTTCGCCTTCATGTCGAGTGCTGCCTCCGTCTGGGCTAACTGGAGTTCTGCCCTTGACGCCACTCCAGCGTCCACATTGGGGATTATTTCTAGTTTCTGACTCGTGGCCCAGCTCTGGCCCGCCAGGGTCATCTCTAAGCTCTTCACTCGCTGCACAAGGCAGTCGCAGGCTTCCGCTGCCCTGCCCAGCAGGAGATAATCTCCAATGCACACCAACGTCTCTATTTCTCGACGAATCCCACCACTGGCTTTCCCCAAAAGGTACTGCCTGGCATACTGTGAAAGCACTGGGGGGAGACTCCCTTCTTCCAAATGCCACGGGTTGCCGCTGCTCTGCATGATGTAAGACTTCATGGTCTGCAGCGACGATGCCGCCAAGACTCCTGGGGCCATCGTTGCAATCTTCTGCAACTTTGACCTGTCCTGCAGCAAGTCGTCCTCCACTGTCTCCCCCTCCGAGGTGCTGGTGCTGGAACTCGCCGACGAACTGCTGGACGAGGTTTTTGCCTTTTTTAACTTCTTTTTCATCCGGGCCACAATCCTTTTCCTCTTTTTGCTGTCCGGATCGAGCCCCGTATTCCCGTACAGAGCCTCCAGGGGTTTCTTGGCCTGGCTTCGGCCCCCCACTTTTTTCTTTTTCTCTTTCCTCTCTTTCTTTTTCTTCTTTCTTTTTCTCGCCTTCTTGGACTCTCCACTCTGGCTTGACACCTCCGCTGCTTCCTTTTCTTTCTTTTCTTTCTTGTCTGTCTTCTCTTTCATCTCTCTCCTCAGCTCTGCGTTCTCGTCGACCGCAATGAGATTCTCTTCCCATCCTGTCACACTGCCTGGCTTGATGCGCTGAAAGTCTTTAAGGTGAAGAAGATCAGGATTGCTCCTCAGCTGGTCGCAATCTCTATGGCACAAATGTGCCCTGAGCTTTATGCCTGGCTGCCCAGACACAAATTTCAGGAGGTTTTCCGACTGAGTTCCAGTCACAATGACTGTAGCTTCAGCCTCTCCGTCCTCCACCGACACCTTTTCTACTTTCAAAGCTACTTTGCAGACCTCACCACTGTAGTTGGCTTTTTCACTTTGAATCCAATCCCCTTTCTTGAAGGAACCCAAGGGGTATGCAGAGGCGGGTATGATGTCTCCCGCCTCAAATTTTTTCTCCCACTCGTCGGGAGTTAGGACAGGAGAAACTTCTCCCTCTGCGTCAGCCGCCCCAGCCTCTCCTCTTGCTGCAGGGCGCCGCAACACTGCTCGTCTCGGCGCTGGCTTTGCTGCGGCAGGCCTCCTCGACATCAACGCCCCCCAGCAGCTTCCTCACCCCGACGATACCCCTCAACTCTAGCAGCCTTTCTGGTTGGGTCAGTGCCGTGGTGTCTAATGTCCCAGTTCCTCAAGCGCCTCTTCACTCCCTTACTGTTCCAGTTCGGATAATATTGGCCAAAATGTCCAAACTGACCCGGAGGAGGTGTTGTGGGATACCAGACACGAACGGCTGGAGGGTAAAGTGGCTCCGGGGGAGGGCGTCGGCCAGATGACCTAGCTCTGGTGGACCTGCTGTCTCCTCTTCCCCTCCTTGGGCTGGCTGAGGTCCTAGCCCGATCTCTCCTCCGGCTCCTCCTGTCTCTGCTCCGTCTACGCTCTCTTCCTCTACTCCTCTGATCTGATCTCCTCCCTTTCTCCTCGGGAGAGTACCTATCTTGTTCTGGACTTCTTTCTTCTTTGGCAACAGGAGAGAACGGCGATGGATGGGCACTTGCTTCGCCCTCTTGCTCTCTGATCTCTCCACTCCTTTTATCTATGTTCTCCTCAACTTCTAATCCAGATGTACTTTCTGCGGGAGGCTTTTCTCCCTCTTCTCTTGTTCTACTAGGCTCTCTGTCTCTTACCGGTGTTGCAGGAGGTGTGACTGTCTCCAGTGATTTCTCTTTGGCTTTTCTTCTCCTCTCCTTGTCTTTTTTCTTCTCACGCCGCTCTTTCTTTTTCTTTCGCTCCTCTCTTGACGATGCCTCACTCTTTCTCTTTTTCTCCTTTGTTGTGGCCTCCTTTGCCTTGAACTCCTCTACTGCTAGGTCTCCGGGGCAGTTGTTCCCAGGAGTAAGTGGGAGGCTAGGTTGCTCACTCCCCTCAACAGCCAAAGACGGGGCTGCCACCCCGTCTTTGGCCTCTTGTCCACTCCCCTCAGCAGGAGCTTGTCCAACCCCTTCCGCTAAGTCCTGAAGCTCCCCGTAGAAGTTCCGGACCCGGCGGAGCGCCTCCCACTTAAAGGTCTCCGGGAGGTGGGTCTCTCCCAGTAGCGCTTCTACACGGCCCCAGGCGGCACGAAGCTGGGGACCGACACCAGGAGGCGACGGTCCTCCACTCATACCACCCTTAAGCCGAAACTCCAGGGCAAAAGTATGTTAAAACTTCACTCATCTATTCAACCGAGGGCGTTAAATCATATATAGAGTGGTGTCTAACTGGCAAAAGGAAGAACCGGATTGAGATCCAAACAGAGAAGGGGGCTGCTGATGCTGATGATGATGATGATGATGAGGAGGAGGAGGAGCAGGAGGAGGACGATAACTACAACTGATGAAAATGAAGAAGATGAAGAAAAAAACGCAGATGATGATGAAGATGGCAAACCTGTACCTGCCCTCAAACCACGGACCAGGGGGGATTGAACCCGGGTCACTCGGCGGTATAGCCTTGAAAGTTTCTAGGGATTGGACACTCCTGCTGCCTGCCTATTCCTTATTCCTTGCTAAAGCAAGAGCGACTTCAGCTAGCACAAGCTTTCGTGAGTATTTTTTTAAAGAAGGGAGGAGAAAAAAAAAAAAAAGGAAATTCGTGAAAAAATCAAAGTGTTGGCCAATAAGAGCTCAAGCATCCTCGCCCTCCGAGTCCACTTCGCTGAGAGGTTGTCTATACCCCCCGTCCTTCTTAGGCTGATTCGCCAGCAGCACGGCTTCAATCGCTTCCTTTGGCGTAGTCTTCTTGTTCGGCTGCCCAGCCCAGGGAAAGGCTTGGCGATTGTATCCAGGGTTCTCCCCTGCCCGATTCTCACCAAACTTGTTGAGGTACTGATCAAAGGCCTCCTTTTCGTCCTTGGAAGGTCCCTTCTCATCCTTCGTTGAGGCCGGGGAAAGCTCAACGTCACTGGTGGACTCAGCAGAGGCATCCCAGGTCTGTTCGCCCTCACTGGTGGAGTCGACTGAGACCTCCTGGCAGCACGCAATCATAGCGGGACCCATTCACCTTCCGGAGAAACTATGTCTACTGGCTGCGTTCACCTCAAGACCAGCCGGCCTCCAAAGTGATGGGTGTTTTTATGTGGTTTTATTTGCTGCAAGATTCCCATTCAAATACACTATGCTTTCAGAACCTTCAGAGCGATCTAACCGGTACCTGATTTAAATCTGCCCTTAGCCGCAGTGCTATCACCAGTCCAAAAGCTAACATTGCTGTTGCTGTTGCCTGTCCTTCTGCGTCGCTGGCATCTGCATCAATAGGTCCTCACAAGTCACATGATTCATATGTTGTGCCAAGGAAGTCAAGCATCAGCTGCAGTGCAAGTCCCGGTCCTTGCCCTTCAAGTTCACTGTGACCCAGCCTTTCCTTGGGCCAGAGCCACACACCAACTCATACTGTAGACGCCCATCTTGCCAGCTTAACTCCTGATGGTGCGTCACCTGGACCCCTCATCCCAACCGGTTGGTTGATCCTGGGGTTCCATGTGGAATGTAAAAATCCCGGTTTTGTCAGTTGCTTTGAACATCATTTTCACCATTCACCAACCATCATTCAGAGGTCAAATGCCCGTTGTTGATGGTTAAAACCCCATGTATTTATATTCATTTAATTTAAAAGGAGGAAAAAAACATCAACCACCCTCACACGGACCGAAACGGTCCTTAACCTGCGAACCAGTGGCAAGCCTTTCGCTGATAGCTGGCGATGCCAAATCTAAATCCTGGCGCGGCAGCACAGGAGGATTCATCAGCTGATGTCATGCAATGCAATGAAATCTAGAGCAGTGAAATGCTATCAAAGTGCGATGCAATGTAATGTACTGAGAAATTCAGCTGGATGTTTATTGGCAAAAATCCAGAACCACACCGTTTCCTCACGCACGATGATGCCGCCCTTATCAGCACCACCAACCACCTCGATGCTGCAGGGGGTAGCCCACCGGCAACAGGAATGCGATGCGGCGACGCTTGTTGTGCTAGAATAAACAAATAGGAACTTTAATATGGAAAAAAAAGCAACTTATGCTGTTCTGGTTAGTTGTTGATATCAATTATGGGTTCTTAAAATGGTGGATCCCCAAAAGCATGGGTTTCAATAATAGTCTAATTTTGGATGATTTGGGGGACCCCCATTTGCCACCAGAACTGCCTCCCACATCTGTGACATCTCCACAGAACAGCCCAAGGTTGCCGCGGACCTGCAAGCCGCTTGAAGTATATCCACTCATATCCACTCCAAAAAATCCGTTCGTGTCATTTTTGGATACCCTACTTTAGTCCAGAAATCACTCTTTGCATACCCCCATCATTGATCTATCTACTAACATACCCAAATATACCAGTGCATTGCAGTGCTTTTAGCAAGTTGCGCTCAAAGACCACTGTTTTGGACGATCAAAAAACGACCCTGCTCAGCTCCAAACGGCAACACACTCACGTCAGCAGCCCGTGGAGCCAACAAAGGGCTGCAGGGACTGGAGATTCACCACAAAGATCAAGCATGTCTCCGTCCATTCCCATCTAAGATATTTAACATCTGCAAGTTTCTCACTTATCTATATCTTTTATTGACTTATTTTAGCTAGTTCCCTCCACTGCCTGTATGTTTATTTAACCCCGGATTACTGTTTGCCCACCGAAGACGCTTGTACTCTATGTCACCCTGGGATCGGAATGTTGGAATTTCAATCATCACAGCTGCTAGAGTACGAACTGCAGATCTGTTCCCCAAGAGTCTTCGTGGACAATCAATCGCACAACTGTCCATTGTCATCGGAGCTCCCAAGCAGGAAATTGGATAGTGTGTGTGTATATACATATATATATACGTAAATATTATTTGAAAAAGACACAAACAAATAAATAAACAAATAAATAAATAAATAAATAAATATAAATATATATATATATACAAATGTATATAAATATATATATATATATAATCCCAGCACCCAGATGCAGTCTCAGGCCACCACGTACTGTCGTCAGTTCTGATTCTAAGTTCTGGTGCGTTTGGATGGCCTGGCTGCATGCTCCGCCCGGCGACTTGGCACGGAGCATTTGGAACCTCCATGCAATGGGACGTCTATGATCATCTATTTAAAGAAATGTGAGCATTTAGAAATTTAGAATCTACCCCTAAATTCTCTATTTCAAAGAAAATGTGAGCATTTAGAAATTTAGAATCTACCCCTAAATTCGCTATTCAAAAAAATGTGAGCATTTAGAAATTTAGTATGAATCTACCCCTTAACATTCAATTGGAAAATCCATTTTAAAAAAATCCGACACTCACCTGCCTCCGAGCACCTCTGCACATCCGCCTGGCTCTCCTGCAGCTGTTCCTCAAGGCGTTTCACCTAGGTCACCCTGCCAGCCTGGACCCCCTTGGGTTAATTCAGGGGTTCCACCATGGGTTATTTATCACTAATGATGGTTAAAAGATGTTTAAATAAGTTAGTTCTTATCAGAACAGTCAATTCACAAGCCAAAATACATGATATAACTACATACTATATATATATATATCACGTAGTAATGATGAGATTCATTGGAGTTTATGATCAACCATGACCCAAATTAGTGATCATGCATCTGCCACTACAACGGTTTTTCCCACAAACAGCTCAGGCTTTGCCAATCAGAGGTTGACATTTTAGCTGGAAACGGTAAGTAATTATTGCAGCTGGAAATAACAGCTGGATTGGTTTGAAAAGTCAGGATTCCAAGAAAATTCATGGAATAGTGATTTATCATCATTATAGAATCGAATAATTTGTGATCTTACTAATTGGTCTGGAATAGGAATGCTGGCCTACCTAAGTTTGGGCATGTTGTTTTTCACCCACCGCACCTCATCCGCTTCTTCCCCTAGTCATATCAGAAGAATTCCATCACGACGACCAGCTGCCCCCTTTTTCAGCTGGAAATGAAGCCATCTCAGGTCAGAATGCATGATTCACATCTGCTCAGTCAAGGCATGATTTCCAACAGCCTGCCCGAGTCAAATGGAAAATACGGAAGGCTATGTACACGAGAGGAGTGAGTTGGGTGAAGCATAGCAGCCAAAAATGCCACGGGTTCATCAAAAGATGTCAAGCTGTCATGTCAGAGTTCTTCAACAAAACCACTTTGGGCCATGGGGGTTGTCCGGTTGTCCTATTTCAAGTAGGCTACCCCGATTTTGTGATGATCTGATGGTTAATCACACTTTTCCCTACTCAAGTTGCTATTTATTTTGGAGGTCTCTCCCATTTTCAGTCGTACGTAATTGATGAAATCCCTGGTTTTGACGGTTGAATTCCCAGGCCAATCAATCCCCCATAAAAATGGCTCAAGCTTTTGGCCACTGCGTGCAGCATTCCTTGCTTCAGAATTCGAAGATTTTGGGCGACGAAAGCGTTGCTGCCCTGGCTGCGTCAGATCCAGGGAAGAAGTTGGAGTTGCTTCTCATAAACCTGGGCGCACAAACTGACCTGGATCAAAGATGTGTATATATATATACACATAAATGTATTTGTTTGTGTGTGCTTGTGTGTGTGCACATACAGTACACGTGCAATCTAGATATCTCTATCTTTCTATCTATCTATCCATCCATCCATCCATCCATCCATCCATCTATCTATCTTTTCTAATTTTATCTTATCTAATCTTATCTTGTCTTATCTATTTTGTCTTATCTTATCTATCTTATCTATCTTGTCTATCTTATCTAACTTATCTTATCTAGTCTATCTATCTATCTATCTATCTATCTATGCATGCATGTAGGTAGATATGTAGGTATGCAGGTATGTAGGCATGTAGGCATGTAGGTATGTAGGTATGTAGGTATGCAGGTAATGTAGGTAATGTAGGTAATGCCATGTTGGCATGTAGGTATGTAGCTATGTAGCTATGTAGGTACGTTGGTAGGTAGGTATAGTAGCTATAGTAGCTATAGTAGCTATAGTAGGTATAGTAGCCATAGTAGCCATAGTAGCCATAGGTAGATATGTAGGTAGATATGTAGGTAGATATGTAGGTAGATATGCAGGTAGAGATGCAGGTAGATATGCAGGTAGATATGCAGGTAGATATGCAGGTAGGTAGGTAGGTAGGTTAGGCATGCATGCATGCATGTATGTATCATATGCATATGCTGCATATGTACCAAATCATACATATGTAGATATTATCAATATATATATATATATGTGTGTGTGTATATCTATATATATATACGTATAATCATAAAGATATAAGACTCTATACCAAAAGTGTCAAGCCAATGCTTCCCCAGTGACTGGACACTCACCAGCAAGGCTGCGAGGGTCAGGACCACATCCATGGCCCGATGTTCGTCTTGGTGGGGATTCACCACTGGATTCACCACTGGATGGACTGATTTCTCCCCACCATTCAGAGATGTTCAGAGAAAAAAATGAATCAAAGATCATCACTAGGCCAGCTGGTTATGGCTGGAAATTGGTTCTGTCATGTTCTGTCATGTTCTGATATGTCAAGATATGTCAAGATGCAAAAATCCTCCAGGAGCTTTGGGAGAATGCTCTCTGAAGACACCCCCTGGCAGTTTGTGATGATGCCTTTGGTGGAAGCCCAACCAACCCTGTCAGCATTCAGCATTGCCCCCCCCAAAAAAGTCACAAATCGATGGTGCCTGGAATATGTATCTGTATGTATGTATGTATGTATGGATGTATGTATGTATGTATGTATGGATGTATGTATGTATGCATGCATGCATGGATGTATGGATGTATGTATGTATGCACGTATGTATGTACGTAGGGATGTATGTCTGTGAATTTATGCCTCAATACATGGTGGCCAACCTTCTTACATCTCTCAGCAACCAAAGAAAGTTCTGGTGGCTTTGGCTACTTTGAATTAGTCCAAGGATGTCCAAGGCACCACACGATGCGATTCAGTACCGACATTGGAAGACTCTCACAGCTTCCCTTCCCAAACCTCGCTGGCCGGAAAGGCCAACTTCTCCAAGAATTGCTGCATCTGTGTCCTCTTGGGCATCAAGGCATTGATCATCAAAATTGATGCAGAGATGGCGTTCAATTGTCAATTCTCTCTTTGGGAAGACAGCTTTGGAGCGAAATTGGGATTCCAACGTCAGTAGTGGTGCTCTTCGAATGTTGTTTGCTGCAAGATTAATTGTCGAGCTGGTCATTTGCTTTGACGTTGCATTGCATGTTCACGCCGAATTTGCAGCCCAGTGTCGACATATCTTGCTTCCAGTTGATCCCTGGTCACATTACCATTGCAACCAACAACTCTTGAAGCCTGTGACCCGCAAGAAGCGTTCATTACAATACGGGTATGACATTGCTCCAATCACCAATTTTGCAAATGTGTTGGCACCAGTTTTTGGAGCCCCCCTGTGGTTCATCACCATGATGTTGGATCTTTGGCAGAATCAGGCACATCTTCACATATGATATGTGGAACCATGCCTGCGGTATGAAGCTGCTGACCAGCACCGTATATAGCCACCTGTACACATCGCTGATGGAAAAATGACCCAGTTGGTGTGCCCGCTGAGCTGAGGTTAGGACGAAGGGGTACCTGGTGACACGCTGCTGATTGCACAAGGTCTTGTCCACTGCGCAGTCTACCTGCATGGATCAATATGGCTGATCTTAAGCATGGACCTTCTTCCCTTGTGGGATATGCAGGGATTGACACCAAAGTCTGAGTGTGTGAGTCATGCACCTTGCTCGTGTCCTTACCGCTCCAATCCCCAAGTGGAGACAAAGGGAAATTGGGAACCTGTCCACTCTAGGGAGCACCTTGAATTCCAGGTGCCCCCTACCAAATCAGTCTACTGTAGACTTGCTCATGCAAGCTGCGGTGACCCTTACCAAAACGCCCCCCTTCCCTGCCTGAGCAAAGCGCAAGTGGATGAAGGAAGAATCCATGTTTTGCCTTGGATTGTTCTGCAGCTGAGCTCTAATTTTGGATGGCCGTCATCTTGGTGGTAATCCCTCAGGTGGCAACCTCCGTCATCGCGCCAGTCTCCGGCAACCCGGACACTTCGTTGCAGGCGAAGTGCTTCTGCTGCCATGTTCTGGCAAAGTCGTAGAAGAGCAGTTCCAGCTTTTGACAGGGCTGGAACCATTTTGGGCAAAAGAGAACCACCCACTTCCTCAAAGGTGTCAAAATGCGACAAGTGGATGGGGTGGTGGCACTGACAGATGACAAGAATTAGAATGACCACCAGGTGAATCTGGCAGAGGTTTGTTTCAAGCTAAAATCTGAAAAAAGGAATGAAAAGAACATGTTGTTCTATGAAGCTCATTCTACTTCTCTACTTATAATCATACTTCCTTGGATTCGTTTTTTTTTTAGCAAAAAAAAATTACCCGAAAGCCCATTGGATGGAGAAAAATATGGTTTCCTGCAGATCTTTCCCGATTTTCTCATGGCCGAGGGGCTCAACTCCTCCTCCCATGGGCTGCCTAACTTCAAGCGGCTGGGAATTCATATCGATCCAGCCGGGATCCCTGAGGTTTCAGGGCTCGCAACTGGCCTTCAACTGCTAGAACCCGCTAATTTGTCGCTATGTATATATATATATATATAAGATTATATAAGATTATAAGATTATATAAGCTATATGATGTAGGTGATGTGTATGTTTGAAGGTGATGTGTATGTTTGAGTGATAGATGTTTCTCTATAACAGCTACAATCACGTCGATCTGTATCATCAATGGACGGGGAAAGTTGTGGTCGCTCTAGGGGTCGAGCTCCCCAGCTTTGGTTCAAGCGACAAGACGTTGCCCTGGAAGATGTGGCGGTTCAACTGTGCGACATCCATTGAAGTTTGACCTGTCCTGAGATGGAGCTGAACTGAGTTCAAGGACCCTTTCAACAACAACATAAAATACGCAAAAAAAAAAATAGGAATATTAACAAAATTTGGCAAACTTTTGTTGTTGGGGAGGGGCACACTGACGCACAACTTGATACCATCCAAATCCATGAAAGCCATTGGAATGTGGGTATGGTTCTGCTGAAGACCCTGAAAGCTCTTCAAAATGTTGGAAGACAAACACGATAAATCTGTTAAATCATCGAATTTCATAGAAAACATATTGTAAATCACCATTTCTATCACCCCTTTTTGCGGCTCCGGTTTGACCCAATTTGGCCCCCATCAAATCCAACCAAGGCTCGGACCCGAATTCCCAGCCCGCTGTCCATGATACACCTGGGGAAGCTCTTTGCTGCATGCCTGCAGCCTCAGGCCATAGCTGCCATAGCTGGCTTCGTTCTGGGTGTTGAAAATGGCAAAAATACATATCATAAGTATGATGTAGAGCTGACTTATATAGAGAACTGATAACCTGCAACAGGAAGCTGATTATATAATCTTGCCGTCTGTCCCTTTTATGGAACAATCCCGATCACACTGAGGAGTAGGAATCCATATCAAAAACAACCGTAAAACCTAGAACGTGCGATAGGTACGTAAAGAGTATAATCCATTTTAATCCGTGTGAATCTGTGAATTAAAAATAGGAATATCAATCCACGCAGTGTGCATAGACATATTCAGATATATGCAGTTATCTTGTAACACACTATGACACATTATGACAGCCAACAGAATTCAACAAGCGACTGCCTAGCCAGCAGTCAGCCAAGCGACACTGTGCTCAAGAGAAGAAGGGCGGAAAAGTTCTTCGCCATTGTCCTCAGGCGTCCAGGCGTGCTAGTAACATTGATTCAACAAGCCGCAAATAAGCGTGACATAAGCCAAATACCACCATGATTCTGATTCTGGTGTGATCCCTATGATGATACTGATACTTATACCATATTTACATGTATATGCAAGCCATATGATTGAGATTAATTGAGCAGAAACATCACAAATATCCGAGAAATGGGGGCTTCAATCAGTTACTGCAATCTCGCACTACTCAAACCACCAACTGTCACCAACTTTCTGCTGCGGCTCTGGCGGCTGACCCTCAGCCTTTTCTACAGTAGTCAGATTGGAGGCGTGAATCGATCAGAGCAAAAAGGGCTGCCGCGAGAAGTGGCTTTCCCCATCTGCCAACTATTCTGCATGTTGGATGAATAGTTGAAAGATTTGAAAGCTATTCCCCATCTGCCAACTATTCTGCCAACTATTCTGTTCCACTTAAAATCCCAAGGAACAAAAAGTTGATCCCAAATCCAACGAGACTTGCTAGTCATCAGTCCAGGGAGTCCAGTGGAAACACATCCAGAACACAGTGCTCACCAGACGTGTTTTTTTCATCGAACTAATGAGGCTCCAAAAATGCCCAACATTGGTCGGAACGGCCAATGTCCATGACGAGGCAAGGGTGATGCTTTGCACCCTCCGCTTCTTCCTATGCACACAGCTCACTTTGAGCCAGCTTGCGTTTCAGCAAAAGCCACGGTCTCGCGCATGAGACCCAGGCAATGTGCCTCCTGAAATGGAAAGCAAATGGAGAAACACAACCAAATGCCGCACAAAGTTTTTTTTTTTTCGCCTACCGTGCAGAGACGGTCTTCAACATTTGCCAAATGAGTCGGCCAACCGTTAAAACCACAAACGGGCGCGGCTCCTGCCAGGGGCAACCAGCGAAGTGCCGGACGAAGTCGCCGGGCCGCCATTCATGGGCCGACCAATCGTTGGAGGCTGGTGGTACAAATGCGTTCAGATGAGCCTGGCATCGGTTTGAAGTCTTCGGGCCGGTAGACTCAGATAGGTCCATGCGTTTGTATCTACATCTGCATCATATTACAGTATATACAGTATATGGTCAGTGCCGGAATTATAGAACGGAAGTTGAAGAGGACGAAGGTACGGTTATTTACCGTACCCTGTTGTTCCATAATTCTGTTTTCCTCGGAAGGTGTGAAAAAAAAATGTATCTGATCTTCCTCTTATTTTTTTGCGTCGTTCTATAATTCTTGTCGGAGCGCTGCTGTTCTATAATTCTGTTTTCCCCCATTTTTCTCACATTTCCCATTTTCGTTCTATAATTAATGTTTCCCGGGCCCCGTTCTATAATTAATTTTTCCGTCGAACGGAAAAATTAATTATAGAACGGACAAATTAATTATAGAATTATAGAACCTCTTCCGGGGTCCCAGAAATCCTACAAAATCACCATGAAATCTAAGAAAATCACCGTGAAATCCCATAAAATCACCATGAAATCCCATAAAACCACTATGAATTCCTATAAAATCACCATGAAATCTGAGAAAATCACCTGGTAAATGTGGGAAAAATGGGGGAAAACAGAATTATAGAACGGAAGTTGAGGAGTACGAAGGTACGGTTATTTACCGTACCCTGTTGTTCTATAATTCTGTTTTCCTCGGAAGGTATGAGAAAAAATGTATCTGAATTTACTCCTAACCTTTTTCGTCGTTCTATAATTGTCGGAGCGCTGTTGTTCTATAATTCTGTTGTCCCCCATTTTTCTCACATTTCCCATTTTCGTTCTATAATTAATGTTTCCCGGGCCCCGTTCTATAATTAATTAATTTTTCCGTCGAACGGAAAAATTAATTATAGAACGGAAAAATTAATTATAGAATTATAGAACCTCTTCCAGGGTCCCAGAAATCCTACAAAATCACCATGAAATCTAAGAAAATCACCGTGAAATCCCATAAAACCACCATGAAATTCCATAAAACCACTATGAATTCCTATAAAATCACCATGAAATCTGAGAAAATCACCTGGTAAATGTGGGAAAAATGGGGGAAAACAGAATTATAGAACGGAAGTTGAGGAGTACGAAGGTACGGTTATTTACCGTACCCTGTTGTTCTATAATTCTGTTTTCCTCGGAAGGTATGAAAAAAAATGTATCTGAATTTACTCCTAACCTTTTTCGTCGTTCTATCCTCATTAAATCCTCATTAAATATGCATTTTATCCTCATTTCCTCATCAAATCCCCATTAAATCCTCATTTTATCCGCGTTTTATTATCATTTCCTCATCATTTCCTCATTTTATCCTCATTTTATGTCAGTGCCAGGAATTATAGAACGGAGCCAGGAGGACAAAGGTACGGTATTTTACCGTACCTTTGTCCTCTTCCCCGTTCTATAATTAAATTTTCCGACTCCGCTCCAGGTTCGAACCCGGAAGAGGACAAAGGTACGGTATTTTACCGTACTTTTGTCCTCTTCGCTCCGTTCTATAATTCTGGCACTGACTGTATATGTGTGTGTGCGCCTAGAATATTGATGTATATCTTCAATCACATGTGTAGGTAGTCTTGAATGCAGATGTCGATGAATATTAATAAATATATATATAAAGGGAAATATAGAGAGAGAGAGAAAGATATAGATATATCGATGTATCCATGTATATATATATATATTATATAATTTTAGATATACCAAATGCAGTAATAGATGTCATGTGTATGTGTTTCTGTTGAAAGATTCGCTAATATTTCTGTCTCATTTGGATGACTTGCCCCATCCCCTTGGCCTGGTGCACCAGTGCTACCTCTGGTGGCAAGCTATAGTCTGAAGCAACTGAGTTTCTGTCCGGTACTTTGGGCAGAAACTCTCCGGTACTCAGAATCTCCCAGAAAAACATAGACCTCAGCTGCCAGCGGCTGGATGTCTCTTGAGATATCTTGAGATATCTTGAGATATCTTGAGATATCTTGAGATATCTTGATGTGTAACGGCCATAAGGGGCCATCTTAAGGCCCCTTTGGGGCCATCTTGGAGCATTTGACCTGCGACCCTTGGAGTTTGTTTGTCAAATGGGTATGGCCGGTATGGCTCAAAATGAAGAACCCCCCAACAGCAAATGGATGTTCATCAATTTCATCCTCTCCAAAATATGGTATAGGCAATCTAACAGTTATCGAAGCCATGGCCCCATGTGTAGACAGTTTACCCACTCAAAATGCTGGGAAAACATGTTTTTCCATCCCCACATGGATTCGAAGCCCAGGAGCTGGTCCCAAGCCACCGAAAAACGGCTGCTGGCCACTCGCTCCAGAAACTGCAAAGACCAATCGCTGCGACGCACCAAGAGCGTCCTTGTGGAGCGGAGTGCCGGGAATGGTGGGACCTATGGCTAGTACTCAAAGACAAGTTGAATATTAATACATATATATATATATAATTATATACACATACATACATATACATGTGTGTGCGTGTGCGTGTGCGTGGATTTATCTATATATATATATATATATACACACAAAAGAGTGAGACATACCCCCCACTTGCTGATTCGAAAGATGTGGTAATGTCAGGCAACATTTGGATATACCCATGATACACCCCAGTTTACCCCGGTTACTGATGTGAAAGAGGTTGTAATATCATGAAATATTTGGACAGACCCTAGGTACTGATTTGAAATATAACGCGTTATATACATGGAAATCTGATATCATGTGATATCTGGATATACCTCAGTTACTGGGTCCCTAAGCCGCTTTGCCCTTGATCCCCATCAGGCGGTCCCTGTGTTGATACCACCAGGGTCTTCTGCCACCAAAAAGTGAGGGCCATCTGATTCTGACACTCCGTAGGTGGCTAAAATGTCTGTCAGGCTGGTCTTCAGATCCGTAAAGAATGCATCACAATCGATGAAGAAGACCCAATCCGGGCTGTCAGCCGATAGGAACGCCTCGGATGCCAACTTGCAACCGCAAAAAATCAATAAAAAACAAGATGACACTGATCACACAAGAAACAGCAGCCAGCACCAATGGTTGCAGCCACGCTGATCATGCTGGCCTGGTGGATCACCAGCATCTTGCTGTAGTGAGCCTCTCTGTCTGGAAGTGGCAGCTCGGTGTGAAGCACGTATTTGAAGCCGTGGCGTTCCTGACTCCGTGCCCCACATGGCGTGGCTTTTTTGGTGGGGAACCCCACTGTCCAAGTAAAATCAACCAGGCTATGTTCATCCATCGGCTCTGCCAAGCATCTGAATAGGCACGGTGGTTGGGCACGGAGAGGTCTGGCAGCGGACAATCCCTGCCAGTCCGCGATGTGGGGTCTGGACCTGAATCCGACATGATGTGCACAACTGACGAGGTTCTGCCTGTTTCTCTCCTGCAAGGAAAAAATTAGGAGTGCAAGTTAATCTCTGTTGAAACCCCATAGATAAACCTCACCTTTTGTGGAGGCCAACCACTATTTAACCACCAGGAGGTGATGTTTTGAACATTTTGGAACCCTGTCAGATTGGAATGGTAGTGACTCCCTTGCAGTCGGGCGTCGATAGTGGCAAATGGAATGCACTTGGATCTTTGGGCTGGTTCCCTGCCAGCGAACCTGTCACTTGAAATCTCCAGGCAAATGTGAGGAAAAATACCAGCAGACTCAGGGCTTGGCAAAGAAAGGTTGGATATGGCGCGGTGGGTCAAAGTTACCCTCTGGTAAACTAATATAGCTATGGAAAATCACCATTTTTAATGGGAAAAACCACTGTAAATGGCCATTTTCAATAGCTATGTTAAATTACCAGAGGGTAATGGCATGGTTCATGCACATGACCAGCCCCCCAGATTGCTCCAAGAGGCCAGTGGCCGCAAGGGAGTTTGCAAAGAGCCGTGCAACTGCGTCACGGCAATGGTATATTCCACCTGAACCCCCAAATCAATGGATCCACCATATCCCACCTCTCTTTATTGGGAGAAGGGATTGGTATAAAGAGATAACAGCTGGTAAACTTATTAAATCATCCACCTTAAGCTGCTTATTTATGTTTATTATCTGTTTTCTCCCAACAGCTTTTCGCAGGTCATTCAAATCACAAGGCCTGCAAGCGTGTCTCAAACCTCTTCGAGGCGGCTGGTTGAGACTGCGCGGCATCCGGCAGCTGGTTGTACCATCGTGACATGGCCTCTTCGCACTGGTCTTCGGTGATAGAATGAAGAGCTCTGGAGGAAAAGCCTTGTGTACATATCTATATATTTATATATATGTGTGTGTGTGTGCGTGTGTATGTATATGCATGTGTAGTCATAGAATATCTCCCGAAAATCAAATATATAATATATGTCTGTGTGTATGTGCAGATACATTTATAGATGCAGAACTAACTTCAGGGATGTTGTCCCATCAATTGCGCGCCTGAATCTTGAAGATGTTGCCCAGCTGCAGCAAGCAGCGTGCCCTCCAGGGATGCGATAAGGCACTGGCCCACTCAGCCACCATCTTGAACTGCTTGGCCGCCAGTAGCGGACAGAGATAGGCAGTGTCCAGGTTCCTTGCTGTGACGACATCTCAAAACTCATGAAGATAACCAGGGCGTTGAAATTTTGGGATTTTGGGCTGATCTAGGATGATCTAGGATGATCTAGTTCCCCTACTTCACCGTAAGGGAACCCAGCATGGCTTTCACCATCGATGGGGCGCCTGTGACTACGACCAGCTGCAGCGGAGCTTCCTCATCAGCATGTTCAAACATTCGATGCCAGAAATCAATGCGATGAACTTTCTCTCACGCTCGGGGCTGAAATATTGATACCTCAAGTTCTGCGGTTGAGACATGGATTTTGTCCTGGAAACCCTTTAAAAATATCAGTTGATATCAGTTGTCTATCTTGATCCACTTGCCTGACGGGGTAGACCCTACGATGTTGAACAAAGGAAGCGTTTTGGCATGTAAAGGGGGCCTACACAGGCCACCAATTATCCAATTCTTGACCCCCGCTGCTATGCCAAGACTTGTACAGTAGTTAGTGGGTCAGAATTTGCCGCTGCTAACCCAAGACATGAACCACGACCCAACCATGACAGCTCTCCACGATGCTCCCACAATGCCAAATGCCAGGAAGCTGTGCTTCAAAAAAATGGTCCTGGAGCTGCATCCAGAAGTTCCTGGGACATGCTGTTGTTGTGGCGAAATGATTTCTAAGGCATGTTTGAAGCAGAATGGATAAGAAAAGATTAGGATTGAGACTTCCATGTCGTTTTTGCAAGCTTTTTCTGCCATCTTCGGTTTTGTCAGCACATGGGGTCATGCGACTTCGTGCCTTCTGGTGAAATCTAGAGTTACAAGGGGAAGCTGGATGTCGGCTACAAGCCCTATGGAATCCGATGGGTCTGCAAAGCCAAGAATCAGTGCTGGTAAAGCGAGTGCAGGACATTCTTCTTCAACGACCTGTTGCGCCACCAATCGAAATGGACCTCAGTTTAGTTCTTAGCCTTTCTGTCATGCAGGAACAGCGCCACCTCTTGAAAGGATAGAACTCCAACTTACAATGTTACAAAGCAACAAGCCACACAATTTGAAGCTCAGCCTGCAAAGGGGGTGAAGCTATCTCCGCATCAGCACCCCCACTTGTTCCCCTTTCCTCAGCCCCACACGCGCTTCATCTGGGGCATCTTGCCCTGCAAGCATTCGTGGGTAAATTCTGGCTCTGGATGAAACCCCATCTGAAGGGCCTAAATGGAATACCTGGGTGAGGAATAAGAAAAAAAAATCTCGTCTTTTCGGAGGGTGCAGACCTTCTAGTCAGCAACCATCTGACATCGAAGATATTGAAGGTAAAAGGGCCACCCACAGCAACCTAAAACTGCCATGCCTTATCCAAGCCAATACAGTACTCAGTTTCTTTTGCACAATGGGTCCCCACTCGATCCCCACCTAGTGCCGGCACGAGGCAACTTAGCAGCCACAAAAAAAACGCCATAGCATGGTCTGCGCGACCAGCCAAAGGTCAAAGGTTGTTGGTTGTCGTATGTTGTCAGCGTGAGCTGCATGCCGATGATCTGGAATAACTATCAAATCCTTCCAAAAAAATGCTGCGGGATGTCATGCTCCCCCCTATCGGCTGCCAACGGGAATTTGAGACTTGATATCCTAGCTACCTCCCGAGCAGTGGATAGTTTGGGAGTCTGCGTAGGTGCGTTCTGTCATCTAGTGTTGTGTTCGGCGGAGCATGGCAGAGCTAGTCTTTCAAATATGCTGATATATGCTGATTGCCATACAAATTAACAAACGGTCTTAACATGTTCAATCAATTGGTCTTTCCATATGAGTCTTTGTCTCCAGCCACCGCTTTTGGGCTCAAGATGTCACTGTTCATAGCGCGTCATTTTTAAGGTGCCTTCCATGCATAGCGCACCGGCCGCGGCCAGGTTTCCGAGCCACTTCAGCCAACTCCACATTCTCAGCCTGAAGCCTGGTAGACTCCGCCTTCGATGGGATGGTGAAAATTCGGCTTTTTGGCTGCCTATTGACCTATTCAACCAATTTTTCTAGCTAGATTTTGGGGGGGACAATTTCCACAATTTCCAAGAAATCCATAGAAATCCTGGTTCTACATATATTACATATGGTGACCATATTTCCAATGGGAGGGCTCCAGTCCAGTTTCCAGTTTCCCCTTGATCCAGGACGGCCTCATTCGCTGTGAGCTGCGCTCTCGTCGCAGTCAGCTCTGCCTCCAAAGCAACCTCAGCCATCAGTATGCCACAAAATCACAACGTCCCTGGCATGGGGATGTTGAATAATTATTATTAGATATGATCAGTGTAAATCCTAGGGGATGAGTTTGGAAGAAATGGACGCCAGTGTGCCACCTCGCCTCACGAGAAACAGTAAGAATTAATTTTAGAGGAAACAGCATGTTGAGACAAGAGTATGCTGAGATGTTTTGAAACTCTTTTAAACCATCCAACTATCCAAAATATGCGATAAGCCAACCACTGGTTGGTAGTTGACATCCCTTGGAAAAATTAATGTTACCTACAATTTGGGAGTTATGTGTATAAATACATGTATATATAATCATATATATATATATTAAGTTTAAAAATGTGTATATGTATCTATATATATATACACACCACCCATTTATGGTGATTTTGGGGCTGGTTTATGGCAGTGGGTTTACACATATGTCAGTTGGGATCGAAAAAATGACATCGAGACATCGTCGAAACCACCCAGCCACGCGCTGTCGTTCGGCAGCGGTGCCAGAATCCTGAGGCTGTCTAGTGAGATAGCTGTGCTACTATAGGAAAACACAATAATAACATCATTAATAAGCAATAAAGTAATACTAAGAATAGTAGTAAGAGGAGTAGTAACAAGAATGATAACAAGAATAGTAATAATGATGATAATATATGATAATGTCTATGTGTCAAAATGAAGTTCTACAGAAAATATTGACATTACTATCGTGGCTGTCATTGATTCATACATGTTGTATTATGTCGATTCAAGCAGGGTTCCAGTCAACATGTCTTGACTGCACATTGGGCCGCATGAAGGTTCACGTTCCAACGATCTCTAGATATCTCTAGATCTCCTTCTAATCCTTGGCTCGTGGCCCCGTCTGGGGCTCCCGAACATTCAATACTTGTAGTTCCTCCCGGAGCTTTCCAGAAGCCTCACCATGTGTTTTTCAGCCAGTCGGATCATCTCCAAGGCCTCCAAGGATCCTATGAACCGCCTCCTTCACTTCCTCCAGCTCCTGATGCTTCTGCTTGAGCTGCTCTTCAGACTCGTCCTGAAGTGCACGGTGAGGTTCACATTCACCACCCAGAATGGAGGGCATACACACACAGACAGATATACATTATAATATATATATATATATACAGGCACATGGATGCATCTATCTATGCATCCATCCATCCATCCATCCATCCATCCATCCATCCATCCATCCATCCATCCATCCATCTATCTTATCTATCTATCCATCCATCCATCTATCTATCTTATCTATCTATCCATCCATCCATCCATCCATCCATCTATCTATCTTATCTATCTATCTTATCTATCTATCTATCTATCTATCTATCCATCCATCCATCCATCCATCCATCTATCTTATCTATCCATCCATCCATCCATCCATCCTATCTATCTATCTATCTATCTATCCATCCATCCATCCATCCATCCATCCATCCATCCATCCATCCATCCATCCATCTATCTATCTAATCTATCTATCTATCTAATCTAATCTAATCTAATCTAATCTATCTATCTATCTATCTATCTATCTTATCTATCTTATTTATCTTATCTATCGTATCTATCTTATCTATCTTATCTATCTTATCTATCTTATCTATCTTATCTATCTAATATATGTAATCTATCTTATCTATCTTATCTATCTTATCCATCTGATCTATCTGATCCATCTGATCTATCTGATCTATCTGATCTATCTGATCTATCTTAGCCATCTGATCTATCTGATCTATCTGATCTATTTTAGCCATCTGATCTATCTGATCTATCTGATCTATCTGATCTATCTTAGCCATCTGATCTATCTGATCTATCTAATCTATCTAATCTATCTAATCTATCTGATCTACCTAATCTACCTAATCTACCTAATCTATCTAATCTATCAAATCCATCTAATCTATCAAATCTATCAAATCTATCTATCTATCTATCTATCTATAACTCTATCCATCGATCTATCTATCTATCTATTAATTTATCCATTCATCCATCCATCGATCTATCGATCCATCGATCTATCGATCCATCGATCTATCGATCCATCAATCTATCGATCTATCTATGCCTCTATATGTATCTACGTACCTATAACCAACAAAAGTTTTTTATGTTATGCATAGCTCAAAAGGCGGGCCCCTGACTACATCATCTTGCATTGACTATCCCGTTTCGGGTGCATAGGCTCCATGATCTCCATGGCCCATCCGCCATCAACGCCGCTTCAGAAGAGTGGCCCGGATCTGGGAGATCTGAAAGCGTAACTGTTGGGAGGCCTGGCGCCAAATGAATCCACATGATGTGTCCATCTGATCAAAGGCATACCATGCAATCCATGCATTACCGTATCTTTAAGGTACCTTCTGGCAGAGTTCAGAGGGCGGAGATGCCAAGTGTTCGGCTGATTCACTCTTCAGCCCAGTTTTGATTCTTTCCGTTGCTTTTTTTTTCGTCTCTTCTCTCCAAGACTCGAGCTGCTAATCCCTTGCACAAAGCAGGCTCGGTCAGCTTCAAACAATGCCGGGACTCCCAAGCCGGCAACAGTCGGCAGCCCGGCAGCCCCACTTTGCGCCATCCAAATCATCCAGTCTGTTGTCCCCAGCCAGGTGAAATGAAATGAAATGAATCGCCCAAAAAATGGGTTCGTCCTGACATGGGTTAGACCCCAGAATTCTGCAACCATTTGAAAGGGGAACCGAGAATGATGAAGCATGAGATGGAATGTGGTACCCAATTTCGAGACAGAATCCAAATGAGTCTCAGCTCGCAAAAGGAGTGGAATTGAGATGGATGGTGACTGTCTACGCAAAGAAAATGATCAAAGATCATGAAGCGTTTCAGGCAATGCATTCTGCTGATCAAAGAAATCTTTCCCAGTTGAATGCTTCGTCAACGTTCGCTGTTCAGTGTCAGGTGACTTCTGGTGTTACACTACTACAGGTTGAACTCCAAACAAACTGCATTGCTCTGTCAAGAAGCCCGTGGGGTCTGTAGCAATGACATTTGTGATAGATCGCCTTGATCAACAGCTGTCCGGTGATATCAAGTGATCACTGGCATCAGATCATGTCAAATCTAGCATCTACGATCTCTGGCGGTGGGATTGATCACAGGCACCAAGAGTTCACACGTTCACGCGGCCGTGTCTTCTTCTTGGTCTCCTGATCAAGATACTGCCCCATCAAGCCTCGCCAGCCTCTAATAACGAGTGAATTATCAACTAACTAATTCGTGCATCAAACCATTCAGTGCCGCTGACCACTGGCTTACGTCAGCATGGCGACTTTACTACAGCACTGCAGATGGTGCAAACTGGGTGCGATGGCATTCTGCGAACCCATGGGGCATCGCCAGGTATAGACTTTCACCCCTCAAAGCTGCATCTTTTGCGATGTTCAAGTCTGCTGAGGTCCTTTTTTTTGCATTTTTAGATAAAAACATGATGAAAACTTGACTAAGAGGTTCATCAGCCTCTGCGCAGTGTCCAAGATGCAGGGCTCTCGAGGAAGGATCAAAAATGATCAGTTTGCGACAATCTAATCCGCATTTATCCCCAGCAGTGCAGGCTTTGATGCGCGCACAGGGGGAGAGCGACTTGCACACAACAATGAGATGAGCAGAGCGAAACACGCCAAATAGATGTGGAAACGCTTCAACACAGCACGCAAAATCCGAACCAAATCTGCTTCCTGACCTGCTGCTGAATGCGTATCCTTAGCTTCACCAGCTGCAACCCGAACCAAGTGTTGAGTCGTTTGATCATCCACAGTTTATCAAGTCTATGAACACGGGGGCGCCAATTTTGATGGAATTTATCACATTTTTGGATATGTTTATATAATAGTCGGCGTTCATTAATCCGGGGTTGACATTACAAACAACCAAAAAAATGTGTTTCTTTTCCACCATCCACCAGCTGCCCACTAAAGAGCTGGCGAGTCACCTTCTGACCTTTGGACTCTGCATCACTCGCCTTGTGCTGGTCGCGGCTTTTTTCATCGTCTGCCCGGTGTTTCCGGCGCTTCTCTTTCTTCTTCTCCTGCCTTCTTCGAGCCTTGTTCAATCCTGATGCCATGAGCCAGGAGAAAACATGAACTGAGTGCAAGTCTATCTGTGATTTCTCTCGGCTCCCTTGCCATCGAAAAAGAGAGATATATATATATGTGTGTGCGTGTTTGTGCGTGTTTAAAAAAATAGACTATACTAATATTGCACGCATGTGTGCATGTATATTATATATATACACACATGCGCATGTATGCGTGTATGTCACAGATACACTACATTACATTACATTACATTACATTACATTGCATTGCATTGCATTACATTACATTACATTACATATATGTATATATATGTGTGTGTGTTTCTTATACGTAACCAACCTGAAGTGGATAAAATATGGATTGTTCAAAGCTATTCCCATTTTCATGAGGAGGCTTGGACATGTCCATATCTTATCTACGCCAGGATCTACTCCAGGGTGATTAGGCATATGTAAAAATTAAAATATACATATACATATATATACATATATATATACATACATATATATATATGTATACATAAATGTATATATATGTATACATAAATGTATATATGTGTGTGTGTACATAAATGTATATATATATATATCTATATAAATGCATAGATAAGCAAATCTATGCAAACAACATGTGCACACGGAAAACCTTCCAGGCAAAATGCCAAGCGATCCTTCATCCAATTCCTCTGGCTCCTGGGACCAAGTCGTGTCCTGCACATCCTTGTCTTCCTCCAAAGCACTCCCAGTTTGCCTTGGATGTGAGCAAGCTCCAAGAACCGCAACAAGTACAACCACCTGGCCATGTCAGTACTCATCATCTTATGTATCCTGTATCAATGCATTGTGTATCCGGATGTATCCGGCATATCTATCGACCCATAGGTCCATCTATCGACCAACCTACCTTATCTATCTATCTATCGATCGGTCGATCGATCGATCTATATATATTATATATATATATATACATATACTGTACATGTATGATTCATCATGTATTTGCATGTATTTTTTTTGTGTGTATGTGCGCATATGGCAAATGACGCATAGGGGTCAGGAAAAAAAAACAATCAGATCCAGATTGCTCTACTTTGGCCTGGTGCTTGTCGCTGGCTGCCATTGGCAGCGGCGCACTCGGAGATTTTTCGGCCATGGGCCTAGCTTTCCTTGTCAAATGCAGAGCCATCATGCATCACCGGCCAGGAAATGTGACGAAGACAAATCATATCAAATCCTGGCATGCTCCACTCCATGTAGTTTCATCACCTTCGAATGTCGCCGGCCTTTAACCCGCTAGCCTGAGCCTTTTCCTTGAAAAGCATTGAGACATATTGAGACGCAGCCCGATAAAGTTCAATTCCTTTTCTGAGAAATCCACAGAACAACTTTCAAGTACAGCATGCTTCAAAGTTTCATGGGGGTCGCAACCCTCTTCATTTTGATCTTTTCTTTGGCAACCTTCACGGATTCAACCTCCAGCTTCAGTTCATCACACTGCTCTTCCAGCTGCTGGTTCTCCAAAGCCGCAGCCTTCTCACCCTCCTCACCAAGAGCGACCCCTTTTTGCACTGCAATGCGACCTTCGTGACCTGGCCTTGGGGCCTTGGACTTGATATGTGGTGACTGAAAACCAACACACAAAGATGTTCCCTCCGCATCTCCTGTCGAAGATCCGCCTCATGCGCCACGGAAAAGACACAAAGTGGAGAAGAGAAATGAAGCATTGAAGAATTCGCATCCACTGACACCAAGCTATGTCAGATTGTGGGAACATCTGGCAAACCATGGCGGACACATCCGCGATACACATCTGCAGCGTGCTGACCTGCAAGCTGGCTGCGACCATCTGCGCAGGGTTCCATCCCTGCGCTGCATCAGAGTAGGAGCAGGCCTCAAGTAGAGTGTCAAGTGGTTGGCGGGACAACTTCGCAGGAAACCCTGATTTTTATCACCATTCATGTGGATTCATTTTGTGATTAAGGTTTCCTGTTGGTTTTCACTTAAGCCAATTGAGAGGGCGTACGTGAAACCGTTTTTTTTTGAACCCCCCTCCTTCCCGGAGATTAATTTCGTGGAAGTAATAGTAGTTGGCGGCCCCCCCCCTCAGAAAAAAAGTTAAGAGTTCCAAGTTGTTCGAATTCAACTATTTCCTCAGGTGCCTCCTGCCAATTGAAGCAGTGGCTGAATAACTGCAACACCAACCGGCTGCTCAAAGATGTGGATTTCTGTGCTGGGGCTTTCACGGCTCCATGTTGCTCCGTGAAATCTATCAGGTCGTCCACATCTTCCTGAGAGCTGAGAACAAACGGTACATAACAAGAAATGGAAGATCTCGAATGTCAACCCCGGATTCATAAACCATTGCTTATTAATTAGGGGGGTACTCCTCCAATAGTCATCATCTGATACTTAAATGGTACCCTCCCAATTAAACAGCCTAGGGCTTTATTAATCCAGGGTTGACATTACTAGCAATGACCTGAAACATCCCAAAGTTGTTGGTGTTTTGAAGTCTTTGGAAATTGTATGATGAGACGTTGGGATCATCTTCCGGGTAGGTATGGTACATTTACTGTACAGAATATGTTATCCTCCAAAATCACATGGTTTATATTTATCGCCATGTTTCAGCGTTTTTGGGGAAAGATATCAGGGATAGACCATCTTTGGGAATAGACCCTATGCTCAGACACCCACAATGGAAACCACAAACCCCGCCAAAAATATGCGGGGTTTGTATGGACATAGGATACCCATCCCTGACCAAGGTGCCACAAATGCACCCTCCGGAGTGGCCTCGGCCACCAAGGGTTGCTCCATGTCCTGCCGCAGAGGCCTGCCGCTAAGTCAGTGACGGCAGTGACGGCCGATGGGCTGCTGGATGCTGCTGGCTACATGGCTTCTAGGACGCATGCTGCTATTGGAAACCCTGAGCTGAAATCCTCTGCTGTGCAATTTCTGAAACGGATGTGACATCAGTGCCTGATATACAAATGGATCAGAGCGACAGGGAGGCTCAGGTGGCTCCGAGCACGCCCGACGCTTTGCTGGTGGCTCCTGGCCGCTGGCCACTGCCACAAAATGATGTCCGCAGATCGTCCCTACCAGGCCCTACCCTGTCCTCTCGGACCTCATCGACCTGCACAAAGGTCTTGTGGATGTACCACTGCCGATCTGATGTGGTACCTAAACAGATTGCCACTGGCAGCAAGATAAATGATTGATACAGGGATCAAAGCTCACATGCCTGGTTTTCGGTATCCAAAATCATCAAAAAACTCTAGTTTCTTTGGACCTAGATCTGCTTCACGCAATACTTCCCGGGACATAGAATCGAATGTGCAATTTTTCATCATTTTTCTATCCCTTTCTAAGATCCCCACGATCGAGCGCACTCCGAGATGCCTCCCGTAGTGAGGTGGCCAGCATAGCACCATTTGGATGTTTCAAAAAATTAGGTGTCGGGCAGGGCAGCAACCCCCGCAGAGCTATGGCTAGACCAGGATGCCTCTTGCAGATAGATAGATAGATAGATAGATAGACAGATAGATAGACAGGCAGACAGACAGACAAACAGACAGACAGATAGATAGATAGACAGACAAACAGATAAACAGATAGACAGAGAGATAGACAGATAGACAGAGAGATAGACAGATAGACAGATATAGAGAGAGAGATATATATATATATAGGCTATATATAGGTTTGTATGATACTCATCCCTGACCAAGGTGCCACAAATGCACCCTCCGGAGTGGCCTCGGCCACCAAGGGTTGCTCCATGTCCTGCCGCTTTGCTTCAGCGGCTTCAGAGGCCTGCCGCTAAGTCAGTGACGGCAGTGACGGCCGATGGGCTGCTGGATGCTGCTGGCTACATGGCTTCTAGGACGCATGCTGCTATTGGAAACCCTGAGCTGAAATCCTCTGCTGTGCAATTTCTGAAACGGATGTGACATCAGTGCCTGATATACAAATGGATCAGAGCGACAGGGAGGCTCAGGTGGCTCCGAGCACGCCCGACGCTTTGCTGGTGGCTCCTGGCCGCTGGCCACTGCCACAAAATGATGTCCGCAGATCGTCCCTACCAGGCCCTACCCTGTCCTCTAGGACCTCATCGACCTGCACAAAGGTCTTGTGGATGTACCACTGCCGATCTGATGTGGTACCTAAACAGATTGCCACTGGGAGCAAGATAGATGATTGATACAGGGATCAAAGCTCACATGCCTAGTTTTCGGTATCCAAAATCATCAAAAAACTCTAGTTTCGTTGGACCTAGATCTGCTTCACGCAATACTTCCCGGGACATGGAATCGAATGTGCCATTTTTCATCATTTTTCTATCCGATCTAAGATCCCCACGATCCAGCGCACTCCGAGATGCCTCCCGTAGTGAGGTGGCCAGCACAGCACCATTTGGATGTTTCAAAAATTAGGTGCCAGGCAGGGCAGCAACCCCCGCAGAGCTATGGCTAGACCAGGATGCCTCTTGCAACTTTGCAGTTGTTCGTTTATGTTCGTTTCCTTGGGCTGCCAAAAAGCCAGAACTCCTCAACAAGGCAATCATAGTCTGAGGTGCCGCCCTGGCATGTCTTCAAGTTCTGTCAACCGTCGAGCCTCACATTGGTCCAATGGCATCGCCATTCGAGCAGCAATGCTCCTTTCAGCTGAGAAATATACCCGATTCTCAGCACAAATGCTTGAGCCAAACCAACAGGAGTTTGGGCAAGGCATAAAACTGGTTCTGGTTCTCATGCTGCTGCCACCGGACATGATATGCAATGCTTCAAGCTTGTCTCGAAATGCTGCAAGCACCCATGGTTGCAAAATCAAAGGGCTGCGGCTGCATCTTGGTCTGGCAGCTACCCTGAGGTTCTCAGCACCCAAGCCCTCCCTACATCAACTGACGCTCAAGATCTCAAGTGAAATCTATGCATCTTGAAAGAGTATCCAACTTCGACCTCATTCTATCGTGAGGTCAGAAACTCATCCAATAGGCGGGCCTCCTTTTCCTGGGCCAGCTCGATGAACTTCTTGTTGAGCTGTTCTTGTGTTGTTGCCTCAGTTGCCCCCAAGCATCACTTGAACGCTCTGATGTTGCTAGCGTGAGCTTCATAGAGATGGAGGGTGGATGCACCCCAAGCTGGAGATCTGCGCTGACATATCGATATGTATATTCCTAGACAACGTGCCCACAACAGCAACCTCTCATCTTCCACTTGTCGTCTGTCCGCTTCTTTCGACGAAAGCTCACACAGACTTGACCGAGTATGGTTTCAATTTTGAGTGCCCCAGAATAGAATGCGGAGTCATGTTAACATATCTGAACATATCTTACCCTCTGGTAAACTAACATAACTATGGAAAATCACCATTTTTAATTGGAAAAAACACTATAAATGATCATTTTCAATAGCTACGTTAAATTACCAGAGGGTAACATATCTTAACGTATCTTAACATGACAATGACCAGATCTGGTGGATCAGCCCCCACTAGATCGCTGCCCCCTGGGGCCCCTAAAACCCCGGCCAACTCTTGGGCTTTTTGCTGCACCTCCCAAGGCGGTCATTCAAAATGGCTTGAATGAAACCACTGGCTCTTCCACTGATGTTGCTAAAAAAATAGTGATTCAATGGAGGTTTTCATGGGACACCATAGGAAAACCATAGGAAACACATAGATCATAAAATGTAATATGAGGTCTTGGTGCACATCTTGACCACTTGACACATCCCTGGCGCATATCAACACACAAGGAGCACGCAAGTCATCTTGTGCCTGAACCCGGGTCTCGACCAACCTGATCAACGAAGGACAAGATTCGATGAAACCAAAGAGGCACAGGGGTCCCAACATACCCAGCCAATCACATTACACCCCTAATTTTGTAAACCCAACAACAAGCCATCCCCTATTGGGGTTTATTCTTGGGTGTGGGATTGGATGGTTTCTTATTATGTCTGCCAGACGATCCACCTTTCCAGCATGTAGTCAGTCGTTTTCGCTCGAATAACTATGCTGCGAAGCGTCTGCGCAACACTTTCGCCCAGAAGATGCGTCAAAGCACATATTACCAAGACCAGCCACCCAGCTGAACGGTGATTAGATACTACAATTTCCAGAGTCTTCCAGCTTCGGTGTTATTGGTCAGATTCTGGACGCAAGACGCAAACAGGCGTGAAAGCACGGAAGTCATCTCTGTGTAAATCTCTCAAAGAGAGAGTTGTGTGTGGCTGAGTCATCATGCTCCTGGAGCCACAGTCACACAACGTTTGGTGAAACCTAATCAAGGCCTATAGGAATCCTAGACGAGATGGAAAAGTGACTTCGTACGATTTTGATGGTTGATGACAAGTTGATGATGGTTTACTTTTCTATTTTTTTGGAGGATCACGCTGTCAAAATCCCTGCAATTTTGACGCCATGGATCCCATCACTCCAAACCAGCAGCTGTCCTCCAAGAGGGGCTCGGTTTGCGCTTTCTTTGGAACCAGCATCGGAACTAAGAACAGCAAGAGCAAGGGAAGAAGAGCTGACATGCACCTCAGACAAAGTCTGAGCTTTCCTCATCTTTCATCCCGGTGCTGTTTGTAATCTTAGACGCCCAGCAGACGACTTAGTTTTTACGTGGGTCATCCCGGGCTAATCTTAGAGACCCAGAAAACAAGTCAAGTGATTAACTGATGCCATTGATCCCGTCAGCTGGCACCCCTCTCAGCCTTCAGCTGTGCCACTTCTGAAATCCAAAAGCCAAGAAGCTGTACTTTCCAGAGGTTGTCGAACTTGCCAGCTTCCAGTGGGGCTCCTCATGCTTTCGCAGCGATGCCATCTGCTTGCAGAATGTGTCAAGAATCTGCCCGGAATCTTTGGCAGCGTCCCAACAGAAGAAATGTGCCGCTCCAACTTCAAACCGCTGCTCACCCGGACCCCCCCCAAAAAAAAGCACTGCGCACATGCACACAAGGAACTTCAGCATGGGGAAGAAGAATGTATCACTGAAGGGCCTCTGGGTGACACTCCAAAGTAGCCAAGAATGAAACTTCCGCAATAGGAGCCTCATACCACACTTCAAGCTTTCCAGCGCTTGAGAGGACCATATAGAGGACCCTTGTGTTAAGATGTGTTACAGTAAGCAAATGTGGAAGTGAGCAACTCTCACATGAGGCAACTGAGTGCTCAACTCAGGATATTGGCCATGTTGAAGGTCCCAGCATGCAGGCCCAAGCATGTAGCCTCCACACCTTTGGGTGCTAAATGCGCTGCCAAAACCTTCGCATCAGGAGTCGGACGGCCAGTGGCCATGACGATCTTTGTGTCCGAAGCCAACTCTCTCTCACTCATGGCCATGACGCAAAAATAGAGCACCAATGGACCTAATAAGATTGTGTTGTACTGAACCACCTAATTTTAGAAAAAATAATAGCTAATTGTGTGCCATACCCAGATGGGGCCATCCCATCTGCAAGAACATGTCAAGTTTTGTTCGCGTTCACTGCCTGCTTTGGAATCCATCTCCAGGCTTGCACGATGCCTCGTGGGCAACATGATGCGAGTGCTTCCTGTGGCCCAGCTTGCTTCTGGCAGGGTATATACACTATTGCTCAAGAATAGTATGCAAATAGAACCACCAAGGTCTGTCATGCGGAAACCATGAATATTTTGAAGTCCCATAATTTTGAGTTATACCCAGATGACCTTATCTGCTTGATACCTTCAACACATCCCAGAGAATTGACTCGACAGTTGCTGACCCAGGGCGCTGAATATCGCTGAATGGTCAAGAATGAAACAGCTAACCAGCCACTAGCGGTTTGATCCCCATAAAATGGTTTTTGACTCCCCGGCTTTCGTTGGACAAATGGATATTGATATGGATTTATATTTAAAAAAAAGAAAGGGCCCTGTAGTTCACATCAAAAAGGCTGGAACTTGTGGATCTTAATCCCCGCGATACCAATCATGTGGAAGATATATACTGTACTGTAATGTGTTTGAAGTTTTGACCGGTCCCGTATAGCAACCCCCAAGGATAGAAACGTAAAACCTTACTAACTAAAATGATAGTAAATCGGTAAATGTAAATATGGTTCTTATATCTTCCGGGTTACTTTGAATGAGTTGAAGACCAACTATGTTTGCTTCCATATCTTCCCTCGGTTCCTGAGCTGCCCGCTGTCTATGCCCATCACTGCCAGCAGCCACACGCTGTCCGGTACACCAAAGCCGCTGCGCCGCAGCAACGGCACCATGGCAAGCTGAGTTACGACCTGGATTTCAGGTGAAGGTTCTATCACGCAAACTTGCCCATTGAGGATGTTCCCATCCAAAAAAAAAAGTAAGACTTTTGTTCCATCCTTAACTCTTCCCCTAAGCTACCTAATGATGACCCCATTTACCCCTTTGGTTTGCTTCATGCACAGAGAATAGGGGGACTCTCTATGCACTTAGCTCGAACATCCATCTGCTTCTTCGTAAAGAGAAAAGAAAACCAGCATCTGATTGGTGGTTGTCACATGTTATCACCCAACTCACAAAACTGATTTAGTTGGTCCAGTTGATATCATCCTTCAGTTTTTGCTCGCTGTTCTGGCAACATCCAACGTCATCCAACTAAAGATCATATCATACATCTCAAACATCGTGGCAATAATTATTATTGAATCCAACATCACCCAACTAAAAAATATATCCGCCAACCCCTGCCGACAGCAAAGAGGAGAGCATTAGAGAAGAGATTACAAGCAGCAAGTGCCGAAAAAGAGCAGCAAGGTGTTTTAACCTTCCAACGGGTTCCCTTTTGCTTCGGTTTTTAAGACCTGGGTGCTATGAAAATTGGGCCCAGAAGTTTCTAATCGGTTCAGAAAGCAACGTTAAGCAGGACACGGCGCCAGCACGGGACCCCGTCCGTCCTTCACTCCCATGGTGTCTTCACCCTCCGAAGTGTTCCTTCTTGCTTCAGTTCCCAAACAATTTCCAAGCAAGGTTTCGTAGAGAAGCCCTGGGTGCTATGAAATTTGGACCTGTAGTTTCTAATCGGTTCAAAAGGCAACCTTAAATAACGTTAAGCAGGACAGGGCGCCAGCACGGAAGCCCGTCCGTCCTTCACTGCCATGGTGTTTTAGCCCTCCAATGGATTCCCTCTTGCTTTGGTTCCGACGCAAGATTTCTGAGCAAGGTTTCGTAGAGAATGCCATGGTGCTGAAATTCTGACTTATAGTTTCTACTCGGTTCAGAAAGCAACGTCACGCAGGATAGGGCGCCAGCCCTCCGAGAGGTTTCCTCTTGCTTAGGTTCCAAGCAAGGTTTCGTAGAGAAGGCCTTGGTGCTTCAAGTATAAACACACACACAGAGATATGTATGCAATATACATCAATATAAATTGTGCGTGTGTGAGACATTAATCATTAATTAATGATACCGTATCATTGCTGGGGTCGGTGACAGGGGCAGCCCTTAAACTTCAAAACCAAGTAGTAACAACAGTAACAATAATCCTTGGACCTTAAACTTAAACCAGGGGTTGGTAAATGTCCCATTTTGGGTATATTGGACATCACCTTATAATAGCCATCAAAAAGACCATATACCATTCATGGTTGGGTGATGTGACCCATGGGGACATTTAATGACCCATGTAAACCACCATCCTCCAACCCCCATTGGGCCGCGCACCCGCATCAGAATGGTCACGTGGCAAATGCTCCGATAGCTCCAGGAGCGGAAGAGCGCCGGCCCCGTGGCGTAGCCCACGGTGATGCCCAAAAAGGTGGCCCCTCCGAGGCCTGGCTGTTTTGGGGGTCAGGAAAGATCCCAAAGCCTGGGAAAATTGGGTGAAAAGTTGGTGAAAGGGTGAGAAAAACTCAAAAATTAATCGTTCTGATTCAAAATGAACCATTTTTGGATGTTCGATGATGCTCACCTGCCCAATGTTGTGGGGTAATTGTTTGAAGATCCCTGCCTGTGATATAGAACTTGGGGCTGAAGTGTGGTCCAGCAGGGAACTCAGCTGCATCATCAGTGCCTTAGCGTTTCCATTGTGTTTGCCTTTCGAATGCTTCCCAGGCCTTTGGGCTGCAAGATCTGCAAGGGTTAAACGGTTTCACTATGTTTCACTAATCAACCGCTGAGCGGCAGAAATAGAAGAGAGCACCGTCAATGTTGAGATTCAGCAGGCCCAAAAGGAAGAAGAAGATCACTGGGCCAGCGATCTCCCACCTGTTGACTCGACATGACTCGACAACATGGGGATTCATTCTGGTCGGCTGCTAGGAAGAGGCAGGCTACCCGGTATGGTCATCTCTGCTCCAAAGGTTCTACCCAGCACATGTAACCCGTGAAGGATTTAACTGTAACCGTTGCAGGCAACTGGTGCTACGAGTCCAGAGGCTCCAGAACAACAACAGTTGCTCCTCCGCAAGCTCTTGCCTCTGCATGTCATTGCCCCATTTCCAACTGCACCTGATGAAAATGGCAAAGGACATCAGAACGACTGCAGCCATGCCAGCCGAGATCTTCAGCAACTGGATGTCGTGCATGGTAAAAGTGGAGACCTTGGACAAATACTCAGCGGCTCCGGGGAACCAAAGCAGCCGTTGAATGGCTCTCATCATGGAAAAGCTGAAGTAAAGTGAGGAAAGTCATTGCCAGCCGTGGGCAGCTTGGGAGCATCAGCGGATGACTGAATCGAGCCATGAAGGAATCGGATCACTTCACATCAAGAGCTGAGAGCAGCACTACCAAGAAAAGAGCCAGGGCCCCAATCAGCAAGGTCAAGCGGCACAGCACCTTGTGTTGCCTTGGTGGTACACTCAAGTTCTCATCGTTACTTTCCGAATTACCAGCCGCTGACGTTGCATTTACAAGTAAGCCGCAAGCCTTCCAAAAAACTTCCCAAATGACCAGCCAAACTGGTATGGGTCAGGATGTGGACTGCAGTTCTTGGTGATTCTTACTGGTGCTCCGTTCGATTTTAGTAGCCCGTCTTGGCCCGTCTTGACCCAGGCCCATACCCATGCATCATGACTATGTTCATCCAGGCCAATTACATCAAAGTCTCGGTTGAAAACCAAAAGTTGCTTCGTGGAATGCCCATGTTGGGTGATAAACTCACAGTTGTGGCTTTGTCAAACAATTGGGGAAACAAGCCTGTTTTGGGTGCACCCTTGAGCCCTCCAAGTTACTGGAAGACCATGGGCCAACCCTGCGGCGCTGTGGGGCGCTCCCCCATGAAGTTGCCAAGGGCTGGCCAGAGCACGACCAAGACCTGTACACGTCCGATCCTCCAGCTGCTCCAGCTGGCTATGTGAATATCGACTGAAAATCAACTAACATAACTAACATATCAACGATATCAATGCAGCTAGCACTAGCAGCTACGAATCCCTTCCCCCGGAAAAATCTGCTGCCATGGCTCCAAGGGAGCTGCACAGCAGTAGGGCGCCCGCGCTCCCAGGGTGGCCACCACTGGGCCCAGAAAGAGCACCTGACGTGGCCAGGTAGCCATGGCTGGGGCAATGAATGGCTGGGCCAATGGCTGAAGTTGTTTGGCCGAGATGCGCTCAAGACCTGCCCCACATTGATTCCCAGCCAAGTGTAGGTCATGAAGTCGGGGCCGAGTTTTGCCTTGACAGCAACGAGGGGGGTCTTACGCTCGAGAATTTCATAGAATCTCTGTCAACAAGGGCACCTACTGATGGCAACTAGGTTATAATTCCAATCATAGTTAACAGTTAACACACTGTACCTAGAAACCGCTGGTAGGTAGGAGAACAGTTGCAACCTCCATGTACAAATGGTAGAGGCTCCTCTGGAATTGCTGCCATGGGACATGTTTTTTCACCTCCTCTGATGACTTTGCTGCCATCAGCACGTCGATGCTGGCCACCTGTCACTCTTGCCGTCGCGGGCCGCGTGACGTGCAGGCGGATGTAAAAAGTGGAAAACCTTCGGTTTAGTGCGGTTCACAGTCACACATATAGAACCCCCCAAAAAAATAAAACTCGTTCTCTCCGTGTCAAAAAACTTGCACCCTGGTTCTTGCATAAAGTTCCAGAGAGGCTCCCGACATAGCCTATACAAGTAGCCTCCCCCAGCCTGCAAGAAAGCCAGAAACAGAGCTGTCACCACGGCAGCTTCTGACACAGCGAGGCCCAAGCCCAATGTCATCAGGGCACCAAATGAGAGGACGGTGAAAATCACCTCAGTCATCGGCCAGGATTCATTCAAGTGGTGACGCTAGGAAATTACTGAAAGGACACCAGGGTCAAAATTTTGAACACCTCAGCCATCCTCAGCCCCTGAGTCTCCCGCCACATAGGGCAGCTTGTGGTAGCCGGCGATGGGAAAGGCATCGCTCAGCAAGGCCACTAGCGGCTTCAGTGCGAAAGGGATGATGGCCACCGCCTGCGAGCTGGATTCTGGAAGGATCCATGGTGGGATGTCAACGCTGATGATGATCCATGATGATCCATTGCATCCGAGTTTTGGATAATATTATGGACTATAGAAGATATTAGAAGATATTAGAAGATATTAGAAGTTCTAGTTACAGGGGGGTCAAAAATCCGGCTCAAAACTCACCCAGTTGTTCCTGACTTCCAGGATCCATGCTGTAAATCCAGCAGGTCGACCTTCAGTGATTGAAGTCTTCCAGCGGACACGCCCAACTCGCCAAACAGAAACTCAGCAGGTTTACCGATCAGTCCTGCAGAGACACACAAAAAAATCACACCTTTTGCATATGGTCGATATGGTGATGGGAGTTATAGCTGTGGTGCCTTGACAAAAAAAATGACAATTCTACTTCCCTCAAAAGAATCAATAAGAAGCGAATGAAAAAGCATGAAAAAGCTGGGGGCGTTGCAACCTAGAAATCCGATGAAATCAAACATCTGAACCTCAGTTCGAAGTTTCATGCTGGCGGATCAAGACGAAAGCCTCCTGCACCCCATTCCTCCACTTAGTCAGGGTATGTCCGGGTCCTTCATCACCACCTCCGGCGACAAAGCCCTGCAGGGAAAATCAAACATTCTTCTCCGGCCCCTGGTATTCGATACATTCTAAGATCAGTTGACAGTATGCCCTCTCTCTGGAATTATGAGCGCAAACAAGGACACTTGCGAGTTTTCAAGGGGGGGCATCTTCTCCGGCGAGTTTTCAAGGGCAAAATTCACGAAGCTCTTCGACACCAAAGAATTCCCTCCGAGAATGACAAGATGGGACCCCAAAGGGCTCAGGAGATCGCAGGAGTAAGTTTCTGTTCTGTTGATGTCCTGGATTTATGCACATCATGCACATCATGCACATCATGCACATCATGCACATCATGCCCTGGGGTGTCCAACCCAAATCCAACCTTCAGGAGGTGGTTGGTACATGCCACCATGGCTAAGAGCTTCCATGTGTAGCTCTGCGACAAGGTTCGCAGCCACTGCACTGGATGTAGCAAGGACCTTTGAAGGATGACACACCGTGGGCTCATGGACTGTGACCATGACATAGGTGTCATGATGTGTCCATGCCTGATGCAAAAGGCTCACTCTGGCTCTGGAACTTCAATCCAAATGGATGTCTTCTTACATCGCTTTGAGGTGATTCCCCGAAAGGCGCATTCCAGAAGCCAGCCCTATCTGCCCCATCCAGTTGTCCAAGCAACTGTCCAGCTGAAGCATTTGTTCGCCAAGCTGCACTTCCCTTGGCTTCTCGATCAGTGGGCTCGTTTCGTTGCCACTTCGGCCAGCTTCCGCATCTTCATTTTTGGGCAGTCCTTGGATGAAAACGATGACGAAATGCATAATACCATTAGGATCCGATCAGAACGTCTTGGACAGCTGTCCGAGACCCAGTTCAACCCTGAAAGGGCGTTGCAAACCCCAGATTCTTCGGGACTGCAGGAAGAAACACGATAGTGGCATTATATTCATGCAGTCTTGTTGTCCAAAATATGCTCCGCTCTCTCCTAAATGCAGCAAGGCACTTCCAGGCATTCCCAAATCAGAACTGATCCTCAGCTGCAAATGCTATGCCTGAAGGCTGATTCTGACGTAACCCGGAAAGGCACCAATTCTTTATATACTGTATCTCCTGCTGATGCCGACGAAGTTTCGAGTTTTAAAGCCACGGACTTGACAGCCAACCCTGGATCCAACGAAATTTGCGCATCACACACACACACATATATATATATAGATATAGATATATAATGATATATATATATATACGTATGTATATATATGTGTGTGTGTCTCTCTCTCTCTCTCTGTCTATCTATCTATCTGTCTGTCTGTCTGTCTATCTATCTATCTATCTATCTATCTACCTATCTATCTATCTAATCTATCTATCTATCTATCTACCTATCTATCTATCTATCTATCTACCTATCTATCTATCTATCTATCTACCTACCTATCTATCTATCTATCTATCTATCTATCTCTCTCTATCTATCTATCTACCTATCTATCTATCTACCTACCTACCTATCTATCTATCTATCTATCTTTCTTTCTATCTGAATTAGGCTTGAGGCAAACTTTACATGTACGTACTTTGATGGCATATCTAGAATCTAGAAATATATATATATATAGAAATATAGTTTCCTGTGTATATTTATTATAAAAAAATGAAACAACGGTTCTGAACGAAATGGTTCTGGCCAAATCACTGGATGCCAGGTGCCACCGCTGGGAGGTTCCAGCCGCGTGGCTGCGGATAACACGCGACGCAGATGTGGCGAGTGGCCCTGCTCTTTGGATCTGAGAGTGGTCCTAAAAGTTCAAGAAGGGCATGAACAGTAAACAACTTTGAGAATAAGCTAGTATAATTTGTTCCATCTTTTTCGGAGGACCTATATACGCCAACACTTGGTGGTAATGGCCCATTTTTGGACAGAAGCTCTGTCCAATAGACCTAGGCACAGTGTCGCGCAGCACACCCTTTTTGTTCAGCTTGGCGTAGCTGACAGCGGTCTATGGTTTCTCTTTCTTTGTCATCAATGTTTGTCACTGGCCAACCTGGATGCCAGAACGGGGGCCAAGGCGATGACTGGCTTCACAGTTCACGTGTTTTTTGGCATATTTGATGAGCAAACATCCCATTGATCCATCAAATATTGCCTTGAAATAGGGTACAGTGACCAAAAATATTCCATGCTTTATCCTGTTCATAGTTTTCCAGCATGTTCCCTATTCAAATATGGTCGTTTTTGGCTGTATACCTCATTCTCAGACCGGTCAAAATGACACCTCCGCGCCTCAAAGGGGTTGACGAGACCCGGAACTGGAGCGTCTCCAGCGGGGCCCTCTCCGCCTGTGATTTTGGATACTTTGGATATCCAAAGTGCATTGGAATCCGCGGAAAATGACTCCGAAATGTACTTCTTCCCAATGTCTGCAACTTCGGCTGAACTGTGATGCTGCTGCCCGGCACCTCTCTGGAAGCTTTCGGCCACCTGAGCCAGAGAACCTGGCCCCGAGCTCTCGGCTTGTGCTTGAAACTCCACTCGAGAAAGCCGCCCATCGTTGTCTGAATCCAGCTTACCTTGGCAGCATCTGGATCTCCACATCTCTCAAGCAGGCCCTTTCACAAGTGTTTGATAGAGTTGGTGGACGTCCTTCAGTCTGAACTGCTGAAGCAAAAAAAGCCCAACAATCGACTTGACAAAGACAAGTGTGCGTCCAAAAGGCTGAAATATGGCACTAATTCATCCGCCGTTGAGCTGGTGTAGTGTGTACCTTCAGGCCGGAACCATTCAGCTGCGGTTCGCCAGTCAAGGTGCTGACTATGCAATCAAGACACGGGCATCTCGGATAAACTCCGCTTGCGAAATGAACAAGTCCTGAACTGCGCAAAATCTGCGCAAACACACAGCGAACCGACAGCACAACACCACAAAGATCCTGGCTGTGTGATAGAGCATGTGTGCCCCAAAAATGTCATGGCTTCATCACCATGTTCCCATCCATTTTCCCAGTTTCCCATCCATTTTCATCCATTTTCCCCATAAAACAGACCAAAAATTGCTGGGTTTCCCCGGGTTTCCCCTGGGGACTCCACATACTCCACGTGCCAAGGGGATCCAAGGGGCATGATCTGCATCTGCCCTTCGGAAGGCCAAACTCATGGCCCTGAGCTCGGCAGGACCCCGAGCCGCCTTGGTGAATTCCTCCCGGCTAACTCGACCTCGGTTGAGTTAACTGTGACTGTGTGAGTGCAGTGCCAAATTATGCCAATTTCATGTTATTTGATCTATGTTGATGATATTGTTGATGGTATTTTGATATTATTTTGATGGCATTTGACTCATTTGATGATATTTTGATGGCATTTGATGTTATTTTGATGGCATTTGATGTTTTTTTGATGGCATTTGATGATATTTTGATGGCATTTGATGATATTTTGATGGCATTTGATGTTATTTTGATGGCATTTGATGTTATTTTGATGGCATTTGATGATATTTTGATGGCATTTGATGATATTTTGATGGCATTTGATGATATTTTGATGGCATTTGATGATATGTTGATGGCATTTGATGATATTTTGATGGTATGTTCCTATTTTGATTGTCTTTTCTTATCTTGATGTTATATTTGTTACAGCGTCAAGCTGTGAAGTATGCGGACCCCAATAATCTCAATGATCTTAATGACTCAATCTCAAATTTCTGTCGCATTTTGCATATGCATAAAATGTGTGCTGGACTGCAGCCGAAGCGCCGTCGTGGTTCTCATCCACGGAGCCGAACAAATGGGATGAGCTGACCTTCTTGCTTCGAACTCCCTCCTGCCATGTGACTCACTGGTGATCAACAAAACCAACGGCAGGAGCTGCCTCCTGCGCCTCAAGTGAGCAGACCTGGCTGGGTGGAAATTCCCCATATTCCTTGATCAATTGGCCTCCGGTAGCTGAACATAGCTATAGAAAACTACCATTTTTCAAAAAAAATCACCAGGTAAACCATCGAACTAAATGGGCCATGGCTTCCATAGCTATGTAACAAATCACTTCGTTTCTCAGCGCTAGGTCCTTGAACTCGGGCGGTGAGACGAAATCATCGTGATCCGAATCCAGCCTTAGGATTGGTCGCAGATCGACGGATGCGGGTGGAGTATCAGAGGAGCTGCTCTTTTTGTTTCGTGAAAATGGGGAAAAAAACAAGTTCCAATCCTCTTCCATGTTTTTTTCTGTTTTTTGTTCTGAAGTAAACTTCCATCCCATTTTCAGCGGGTTCAAGCTGTGTACAGGTGGTATGACCTGTTTCCTTGATGCTCCTTGCAGATGCGGCACTTTTCAAAGACCCTGTCGATGGCTACAAGGTCCGTGTCGCCTGGCTTTCGAAGCTCCTGAAAGTCAAAGGCCTTGTCCATGGCAAGCTTTGCCAAGGCCTGAACCACGCTGCAACTAAGATGTGCATCTAATAAATATAGAGAGAGAGTATCATCTAAGATGTGTTTTTCCTATGATTTCTGAAAGACAACCGTTTGAAATTATTTGACTTCTGGATGAACCAGTGATAAATTTCTCAATCTGATGTCATCTATCATCTGCATGGGCAGCTCTGGATGCCTTGGCGATGGCTGTGTCCACCTCCTTTTTGCTAAACTCATCAGAGGTGACTTTGCCATCTCCATTGAGGTCCAACTGTTTAAAGAGATCCTCTACCACCTCCTTGGTGTAGACGATGGCCTCAGGGCTGGAAGCTTCAAAAAAATGGCGAAAAGATCTGTAGATTGATATGGCTCAAGCTTTTAGACTTGGGGCACCACGGATTGTAATCATTTTTAGTGTAACCCATCCGGTCTTGGGGGTATTCAACCGTCAACAAGTCAAGCCAGGCGGCATTTACCCGAGGAAGCCACTGCTGTGGTTTCGCAGTACAGCGCATGCTTGGAGTCAGAACATAATCCGCATTGCCTCGGCATCGTTTGGTAACGTACAAATATGGACAAACAAAGGGGTCGATTGGATAGGATGTACTTAGTTGGTTCAATTCATGATGGGAGCACCCCTCTGTGAACCCACCAAATCCACCAACCACCAACCAGTGGGAAAAGGTCAATATGAATACATCTGTTTCCTACCCAAACCTTTGCGAGACTGCTGCCGCGCCACATTCCGCACACTGGTTATTCCCAGTGCGTGCTGATGTCTCTCTGCAGACTTTGCATTCTTCCCCGCTGCCCGTCCGACACGAATATTCCACACATGCCCCGGACTCGTTAAGAGCATAGCCAGCATTGCATTCATCGCACTGGTCCTGAATCTACGAAAGAATTAGCAGCTAGCAAGTACTGAAGAAGTCGAGTCCACGCACTTTTTTGGTCGGGTCCTATGATCCTCAGCCGCCCTTCATCAAATCCCAAACATTGATACCCTCTGGTAATGACTAACATAGCTATGGAAAATCACCATTTTTTATGGGAAAACTCACTATAAATGGCCATTTTCAATAGCTATGTTAGTTTACCAGAGGGTAGATTTGATGGTGTCCCAAGCTCTGCCAGGCTGTCCTTGGCAGTTCTTTCATCCAAAGGCCTGCAGGTCCTGCAACCCGAAGCAGTGCCCAACTGACAGGTGAAGGCTTCGCAATGGCCATCGACCAGTGTGAAGCCCTGGTTACAGGTCGAACAGTGGTCGTCCCCAGTCCTGGCACACTCTGAGCTGGCCGTGGGCAAACAGCTGCTTTCTGATCCAGCAGTATCTCATCCCAATATCAATTGAATCAAATTTCAAATGATCTAAAAAGCCCATGTCTGGCCCACTCACTGCTTAACATTTACATGTACTTACCTTGCATTCAACTGCATCTCGCCAACCCCCGGAAAAGTCACACAATGAGAAGCAGCTGGTCCTCAGTCCCTGCACTTGGCAGATTTTGCATGCTGCCCCATCTCCAGTCTCGCAGGAGTACGGCACACACTTCATGTCTTCTGATAACCTGGAATCAAACATACCAAACAAAAGAGAGCAAATATCTAGAAGTATGATCTCATGATCTCATGATGGCTTGGTTGGCTTCGTCTGCTCGTCTCACTGGCAGGAAGAAACAGTTGCCATGCATCGAAGAATCTGAAGTCGGCCTTGAGAATGTCTTTTTCACTGCTGCTTGCCAGCAAGCAACTTGAAACCAGGCTGGCATTTCCTGCATTGATTATCACCTAGGTTGCCCAGGCCCAAAAAGTGACATTACTAACAACCACTCAGATTTGCAGCTGAAAATCTAGGCACGAGGAGGAAGGTGTAGTGAAAGAGCGGCGCGTGAGGAATCGGAAGATACAAAGTGGAGAGTAAGTCTGATGATGCTGAGCATGCTAATGGTGACGTTTTGGCGGCAATGTCCCAGGAGGGGTTGAGCCACGGCAAAACTGTTTCCAAAAAAACTAGGGGAAAGGGTTGTTAACTGTGAAGTTTCATGTGATTGGTGATTCCAGCTCCAGCTCCTGCCAATACCTTGCTAGAGCAAGAGGTGGTAACCTGGTAAGCCAAGGGACCACTTCGCAACGGCTGCTCTACACACTCCAAACAGTTCATGCTCTCAAGCTTGCAGGAGAACGGTCGGCAAGTCTTGTGCCTTGTCAGCTCATGGCCAGGATTGCAACGCTTGCACTGACCATGCGCAGAGCGTTGGCTCCTGGGACGGAGCTGAGGGAAAATAATTGCAGAGATACAGCTGCCGATCTGAAAAACAACATCAGCAACACACCTTCTCAGTGCCTTAAAGGAGGCTCAAACTCGGCAAGGTACCGGAAACAAAATAGATTCCAAATGATTACAGTTACCCCTCTGTCATCTGTTGCAACATGCGATTGAGCTGCTGTGGCGTACATCTGCGGCAGGCTTCCCCTGAGCCCTCTGAGCATGTGTATGGTCGGCATTGGGCATCGTCATCCAAGAAGAAACCTGCAGTGAAACAGTTCAGCTGGTCCACACAGGGTGACCTGGTGGATGAGTAAGCATGTTTTCTCAAGACTTTGCATCAACCACCGGAATGCCACTCCTGTTGAGGGTTGCCGGGTTGCCCCACTTTCAAGTGAAGTTTGTTGGCACCAGGACGTGACTCAGATTGACCCATTGTCAAGTCAAGCAGCCAGCATTGCATGCCTGACATTGGTCCCGTGCTGTGCGGTCCGCTGCCGCACGGCACTGCTTGCAGTTGGGCCCCGGACCCGCGCGACAGCTGAAGGCAGCACACGTGGCATCTTCCAACAGACCTGGGCTAACCAGGGACCATGGGCAACAGGATCACTTCAGAACACCATGCCAAACATCACTTCAGGACACGCCCATTTGCATCACTTCAGAACACACTTCCATTCTAGACATTACTTCAGAACACATGCATCACTTCAGAACACTTACTCATCTATTCCTTCTATTGGGAGTCCTGATGCTCGCTCACATTCGACCCTACCTCAACTTTTGGTTGGGGTGGGGTGGGATGGTAACGTACTCTTACACGCGCAGGGAGGATGGTGTGGGGTGGGATGGGGTGGAACAACTTCTGTAAAGCGACTCCTGTAGAACAAGTTCTGTGTAACAACTCATGTATAACAACTCCGTGTCACAACTCCTGTGTAAGAACTTGTGTAGTTTGATGTGTGTGATGTATGTATGTTGTGTTGATGAAGTTGATGTAGATGATGTTGATAAAGTTGATGAAGATGATGTTGATGATGCTGATGATGTATGTGATGTAGATAAAGTTGATATAGATTGTGTGGACGATGTGTGTGGTGTAGATGTAGATGATGCAGATGATGTAGATGATGTAGGTGATGTAGATGATGTAAAGGATATAGGAGAGATGTAGGAGATGCAGTGATGTATGTGATGCAGATGAAATTGATGTAGATGGTGATATAAAAGATGTAAAAGATGTTGTGTAGATGAAAAAGAACTTCTTCTGCGTTCTAAAGCGATACTTGAGACCGCTTTCTAAAGCCATGGTTGGCACCGCGTTCGGCGAGGGCCTTACCTGGTCATTGGGCCTTGGATTCCTGATGCTAACTGAGGGGAGCTGGGCGAAAATTGGGTCTGTCTGATCTGTCTGTAAGTGCAGTTGGGATCTTCCTGCTATTTCAGACCTCTGCCCCGTAAAACAATAGATCTTTCTCTCCATCGCCTTCCCAAGGAGTTCAGTAAAACTCTATAATATATATATATATGTGTGTGTGTGCTCATATATATATATAGATATAGATATAGACTTACTAAAGGCGAGCAAGGTACAACTCCAAAGGAAATGGGATGGTTCCAATGGTTCCCCTACACCAGTATATACCCGGATGAACCTACCATCTCTGTCGCATGCGTGGGGGGCTGTGACAGCTCTGAGATTCTGACGGAATCCCGGGTTGCACTTCTCGCATTGGTCGTTCGAGGTCCTGGCGCCCTGCGGCCGGCACACATTGCAGCTGGAGCCTTGGCCTGTTTCACAGGCGAAGGGACTGCACTTGAAGCCATCCGTCAGCGTGTAGCCTGGTCAAGAAAACGTGTCCAACATAGGCTGCACTGAGCTACCCTTCATGAAACCAAGCTAAAATCGAGGTGAGGTTACGCGGTCAAACATCATCTTGGAAAGATCATCTTGGACCTACTTGTAGGCTTTGACATCTTCATCTCCATGAAAAGCTGCCCTTCCCCCAGCTGCCTGGGTTGCATTCCAGGCATTGCTCATCAGAGGTTCTTCCTCTCTGCGTGCGGCAGGCCTTACACAGGTCCCCTGGCCCCGTCTCGCAGGTGTAGGGACGACACCGGAAATCTTCTGTCAGCTCGAAGCCAGGGTTGCAGGCTGAGCACTGGCCATCCGCAGTTCTGGCGCTCTGATCTCTGCAGGACATGCAGCCAGCGCCTCAGGCCCATCTGCTACCCAGCGTCTGAGAAATGTATGTGGGCATCAACTGTATCAAAAAATTAGCCCTCAATGATGACCCACTGGCCTACAAAGATCACAAACAATTATCAAAAACAAACCAACTTGAGAGGCCAGGCACCGATGCTCACTGCACAGGTGAAGGGAACGCACTTCGCACCCACAAGCTGGAAACCAGGATTGCAGGCACTGCACTCGTTGTCCATCTTCCGTTTGCTCAAGGGGGGGCAACTTCGGCAAGCGTCCCCGTTTCCAGTAGTGCAAACAAAAGCCTCACAACTGCCTCGCTTTGAGAGCTGGTAGCCAGCATTGCATGAGCCACAGTGGTTCACCCGACTTCGCTCCCTTTGCCGCACACAGCTGCTGCAACCATCATCATCTCCAGTCTGGCAGGGGAAGGACTCACAGCTACCACTGGCCATGAGGCGATACCCAGCATTGCAGGAGCTACATCTGTTGTCTGCCCCACACTTCTGGCACATATCCCCTGGTCCCACTTCGCAAGTCATCTTCTGACCTTGGCATTCATAGGGGTCCCATGGCTTCCCATGAAAGTGAAAAGTCTGTTGAAATAAGGTGAAATTATGAAATTCAAGAATGCCCTTGCAACACTCCAGTTCTTTGGGGAGGAAGGTCGTAATTTGTCTGGATGGAAAATGGTAAGGTGTCATCTCTGATGGCTCAATGGTGCAAAACAAATTGATGAGGAAAATTCACATCCGGCAAAGGCGGGCTGCATTTCAGCTTGTCATCCAAGAAGTAGCCTTCATTGCAAGATGCGCATTGGTTATCAGCCGTGCGCTTTCTCTGAGCAACACAAGTGTTGCAGAAGTCGTCCTCGCCCAACTCACAGGAGAATGGCTCACAAGTCTTGTTGGCAGAAAGCTGGTAGCCAGAATTGCAAGAGGCGCATTCATAATCTCGTTCTCGCAACTCCGTTGGGACACAAGTCTTGCACAGTTCGCCAGGGCCTCTCTGACAGAGGAAGGGCACACAAGCTTGTAACTCATTCAGCCGGTGACCTGGCGCACAGTCCTTACATTGATTGTCTGCCGTAGTGTTTTCCGGCTCCTTGCAAGTCTTGCAGGCAGGGGGCTCCCCAACTTCGCACTTGTATGGCTGGCAGGTCTTCTCATCTGTCAAGAAGTAGCCCAAGTTGCAATCCACGCAGTTCCCGTCAGTGTCACAGGACTTGCAGTCTGGACCCTCTCCAGGTGTGCAATCAAAGGCCTGGCACAGAGTTTGACGCCACTGATGGGGCTTCAAACAGTTTCAGCACGTGACACGCGTCCCAAGGGGCATGTGCACCTTCAGTTTCAGACGCCGACGCCGCCCCACCCTGCCTTGCACGTCAAGCTTTCCGTCAACTCGTATCCGAAGTTGCACTCTTGGCACTGGTTATGTGCTGTCCGGTTGCTGGGTCCCTGGCACACCTTGCAAGCACCCTTGGGACCCTCCTCACACTTGTAGGCTTGGCAGCCAGATTTCTCCGTCAAGAAAAGGCCAGGATTACAAGCGGAACAGTCACCCTCCTTGGCTGCCATACGCAGCGACATGTAACCAAACCTATTGCCTTTCACACTGACCTTTGCAATGAATTGGAATAACTGTGCTCCGGATGTACGACAAAAAAATCTGCCAAGCATTCCTAGGGTCCTTCGTTCTATCATCCTGCGCTTTGCACTCCGCACAACCTGAGCCGTTGCTCAAAAGCAGTTGTCCAGCCATGTGCACACAGGTGCTGGCTCCAGGAGACAAACTACTAGGGTGCTGGATGTGGTTTCAAAACAGCCATATATCATATATCATATATCCATTTGTTCACCAATTTATCCATACACTCGGAAGGAGGTCATCTCCCATGCCCAAACTCTTACAGCCCGGCCTCGTCCATCTGAGGTGCTACAACCGAAGGGGCGGCACGTGGCTTCATCGGTGAGTTCATAGCCAGGGTTGCAGGCCACGCATTGGTTGTGGCTGCTCCGATCCCCTTGCCTTAGCAACTTCAGCCACTGGGGTGGTACCACAGAGCAGGCCCGACTAGCAGCTCGCAAGACAAAACCAGAAAATGGGGAAAATATGGGAAAATGGAGATTCGTGGGGCAAGTTGCTCCCTGCACATTGCACAGGACTCGTTGGACCCAATCTTGCAAGTGTATGGTTTGCAGCTCAGATCTTCATGGTTTCCTCAGTCATTTCGGCAACCAAGGGGATGGTGAGAGAGAGGTAGTTGGAGATAGTGGGACCATGTGGGACCCAAATGGACAAAACATGACAAAACCCTCAGTTTTCATGCTCCACCAAGGGTCGGAAGAAGCCTGCGTTGCACAAAGCGCACTGCTGATGGGCAGTGCGCAAGTTCTGCACGAAACAAGCCTTGCACTTGGCACCCTCTCCGGCTTCACAGTCCCAACTGTGACACTTGAAGTCCTCCCCAAGGTAGTAACCTGGTGGCACAGCAGGAGGTACAAACAAGTGCAAATGCACAAACCTGATATTTTCATGTATTTTCAATATTTTCTATCATAATTATCATATGAGGCCCTTAAAGTTGAATACCGTCCTCTCCTCAGGTCAAACAGCCCCTTTTTCCGTGATTCCATCCCTGTTCCACCTGGGTTGCACTTGGAGCACTGGTCCGTTGCTGCCAGCTCGGCTGCAGACCGACACTCCTGGAAACGACTTGCAGCGTCCCAGCCATGAATATGGCCAAGCACTTTCACAAACCATCGATTTTCAATCAAGTAGCTATTGTACATCTGTAACCCATGGATTTTGAATTTCAGCAATGAATTCCCCGAAAGCTCGTCCACCTTCGTCCACCTTCGTCCACCTTCGTCCACCTTCGTCCACCTTCGTCCACCTTCGTCCACCTTCGTCCACCTTCGTCCACTATTTCAACTTCCCCCGCGGCCTTGCAGCCAATCCCAAGGCCAGTGCTGCAGGCGAAGGCTTTGCAGCGCCCATCTGGCAGAAGCTCATAGCCTCAGATGTCAACTGCTGAGAAGGTTGTTGGACATCGGTGGACACCCAGTGATAATGGAATTTGCATGAATTTGCAATAGGAAAATCATCTAGAAATGGAGGTTAACATCATTTTGACCCTTTCAAACAGTCAACAGAACTGCATGCAGACTGAGCCAAAGGCCAGGATTGCAGGCAGCACACTGGTCTGCGCCAGTCCTGGTGCTTTGCTCTTGGCAAAACTTACCTCGGGGTCACCGTCTTCCAGTGTTGCATCATCGACGCACTTGCGAAAGTAGAAAGGTCGCGTAACACTGCAAACACGGCACCTCCTAATGTCCGAAACGTGTGCTTCCTGCAACTGTAGTTGACAAAGCAGCTCAGGTGTCCAATAATCAGTGAAAATCAATGAACTATAATATACTATACTAAACCAATTGAACGTAAGGGAACAGAACAGCCTGTGAAATTTCCCAGGTCTTTCTGGGTCGAGTCGCAGCCGGTGCCAGGCGCCACACTGCAGCTGTAGGCTTCACACTTCCAAGTGCCCGAGGCATTGGACAAGAAGAAGCCGGGATTGCAGGACTCACCTCAGAGACGATGGAGACGGAGGCAGAGGATGGATTCCATGGATTTTAAGATCCAGAAAAAAACGACCAAGTAGAAGCCCCACAAAAATATCTTATCATCAAGCAAAAGGAAGTTTGGTCACTGCTCAATTTCTCATTCAACATATTAAACGTCCCTGATCCTTGCAGGGCAGTTGCAAGCTGGGCGGTTGTCAGAGCTGCTGAAACTTAAGCAGCGAAAAGCAACAACTACGATGACTACTGCCAGCTGAACAGCCTGCCTCAGGAGACAAGAAATTTCACTGCCATAGCGTGTAACCTCTTCATACCTTGACTACCACCTGAAAAGAAAGAGATCGAGACCAAAAAAAACATCGTATATAGAGAGATTAGATTGGATTAGATTTAGATATAGCGTAAGATTCAGATTATTGTAGGTTTAGATGTGGATTTAGATTCGATTGGATTAGATGGATTAAAAAAGATAGAGAGAAGATAGATCAACAGGTCCATGGACAGATAATTGGAAGACTCTGCCAGGTCACACTCATCTTTTGCAGTCCTTGCTTCTTGCGTCCGGCAGGTGCGGCATGCTTCATCTGGGCCCAGGGAGCAGGTAATGGTTTGGCAGTTCTTGCCATTCAGAGTGTAGCCCGGGTTGCAGCTCGCCTGGGGTGACAAGGAGGGCCCGGGGATCCCCAAATCAACTGGTTGATCATCATTTTCCGAATCAAAATTACCATTTTCGAGCGATGCCCTGTTTTCAGACAAACCCATTTTGAGGATCCCTCAGCAAGAAACAAGAAAAAACAATGAAAAACATACGATTCTCTGCTGCAGTCTTAACTCTTACTGTACTCTTGCAGCCTTTCAATCTGTAAACTAGAAGTACAACCGAAACCTACAATCTTATAAAAAGAAGAAGAAGTATGAGAATGGTACTAACAATAGTGAGAGCACTAACAGCAATACAAAAAAACATCTGAACACAACCAAGTTGCACATTCATCGAAGGCCGTGCGCTCACTCTGCGGGACACAGGTCTTGCAGGCAGCTCCAACGCCGGTTTCACAGGTGAGGTGCTGACAGAGAGCTCCCACAAGACCTGCCATGTCGTTTTTAAAAACTTACTCTAAAAACTCAACACGGACGGTTGAGTTTTTGGATATTCATGGATCAATCACAATCCCCAATTGCCCAATCGGTACCCTTTTTTCCCAATCGAACAGTGTTGGGATTTCCAGCTCGTGGATTATGATCATCCCCAATGATTCAATGTATCCAGGGTAGGATTGAATCCCCGAACTAATCATCAACCAACAGGGGTTTAGCAGCCACTGGACCAGCTCCGGGATTGCACTCAGAGCAATGGTTGCGCACGCTTCGCTCCTCCTTCGTGGATGGCTATGGGGACAAAGGTCATGTTCTTTTTGGCAAAGGTGAAGCTGCCACACACACACACAGATATGTATGTATATATATATGCGTGTGTGTGTGTGTGAATTTACACATACTTCTTTAGGTATGATAATATTAGTAATATATATATATGTTAGTGTATATACATTTGACACGCGAAGCTTGGAGAGTACCTACACATCGACGTGCACACCCTTCCAGTATGCAGAGATAGAACAAAGACCGTCAGAGACACTGGGAATTCGACCACCTTGAGAAGCGTTGGAGCACCGTCTAAGTTGCAAGCAAGACTCTTGGGCAACACATGCCTTGCAATCGGTGACCGCATCACCAGTTTCACAGCTCAAAGGTTCGCATTTTAAGTCCGAATTGAGCTCATAGCCGGGGTTGCACTCCAGACATTGTCCTGACTTTGCAAGATTGACAGGCCAATGATGCCCACGGAAGAAGTACAAATCTATCTCTCCCAAAAAAAAATCCTTCAGGGCACCAAGAAAGAATTTAAAATTAGAGAGAGAGGGAGATAGAGATCGATTAAATCGTGTATAATCATGTATATATATATATTGAAATATATAATATATATACATATTATGTCAATTAGAAAACTCAAAGCCTTCTCAAAGCAAATGGATGCGTGCCGCTGGCCGTTCTTTCAAGCCGTCCCTTACAGACCTTGCATTTGCGTCCAGCTCCTTCCTCGCACGACAGGGTCTCACACTGATTGTCCTTCAGGGTCGGAGCTTCTGAAATCTCAGGCTTGGTCTATTCGTGGGCAACTTAATCCATTGATGTACATATGCATACATATATGTGTATAGCATGTGTATGTATATATATGTGTGTGTGTGGCATATATATATATATTAATATATACATACATACATACATACATACATTACATTACATTACATTACATTACATTACATTACATTACATTACATTACATACATACATACATATTTATGCATGTTTTATTTCATGTTTGGGTTTCAGTGTATGTCTATATTCTTGTCTGTGTGCATTTCTTTAGCTACTTGCTTATCCATTATTGTCTATGTGATTTTCTATTTTTATGATGTGCCTGTCTAATCGTCAGCACCTTCATTGTTCTCGGTCTGTACAAAATGTGCAGACCGATTATTTATGTGTTTATGATTGTTTATGTGTTGGTCTGTCTGAAACAAAAATGTACACAGTTTATTATAGTTGTCTATTTACCATCTGGTCATTTAACATAGCCATGGAAAATCACCATTTTTAATAGGTAAACCCAGGTAAACCATCTATTTCTATGGGCCATCTATACCATGGCTATGTTAGTCATAACCAGAGGATCCAGAGGGATCCAGAGGGTAGTTTTGGAAGGCCATGGGGTAGCCCCACCTCTGAAAGGCCATAACCGGGATTGCAAGCTTCGCATTGATCGTCTGCCGTCAAATCTGGAAGCTTCCGACAGCTCTTGCAAGCCTTGGGTAACACTGTAACACAACTGAGATATGGCGGCAACCCAAGGAGCTCCAGACTGGAGTATGTGGAAATGTCAAAATGCATTGGTCTTAATAATTAGCAATAGAAAATTGAGAATTCTAATAGGAAAAATATGGAAAAATAATAAATGTTAAAAGATCATCATCATCATCATCATCATCACAAATTGAAGGTCTCCTGAAATGGGGGTACCCCTACATCCATTTTAAAAAAAAATGTTCCCTGATAAACCATCCAGTCATCCGCCCCATCCGAGATGCAGGACCTTGACCCGTGCTACAGCGAAACTGGACGCAAGCAAAGGCCTGGAACACCGTGGCCGGGTTGAACGAAAAAACCTCCATAGGGCTGCCATAGGGCCATAGGGTATGACAAAAATACACCTGGTCCTTGAAAAAAGGCTCATTATACATGTTTAGATCATACGACCACGCACAGATATACATATACATATATATATATATATACATGTAGAGAGAGAGAGAGAGAGAGAATTATATAGACATTACAGGTATATACATGTGTGTGTAATGATTATATAATGCATATAAAGATACGGTGTAGAAAATAAGGATCTGTCAGGTGGCTGCACAGTTTGGGGTTCGGCAGAGCCCCTTCAGAGATCAACTCAGCTAAACAACATATTTAACCACAATGAAAGTACGACTCAATCCACATGGCCCAGCAACAAAAATACATCACATAGATCTAGATTAAGACATGCGCAACGATTCAATGATTTCAATGATGTAATATCATGGATGGAAGCAGCTAACCAGAAGCTATTCCAAGGTAATCAAGGTATTGATCTCGCCTCATTCAGCACGTGGCCGGCGTTGCACTGATCGCATTGGTTTTCGGCTGTGCGTTCACCTTGCGGCTTGCACGTTTTGCCTGGGCCATGTCGGGCACCATGAGCTCGGCGATACACCAATTTTAGGCTGGCAAATGGATGTTCATTCCCCAAAAAATATGGTATAACTATGTATAATTAATAGAGTTTGATCCCATACCCATATCCAAAACGCCACAATGAGCCACCATGGGACAAAATAAATTACCTGGAAACCACCTCTATTTACACATAAAATCCAAGAAGTTCCAGAGCAAGAGTGATGTGAACATGGCAGGAACATCGGGAGTCTATCCCAATCTCTTTAGCCCGAAAAAGGTGCTCCACCAAGACTCACTTTTTCGAGAACTTACTGCAGCTGCGTGACAAGCCGACCCAGCACCAATACTGCAGGCAAACGGAACACATTTGGCGTCAGCCGTTAGCATGAAGCCTGGGTTGCAGCTCGCACATTGGTTTCTTCGGCTTCGCGCGTTCTGTGGAAGGCATGTCTTACACGAAGATCCACCTGGGGTTCAAAAAACCTCAAGAAGGTGCCCACTTACTGTTTCAAGAGACAATCCACCTCGATCCACTTAAAACATCGAGGAACTCAAGGAACCGCTTGAAACATTAAGAATTCTAAGACCAACAAGAAAAATCATCCAACTCCGTCATCCTCAAAGACTACTAAGGATATTATACTGAGCACACTGGAAGATAAACAGCAAACCAAATCGCTGTTCAACTGTGCCATGGCCTCCAGTTCGGCAAGCATGTGGCCTGCACGCAAAGGATGTCGTGAGCTCATATCCTCTGCTGCACTTGTCGCACTCAGCACCTGAACCACATACTTCACCTCAGTCGCAGACAGAGAATGAGATGAATGAGCAAGTGCTCCATTCTTGGTTAATGGGGATTTCATGGGATTTCCAGCTCATGGGTTATGACTCGTTATGATAATAACCCCCCTATCATCGACCAACAGGTTTTGAACACTGCTCAGCTGACTCCAGTACGATGCCTGGAGGCATGTGACTATGACCCCTGGCCCCTGGCTGTTTTTTTCTAAAGGGACTGTATAGCATGAGCAGTCGGAGATTCGGATGATTCTGCCCGTGCACATGCGCATGGCTATTCGCACCCTGTTATCATACCGAATCCATCTTCCCTCGAAATGATCGAGTCACAAGCTGCACCTTTGACGCAGGGCGAGGCTGTACAAATTCCATCGGTGAGAGTGAAGCCGTCGTTGCAGGCGGTACACTGACCATCTGCTGTTCGAAGCTTCAAATCCTGACACTCCTTGCACTCTGTGCCATTGCCGATCTTGCACGTATACGGCTTGCAGCTGCCATCTGGCAATAGCTCATGACCAGGGTTGCATTCCTGATGTGACCAGACATGGGCGAAAGAGAAGTCACAGCCTGTAATCCAACAATAAGAAGGGCAAGTTGTTGCGCATCATCTGCAGGTTTTTCTTAGCTAAATCGGAGTTCTGTATGCATTCTCCATAAAAATCACCTTTTGATGTTATCATGTGTTATCTAATTATCTAATGTAAGTGACCTCTGAAATCCCCCCAAGGAACAGGCCAAACAATCGCCAAACCCAAGACCCAGCTTCGCTGCATTGGTCGTTCGCCGTGGCATTCACCGTCAAACGGCAGGCTTTACAAGCAGATCCGGGTCCAGTGCTGCAGGTGAACGCAGCGCAGGTAAGATCCTCTGTCAGGGTGTAGCCAGGGTTGCACTCCGCACATTGGTCATCAGCCGTTCGCATGTCCTGCGGGAACTGCGGTAGAAATGGCATGATTCAAATACGAATCAATTCAATGAGGGCAGGTCCTTGGATCCAACATATCCAACTTGTGTCTATCTGGCGACATTGAGAACCATCACGAGCCATTGATACCCGTTGTGTGCAGGCAGCCACCTTTGAGTACACTAGTGCTTCACACTGGAGACGACAGAATCCAACTCAGATCTCCTGGTCCAGACATCTCTTGCAGAGCGCCCCAGACCCTGAGTCACAGAGCAGGGGTTCACACTTGTGATCCACCGTCAGAGTATAGCCGGGCATACACTCGCGGCATTGCTCGTGGGCAGTTCTTCGTGTCAGGCCTCAGACATCGACGCCGTGCAGAGAAGCACAACCACAGTCTACAACTCTACAACCCCCAATCCCGCAATCTTCCAGTACGTGTAGATCACCCAGCACTCAGCGATCTGCAAAAATTAACAGTTGTTGGATCTAAGTGCCCAGCTTCGGCACACCTTGCACCCTGCATCCGTTCCAGTGACACAAGTGAACGGGCTGCACTTGAAGTCAGCAGTCAGTTCATAGCCAGCGTTGCACTCTTCACATTGGTTCTGGGGCGTCGCGACAACGCCCAAGATGAGGTGGGAGGGTTGTTGTGGACAAAGTCTACATTGTGACATGTGATTCAGTGACTGAACATGTTCATCACCTAGGTGGGAACCCTCCTTTTCTTAAGTCCTGCCCCGTTCATTTGACAGCTGAGTCTCCTTGGCCGAGCTGTCTATGGCTGCCTTGCACTTTCTGCACTCTCTGCCGGGGCCGAGGGTGCATGAGATCTTTTTGCACTTCAAGTCCTCCGTCAGCAGGTATCCTGAGGATGGTGGTGACGGTGGTGACAGAAGAAGGGGCCATTGACCATCCTACCACACACACAACTACACACGACGGCATTGGAGAACGAAGAGAAGATTTCCACAGTCTACTGCTACTACCAGGCCTACCGATTGTTCCACTTCACTCACGCCGCGGGTCCTCGATTGCATTCCATACACTGATTCTTCGCTGTTCGAAGTGCCACATCTCTGCACTTTCGGCACGAGGCACCATCTCCTTCCCATGGATCCCAACAGCTCAGCTCCAAAGCAGAGGTGCCGTGGATTTGCGATCTCAAAACTGGTGCACTTTAAATGTCATGGCCCATGGCTATACCCATGGCATGCAAAGTTTGCCCTTGGAAATCCACCCTGCTTTGACACTCTTCTCCTGTGAAGCAGCTGAAAATTTCACAGCTAGAGGCTGCCGTCAAGCCATAGCCTGGGTTGCACTCGGAACCTTGGCGTTGTCAGCGATGCTGGATGCTTAAATCAGCTGCAAAAGTAGATGGCCAACAGAAACTTGCCAAAACAGTGGTGCAATTGTCTATGGTGCAGTCACATGTGCACTTGTCATCCCATCCCCTGAATACTCGAAAAATAATTTCAGCAAGGGGCCCCAAAATAAATAGATTCCGAGTTCCGAGACTCCAATTCAGAAAAGGAGCATTGGTCGTTCCCTGTTCGCGCTGCTTCCGGGCGACAAGTCTTGCCTTGGTCTGGCGAGCTCCTGTTAAGCTCTGAGCCACTGTACCACAGGCAGGTTTGGCGGCCGAGATACAGCCGTTTGCAGAGCCAGTCTCGCAGGAAAAAGGCTTGCAAATCACACCGTCTCGATAGAAACCCGGGTTGCACTCCAAGCACTGATCTCTCCCTGTCCTGCGTTTTTTGGCCATGTGACCATGAACAGTCGAAGATGAAAGCAGCCCCGGAACCAAAGTCTCAACGGACAAAGCTCAACATCCTTCATCTTGCTTACTAGTGTGTATAAGCGCGATAATTGTCCACATTTATGCATTGCTTTGACCGTGTCCCATGGTCCTAGCAGATTGCGCGAGGCAAGTCTTGCAGGCGCTGCCTTAGAGCATGTGACCCAATCCCTTGCACCAGTTGCACATGGAACCCATGGAACCCTCAAAGTTTGCGCCCAGCTGCCAGGACCCATCAAGCAGGTGAAAGGTTTGCACTGCAAATCCTCGCCCAAAAAGTAGCCAGGGTTACCTAGGATCGCAGCTCCTCAACTCTTGCCCCTTAGGCTTTGAAAGCAACAACAGCGGACATGTAAAGCAAGCAATATTTGAAATATTTGTCTCAAGGTGCACTCAGCGCATTGATTGTTGGCCTCAGATCATCCCAGTGGAATAGCGAACAGCGTCCATAGATCGGCAAGTTTTGAGAGTGCAAAACCCTGGCTTACTAGCTGAAAGCCAAGCAGCTGTCAGAGTCACCTTTGGTGCCGGGCAGTTTTGCAGACCTTGATTTGTTGCAACATCCCAAGGGTCCCCAAAGCTATGATTTTCCGCACTCAAAGTAAGAGTGAGAGGTTCCCTTAGCCCCCTTTCCACCACCAAGTGCAGGCAGGAGTTGAACAGGCTCCCGCGATCTCCCATGTATGTCGGGTACTCAAGTGGGTCCACCCTGGGGCCAACAAACCAATGGAAGTTCCTCAGGCTTTCCACCGCGCTGCTGTAGGATGTCGTTGCCAGATCATCGCTGAGATCTCCTTCTCCGCACTGACTGCCAGCTTTGATACAGGAACACTGCCTTTGATGCCATGGGGGCCATGCGGCCGCACAAGATATGGGGGGTGTACTCTTTGCCCAAACCTTTACAAAAAATCTTGCGGAAAGTGTCTGTCAGTAACGCGTATGAGGCACACCCAAAACTCTACGGTCCATCAGCCACAGACACGTTGGGATGGTGGAACCCAAACTCATGACCGAGATGCCAAAACTCGTCCGGCTTGGCCAAGATCTCAAAGGCCGCCTCATCAGGGCGGATCATTGCACATCCGATGCTCAGTCATAGCTGGACTAGACATGGCTACAAGTCAAGCGTGTCAGCCCAAAAATGACATTTTTCATGGTCACTAGTCTTCACTACATCAAAAAGATAGGGCCAAAATCTGCAGATCCCAGGGCATGAGTTCCCGAACCTGGCTACAACGATCATCAGCACAGACCGCGTTCGAGCAATTCAACGGCGAGATCAGCTCAGTACTGGTGTACACGGTGATCTTCTTGCTCTCCGCGCATGTTCTGACCACCAACATGGCAAAGTGGATTTAAGCAACAAAAATTAGGATGGCAAGCATCAAAAAGGTGGAGGTGAACCAACAAAAGTTGGGATGCGCAGTAGATCAATGGCATGGTTTTGCCGGTTTACTTTACCTCAGAACCACTTTTGGCATCACCCAGTGCAGAGGTCTTGGGATTTCCCTGCCCTTGTTGACGGATGCAGCATTGGGGCCCATGCCAAGGTCCCAAATGTCCCAAAGTGCTGCTGTCCCAAATGCCGAATCACAAACGTTTCTTCTGATTCCAGCCAAGACTGCCAAGACTCTTCCCACTTAAAGATTTCTCGAAGCTGATCTGTGACATCGAAGAATTCTCGCCGCGACACACCTGCAACTTGCGTCAGCCATGCACAAAACCCCAGCATCCCAGCCTTGCACTGGATGGGCAACAATGGTTTCCACATTGTGTACCTAGGTCCTTAGGTCATATTTTCAGCAAATACTACATACACTTATATACACGTACTTATATATTACAATTTATACTTGAGGTTAATATAAAACGCCCAGGAACATATGCATTCCCATCAGCTGGCTCCACCCTCCCATGGTTTCCAGGCCCTAGCGCCTTACATGCTTCATCCGGCCCGGTGCTGCAGGTGAAGGTCCCACAGGTTTCGGCGGAGTTCAAGTCATAGCCATCGTTGCAGTCCAGGCATTGCCCTGGGATGGAAGCCACGGCCGCGCATACAAGGACAAATGCTGGCGCGACAGTGTGCAGAGATGTGTCACAGAAGACAGAAATCAAAGAACCCTTCTGGTCAGACAGCTATTTTGTTTTCTGGTGGCCAACACGTCGTCCAAGCCACATGCCTGCGGGCCAGGGAAAATCTCTTGAAATCTCGGGCCAAGCTCAAGTGGCTCTGAAAAAACAGGCCGCCACCTGTGCACTATGTGGCTGCAATGCCTTGGCTAATTTACAGAGATCCTTGCCGTCCTTCACTAGCCAAGAACCTTGCCTCAGGGTTCAAACGTGAGTAGTCCAGCAGTGTCTGTCGACACTTGTCCAAATGCTCAAAGCTGCAGGTCTCTTTGGAGTGAGTCGCTGTCGGCGAGGAGGAAGCAAAGCTGGTGTTCGTCACCGTTTTCCGCTGCTGCGGATGGGTGGTCTCCTCAAGGAGAACCTGGTGCCGGGAGTCGCTTAGGAGGACGGTCATGTCCACTTGAAGCACCTTCGTTCCCCGTAAAAAACTCGTTGGCGTACTGCCGGATCCGCGAGCGTCGAAGAGACAGAAAAGTAGGGAGACTGCTGCGTCGTCCCAGCTTGCGCACCGGTCCAAGCTGCAGGGTGAAGAGATGCACAGCATAGAGTTCACTCTTCGCCGCGTCGAGCTTGAGGCACTCCGACTGCACCTTCTTCCAGGGCTCATTTTATTGATATGGTTGTAATTAAATCAGGGGTTCGGGATTCTCTTTAAAACACCGCTTGATTTCAAATATTGGAGAAAAGTAGGTATATAGAGATCACTCCAAAGGCAATCAGGATCCTCCAGCGCCTTCTTCACCAGAAAATGGTAGCGAGGGAGCTCATGGCAGAAGGCGGCCGCGTTCATGAGGCTCTGCTCCATGCTCGCCAGTGGAGTTATGCCCGTATGCAGCCGGGAGGGCGGAGCACAGCTCGGAGGGCACAGGGCACGAGATGCGCCGCAGGGACACGTTTCGACTGGTCCTCGTGAGAAACCTGAGATGCGTTTTCGGACAAACATATCTTCGTTTTATCGAAGGAAGTTTAGAAGTCAAACTTCCGACAATATGGACAGATGAAAAGCAGAGCTGGTCAGAGGCAGAGAGAAGAGAAGAGTAGAAGAGAGCAGATCAGAGAAGAGAAAGAGTCAGAGGAAAGAAGATGCAGATGCGCGAAAAGGTAGGAAAGTCGCGAAACACTGTTTTTTCCAATGGTTTGTGGCTCCGGAGGGTTGAAAAGTAGGCTCGCTAAAGCGGCGGGTGCGGAGCCATCTGGCCAGATGAGAGATGAAAAAGTGCACGCCGTTGTGGCGCGAAGCACATTTGTAAGTCAAAAAGCTAAAAACACCTCACGTTCGGACCGGTTGAAAAACTGCACGCCGTTGTGGCGCGAAGCACATTTCGAAGTCAAAATGTGACAAACACCACATGCTCGGACCACTTTTTGACGTTCAGATGTCGTTTCGCGTGGCAGGCGCCAGGGATTGTGGACCTTGTCAAAAGTGAGAAAAACGTGATGGTTTTGTAGCATTTCCAAAATCGATGGCAGACGTGGGACGTTTTAAGAGGATCTGCAAAGATGCATTTTCCGTGGCAGGCGCAGTACAAGCGACATGTTCATCAGAGATGTTAGGAGGTCCAGGCGCTGATTCCCTGAGAGAGGTTGCATTTTGGAGCATCAAATCTTCAGGTTTGCTAAAATGATTTTGCGTGACAGGTGCAGCACTTCGTATGACCTGGCATCACTTTTACGTCGCAGGCGCAGTACTTTAGACAAGTGGACTGGAAAAAACGCAAAACGCATTGGTACGAGGCCGTCAGCTCTGCACTCAACTTTCCATTTTTGAAGGAAGTCTCGCAGAATTCTTTCGTTTTTGATGTTGTCAACTTCGAAAAATGAGGAAGTTTCGCAGAATTGTTTCGTTTTTGATGTTGTCAAGTTCAAAAATTGAGGAAGTCTCACAGAATTGCTACGTTTTTGATGTTGTCAAGTTCAAAAACTGAGGAAGTCTCGCAGAATAGCTTCGTTTTCAAGCTTGCAGATAGACAGATAGATAGACAGACAGACAGAGAGATAGAGAGATAGAGAGATAGATTTAAGATAGATAAGATAGATAAGATAGATAAGATAGATAAGATAGATAAGATAGATAAGATAGATAAGATAGATAAGATAGATAAGATAGATAAGATAGATAGTATAGATAGGATAGGTAGGATAGATAGGATAGCTAGGATAGATAGGATAGATAGGATAGATAGGATAGATAGGATAGATAGGATAGATAGGATAGATAGGATAGATAGGATAGATAGGATAGATCGATAGATCGATAGATAGATAGATAGGTAGATAGATAGAAAGAAAGATAGAAAGATAGATAGGTAGATAGGTAGATAGATAGATAGGTAGATAGATAGGTAGGTAGGTAGATAGATAGGTAGATCTTTAGGTAGATAGATAGGTAGATAGATAGATAGATAGATAGAAAGATACAACTACAACTACCACTACCACTGCCACTACGACTACATGACATTACACTTCACTACACTACACGACACTGACTACACTACACTACATGACACTACACTACGCTACACTAATTACACTGCACCACACTAAGACTACAACTACACTACACTACACTATATTTCGGGCTGATGACTTAGGACTTAGGCCACCATAGTGACATAGGATTTTGTGCACCAAGTCCTAGGTCACTGGCGTTCTTACCAGGTGTTTTGTGCGCACCAAGTCCTAAGTCACTGGGGTTGTGATTGGACTCAAGCACTTTTTAGGGTAAAAAAATCTTCTTTTAATAAGTTATCAGAACCTACATACTTACACTACATTACAGTACAGCACATTACATCACTACATTACAGTAAAGCACAGTACATTACATTACAGTACATTACATTACAATACCTTACAGTAAAGTACAGTACATGACATCACACTACAGTACATTACATTACAGTAAAATACGGTACATTACATTATATTACAGCACATTACAGTACATACATGCACAAGACTTGGTGCACAAAATCGTATGTCACCAGAGGGGCACAAGTCCTAAGTCATCAGAACGTACATACATATATTACATTACATTACAGTACAATACATGACAATACGTTAAAAAAATACGTATATATAATTTAAAAAAATTACACCGGCATAGACCCCAGATAGAAAAGGTTGGAACTGATGCTTCCCAACGTGGGAACCAAAGGTTACCGTGGCAAGGAACTGCCGGTTCCCAGACCTTGAAACTTACGGTTCCCAACCTGGGAACCAGAGGTTACCATTGCAAGGAATTGCCGGTGCCCAGAAGTTAGAATTTATGTTTTCGAAACTAAGCAACTATCATTGTAAGGAACTGCGGATTCCCAAAGCTTGAAACTCATGGTTCCAAGCCTGAAAAAGTAAACGTTACCAGTGGAAGGATCTGTTGATTGCAAAAAGGTAGAACTCATGGTTCTTAATGTTGTTTTGTTTTGTTTACTGAGCCGGTAACAGAACCTTTTGTTTTGCTTAATGGACCGGTAGCGGAATGTTTGCATTCGGCTGCTGGGCCGGCATAAAAATGTTTTTGCACGAAAAAGGTGCATGTCAGAATGATATGAAAACAGATTCTTTACAATTTTATGGTTTTGCTTAATGGACCGGTACAGAACGCTTTGTTTTGCTTCATGGACCGGTACCGAAATGTTTGCGTTTGGTTCATGGCAAGGAACTGCCGGTTCCCAAAGGTTGGAACTCACGGTTGCCAACGTGGGAACCACAGGTTACCATTGCAAGGAATTGCCGGTTCCAAGAGGTTGGAACTCATGTTTCCCAACCTGGGAACCAGAGGTTACCATTGCAAGCAACTGCCGGTTCCCAGAGGTTGGAACTCATGCTTCCCAACCTGGGAACCATAGGTTACCATTGCAAAGAACTTCCAATTCCTAAAGGTTGGAACTGATGGTTCCCAACGTGGGAACCAAAGGTTACCATGGCAAGGAACTGCCGGTTCCCAGACCTTGAAACTTACGGTTCCCAACCTGGGAACCAGAGGTTACCATTGCAAGGAATTGCCTGTTCCCAGAAGTTAGAATTTATGTTTTCGAAGCTAAGCAACTATCATTGTAAGGAATTGCCGCTTGCGAAAGCTTGAAACTCACGGTTCCAAACCTGAAAAAGCATACGTTACCAGTGGAAGGATCTGTTGATTGCAAAAAGTTAGAACTCATGGTTCTTAATGTTGTTTTGTTTTGTTTACTGAGCCGGTAACAGAACCTTTTGTTTTGCTTAATGGACCGGTAGCGGAATGTTTGCGTTCGGCTGCTGGGCCGGCATAAAAATGTTTTTGCACGAAAAAGGTGCATGTCAGAATGATATGAAAACAGATTCTTTACAATTTTATAGTTTTACTTAATGGACCGGTACAGAATGCTTTGTTTTGCTTAATGGACCGGTACCGGAATGTTTGCGTTTGGTTCATGGCAAGGAACTGCTGGTTCCCAAAGGTTGGAACTCACGGTTGCCAACGTGGGAACCACAGGTCACAATTGCAAGGAACTGCCGGTTCCCAGAGGTTAGAAGTCACGGTTCCCAACCTGGGAGCCAGAGGTTACCATTGCAAGCAACTGCCGGTTCCCAGAGGTTGGAACTCATGCTTCCCAACCTGGGAACCATAGGTTACCATTGTAAAGAACTTCCAATTCCTAAAGGTTGGAACTGATGGTTCCCAACGTGGGAACCAAAGGTTACCATGGCAAGGAACTGCCGGTTCCCAGACCTTGAAACTTACGGTTCCCAACCTGGGAACCAGAGGTTACCATCGCAAGGAATTGCCGGTTCCCAGAAGTTAGAATTTATGTTTTCGAAGCTAAGCGGCTATCATTGTAAGGAATTGCGGGTTCCCAAAGCTTGAAACTCATGGTTCCAAGCCTGAAAAAGTAACGTTACCAGTGGAAGGATCTGTTGATTGCAAAAAGTTAGAACTCATGGTTCTTAATGTTGTTTTGTTTTGTTTACTGAGCCGGTAACAGAACCTTTTGTTTTGCTTAATGGACCGGTAGCGGAATGTTTGCGTTCGGCTGCTGGGCCGGCATAAAAATGTTTTTGCACGAAAAAGGTGCATGTCAAAATGATATGAAAACAGTTTCTTTACAATTTTATAGTTTTACTTAATGGACCGGTACAGAACGCTTTGTTTTGCTTAATGGGCCGGTACCGGAATGTTTGCGTTTGGTTCATGGCAAGGAACTGCCGCTTCCCAAAGGTTGGAATTCACGGTTGCCAACGTGGGAACCACAGGTTACCATTGCAAGGAACTGCCGGTTCCAAGAGGTTGGAACTCCTGGTTCCCAACCTGGGAACCATGGGTTACCATTGCAAGCAACTGCCGGTTACCAGAGGTTGGAACTCATGCTTCCCAACCTGGGAACCATAGGTTACCATTGCAAAGAACTTCCGGTTCCTAAAGGTTGGAACTGACGGTTCCCAACGTGGGAACCACAGGTTACCATTGCAAGGAACTGCCGGTTTCCCCAGACCTTGAAACTTACGGTCCCGCCAACCTGGGAAAACAAGAGCGCTCCATTGAAAGAATTGACCAGTTTCCCAGAACTTAGAATTTATGTTTTCGAAGCTAAGCAACTATCATTGTAAGGAATTGCCGGTTGCGAAAGCTTGAAACTCATGGTTCCAAACCTGAAAAAGCATACGTTACCAGTGGAAGGATCTGTTGATTGCAAAAGTTAGAACTCATGGTTCTTAATGTTGTTTTGTTTTGTTTACTGAGCCGGTAACAGAACCTGTTGTTTTGCTTAATGGACCGGTAGCGGAATGTTTGCGTTTGGCTGTTGGGCCGGCATAAAAACGTTTTTGCACGAAAAAGGTGCATGTCAAAATGATATGAAAACAGTTTCTTTACAATTTTTTGGTTTTGCTTAATGGACCGGTAAGGAACGCTTTGTTTTGCTTAATGGACCGGTACCAGAATCTTTGCGTTTGGTTCATGGCAAGGAACTGCCGGTTCCCAAAGGTTGGAACTCACGCTTGCCAACGTGGGAACCACAGGTTACCATTGCAAGGAACTGCCGGTTCCCAGAGGTTGGAACGCATGGTTCCCAACCTGGGAACAAGAGGTTACCATTGCACGCATCTGCCGGTCAGAGGTTGGAAAACCAGGCTTCCCCCAACCTGGGAACCATGGTTGACCATTGCAAAGACTTTCCAGTTACTAAAGGTTGGAACTGATGGTTTCCAACGTGAGAACCAAGGGTTCCATGGCCAAGGAACTGCCGGTTCCCAGACTTGAAACGTACGGTTCCCAACCTCGGGACCCAGAGGTTTACCATATGCAAGGATTTGGCCGGTTCCCAGAAGTTAGAATTTATGTTTCGAGCTAAGCGCGCTTCATTGTAAGGAACTGAGGGTTTCCCCCACCCCCCCACCCAAAGCTTGAAAACTCATGGTTCCCCCAAGCCTGAAAAAGTAACGTTTACCAGTGAGGATCTGTGATTGCAAAAAGTTAGAACTCATGGTTCTTAATGTTTTTGGTTTTGTTTATGAGCTGTACAGAACCTTTTTGTTTTGCTTCATGGACGGTAGCGGATGTGTGCGTTCGCTGCTGGGCCGGCATATATAAAATGTTTTTGCAGAAAAAGGTGCATGTCGAATGATTGAAAGCAGTTTCTTACAATTTTCTATGGTTTTGCCTGATGGACCGTACGAACGTCTGTGGTTTGCTTAAAGGACCGGGTTACCGGAATGTTTCGTTTTTTTTGGGTGATGAAAGAATTGCCGGTTTCCAAGAGGGAACCTCACGGTTGCCAAGTGGGAACCACAGGTTATATTGCAGGGGAACTGCCGTTCACAGAGGTTGGAACTCCTGGTTCCCCAAAACCTGGTACCATAAGTTACCCATTGCAAGCAACTGCCGGGTTGACACAGAGGTTGGAAACTATGCTTCCCAAACCTGGGACCATAGGTTACAATTGCAAAGATTTCAGTTCCTAAAGTTGACACTGAATGGTTACCCCAAGTGGGAACCAAAGGTTACCATGCCAAGACTGCGGTTCCCAGACCTTGAAACTTACGGTTCCCAACCTGGGGACCAGAGGTTACCATTGCAAGGAATTGCCGGTTCCCAGAAGTTAGAATTTATGTTTTCGAAGCTAAGCGGCTATCATTGTAAGGAATCGCCAGTCGCGAAAGATTGAAACTCATGGTTCCAAGCCTGAAAAAGCATGCGTTACCAGTGGAAGGATCTGTTGATTCCAAAAAGGTAGTACTCATGGTTCTTAATGTTGTTTTGTTTTTTTTACTGAGCCGGTAACAGAACCTGTTGTTTTGCTTAATGGACCGGTAGCGGAATGTTTGCGTTCGGCTGCTGGGCCGGCAATTTTTTGGACGAAAAAAGTGCATGTTAAAATGATATGAAAACATTTTCTTTACAACTTTGTGGTTTTGCTTAATGGACCGGTACCGGAATGTTTGCGTTTGGTTCATGGCAAGGAACTGCCGGTTCCCAAAGGTTGGAACTCACGCTTGCCAACGTGGGAACCACAGGTTACCATTGCAAGGAACTGCCGGTTCCCACAGGTTAGAAGTCATGGTTCCCAACCTGGGAACAATGAGTTACCATTGCAAGCATCTGCCGGTTCCAGAGGTTGGAACTCATGCTTCCCAACCTGGGAACCATAGGTTACCATTGCAAAGACTTTCCAGTTCCTAAGGTTGGAACTGATGGTTCCCAACGTGGGAACCAACGAGTTACCATGGCAAGAACTGCGGTTCCCAGACCTTGAAACTTACGGTTCCCAACCTGGGAAGCAGAGGTTGCCATTGCAAGGAATTGCCGGTTCCCAGAAGTTAGAATTTATGTTTTCGAAGCTAAGCGGCTATCATTGTAAGGAACTGCGGGTTCCCAAAGCTTGAAACTCATGGTTCCAAGCCTGAAAAAGTAACGTTACCAGTGGAAGGATCTGTTGATTGCAAAAAGGTAGAACTCATGGTTCTTAATGTTGTTTTGTTTTGTTTACTGAGCCGGTAACATAACCTGTTGTTTTGCTTAATGGACCGGTAGCGGAATTTTTGCGTTTGGCTGTTGGGCCGGCAAAAAAATGTTTTTTGCACGAAAAAGGTGCATGTTAAAATGATATGAAAACAGTTTCTTTACAACTTTATGGTCTTGCTTAATGGGCCGGTAAAGAACGCTTTGTTTTGCTTAAAGGACCGGTTCCGGAATGTTTGCGTTTGGTTCATGGCAACTGCCGGTTCCCAAAGGTTGGAACTCACGGTTGCCAACGGACAGCACCCTGCACGGCACCCTGCACAGCACCCTGCACAGCACCTTTGCCAGACTTCGCCACCGCAGTCTGGACAGCACCTTTGCCAGACTTCGCCACCGCACTCTGGACCCTGCACAGCACCCTGCACAGCACCCTGCACAGCACCTTTGCCAGACTTCGCCACCGCAGTCTGGACAACACCCTGCACAGCACCCTGCACAGCACCCTGCAACAGCACCCTGCACAGCACTTTGCAGACTTCGCCAAGGCAGTTCTGGACAGCATCGCAGAGACCCTGCATCAGCACCTGCCCAGACACCTGCACAGCAACCTTTGCAGACTTCAGCCCCGCAGTTGGACAGCACCCTCCACAGCAACCTTTGCCAGGACTTGCCACCCGCAGGCTGGACAGCACCCTGCACAGCACCTTTGCCAGACTTCGCCACCGCAGTCTGGACAACACTCTGCACAGCACCCTGCACAGCACCTTTGCCAGACTTCGCCACCGCAGTCTGGACAGCACCCTGCACAGCACCCTGCACAGCACCTTTGCAGACTTCGCCACCGCAGTCTGGACAGCACCCTGCACAGCACCCTGCACAGCACCTTTGCCAGACTTCGTTAGCGCAGTCTGGACAACACCCTGCACAGCACCCTGCACAGCACCCTGCACAGCACCCTGCACAGCACCTTGCCAGACTTCGCCACCGCAATCTGTACAGCACCCTGCACAGCACCCTGCACAACACCCTGCCACCGCAGTCTGGACAGCACCCTGCACAGCACCCTGCACAGCACCTGCACAGCACCTTTGCCAGACTTCGCCACCGCAGTCTGGACAGCACCCTGCACAGCACCCTGCACAGCACCCTGCACAGCACCCTGCACAGCACCTTTGCCAGACTTCGCCACCGCAGTCTGGACAGCACCCTGCACAGCATCCTGCACAGCACCTGCACAGCACCTTTGCCAGACTTCGCCACCGCAGTCTGGACAGCACCCTGCACAGCACCCTGCACAGCACCCTGCACAGCACCCTGCACAGCACCTTGCCAGACTTCGCCACCGCAATCTGTACAGCACCCTGCACAGCACCCTGCACAGCACCTTTGCCAGACTTCGCCACCGCAGTCTGGACAGCACCCTGCACAGCACCCTGCACAGCACCTTGGCCAAAAGTTCGCCACCGAAGACCCCACCTTTGAGAAGTAAGAACCCCTATAGCTTGCCAGCTATCTGGGGAAATATAAGCAGAAACAATAAATATCAAACTATATTTCTAAAATGAAAAAATATATTTTTTTCAATATATTCAATTGCCTTAAAATGATGTCTGTATATAAATCGAAGGAAAAATTGAAACTCAAAGATTTTTCAAGATGGGCACCAGTCCTAAGTCATCAGAACCTACATACTTACATCACATTACATTACAGTACATTACATTACACTACAGTACATTACATTACATTACAGTAAATTACATTACATACATGCACAGGACTTGGTGCACAAAATCGTACGTCACCAGAGGGGCACAAGTCCTAAGTCATCAGAACCTACATACTTACATTACACTACGGTACAGTACGGTACATTACATCACAAAACAGTACATGACATTACACTACAGTACATTACATTACACTACAGTACGTTACGTTACAGGACAGTACATTACATTACATTACATACATGCACAGGGCTTGGTGCACAAAATCGTATGTCACCAGAGGGGCACAAGTTCTAAGTCATCAGAACCTACATACATACATTACAGTAATTTACAGTACAGTACAGCACAGTACATTACATCACACTACAGTACGTTACATTACATTACACTACAGTACATTACATTACATTACACTACAGTACATTACATTACACTCCAGTACATTACGTTACAGTATGGTGCATTGCAGTACATTACATTATTACATACATGCACAGGACTTGGTGCACAAAATCTTATGTCACCAGAGGGGCACAAGTCCTAAGTCATCATGGTTTTACGAGTGGTCCATGCCGCACTTAAAAAATCAAACATAGTTTCTAATCTCATACGGACACCTGATGAGTTGGGACTTGTCCAGGGGGGGTCCGACGCATGATGAGATAGGACTTGGCCACCCCGGGGTATCTTTCACAAGTCCTAAGTCACTTGCTTGAAATATAATTACGCTGCACTACATCACAACTATAACTACGCTACCTTACGCTAGACTACACTACACTATACCACACTACACTACACGACACTACATGACATTACGCTGCACTACAATACACTAATTACACCACACCACGATTACAACTGCAACTGCGCTTGCAAATAAACTAATTCCACTACATCACAGCTACAGCTCCACTACGCTACACTACAACTACAGCTACAACTGCAACTACAACTACACCCAGTACACCACACTACATCCAGCAGTTGTGGTAAGGTGACCGCTGCAACCATTGCAAACATTCCAAAAAACACAACTCCAATCACCTGTCGGTCCATCAGTGGATTCGCTCTGCCATCCGTGATTCACAACAACCAACCTCTCCTATAGGTTTCCTATTTTTGAAACTTCAGCCACCGCCTTGTGCGGTACTACTGGTATCGTTTTATGTGATCTGAACATGTTCATACTTTTCACTCCAGGATGGCGCCACACCTTGGCCACCATCGTCCTGGGCGTGATGCCGTCCGGAACCACCAAGACATCAGTAGGAGAGTTTTGTTGGTGGTGGCATCCGATGGGAAGGGCCAGCACTGAGTGAAGATCTTCCTGATCTCCTCCCACTGGTCGGGGCGGAGTTGAAAATTCGAGCCTTGTTGCTTCTTTTGATCCGTGAACTTCTTGGTGCCTTTCTTCCACTCCTTCTGCGCCCTCAACATGGCTGCCTGGGACTCGGCCGTCTCTTTGCGTTCCAACTCGCTACTGAGCACTCGGCCCTCTCTGACGGCCGCGTGGGATGAGATGTGGTGTGGCCTGCCATGCTGTTGTAGAGGAGCATGTACACCGTGCTCAGCCACCACAGCATCTCTCCATCGGCCACCACGGCACCGCATGAGTGCTGAAGGGATGTGCTGAACCCTGCGTTTTCTCATGTCAAACAATGCGACCACTTTTAGGCAACCCTTCCACGCTCTGAGCGCTGAAGGGACCCTGTGTTTTCTCATGTCCTTCCACGCTGCGTTTTCTCAGTGATCTCAAGTGCAGACAAGTGACCACTTGTGTGTGCTGGCGTCTCTCGGTCTGCATTCCAAATTATTCCACAAGGTGCCAAGATGCTGGGAGCCCTAGCACCTTGCACCATGCAGTGCATCATCTTCTGGCACGATAGCCTCAGGCTCTTGCGCCATGGTCTCAGGCTCTTGTGCCATGGTCTCAGGCTCTTCTTCCGCAGCCTCGCCCTTTGCTGCGACTTCCCATCGCTTCATATCGCAGCCTCGCCCTTTCTGCGTTCAGGTGTTCCCGTTGCACCTCCATTTGCAACTGACATCTCTCTGTCTCCAGCTGCGCCATCTTCAGTGGAATTCATGCTCTCGTCGCTGCATCTCCTTCTCCTTGCGCTGCATCTCCAGCATACTCTGGAGCTTCACCTTGTCCATCTGACTTTCCATCAGCTCTTCGGTCTTGGCTTGAAGGCTTCTGGACATATCCACACACATCTGTAAGCTCTGAACTGGCACCATGGGCTGGACCATAGGCATCATACCAGATACAGGCGCTAGAGGTTGCACTTCACGAGCCGCAGGCACCAGCGCTAGACTTGTCGGTTGGCTCTGGTTGGCTCTCTCCATTTCCTCGATCTCTCTGCGTGCCTGCCTGGCTTCTACCGCAAAGGCTAGAAGGTCGGACCAACTCCTGTCCCCATCCAGTTCAACAGTCCTTGGCGCCACTGCAGATGCCACTGGAGGTGCCTCCTCGATCTCTCTGCGTGCCTGCTTGGCTTCTACCGCAAAGGCTCGAGGGTCGGACTGACTTCGGCGCCACTGCAGGTGCCACTGGAGGTGCCGCAGTGCTGCCGGGCACCATAGTCTCTTGGAGCCATAGCGGCAACATTTCATCAGGTGGGCTATCGCACATTTGAGATGCGGCAACCATCGGGGTAAAACCCTGGACACATCCTTGTGTGTCCCTCACAAGAGGAGACCTTGCGGCGAGGTCCCTGCGCATGGTCGGACTACACCGTTTGGTCTCACTCATCCGTCTTAAGCCAAAAAGGTATCGATGATTCTGAGCTTCAAATCTAACTCTGGGCCGCTGGGCCACTAGGACCACTGGGAGGCCGCTGGATGTGAAGGATGCCATGGAAACTAAAAAAAAACATGCCTGGTGAAAACTCAAAAAACACATGGCGACCTCCCAGAGTAACAACAGCTGAAGCAGTTGAAAGTTCTTTATGGTTCCAAAAGTTCATAAAACTTCGAGGCTGAAGCTCTGCCAAGTAAGGTGTCCCACAAAAGTAACATGGCGCTGGATTTGGTCCAAGTTTCCATGGGCAGTCCTATTGCCCTGAGGACGGCAAGTCTTACATGCTGCCCCTTCTCCTGACACACCATGGATGCTTCCAGCACCTTCAAAGGTCATGGAACGCTCTCAGTAGATCCAGGCCTTTCACATTCATCATCCTAATATCGACAAAGGGATGTGCATAGTTGAAAGATGTTGAAAGTGCAAAGATTTAGACATGGATGAAGCCCTATATCCCGGTATCGTAGAAGCTCAACGATCCATGGCTATGCCAGTCTCCCCAGGCCCAAATCCTGTCAAGCACGTGAATGGCTCGCACAAATTGTCCAATGTCTTCACATATCCAGGACGACACTCTGCGCATTGGCCATCTGCAGTGCGGAGACTCTGGGAGACACATTCGCTGCAGCCCTCATCCGCTTTGCAGGTGTAAGGGATGCACTGGAATTTGGCATTGCGGTAGAATCCCTTGTTGCACTCCTGAGAATGCAAGCGACCACAACTGTTTTTCGGGGTAACAAACCACATTGCCCCTCAACTTTGCCTTGTTTTACTAGCTGCTGATTCTGGAATGGGATTCTGGGTATTTCATGTTCACCTGGGTTTTCAACCCATAAGCACAATAGTTTCGGCTGTTTTAAATCTCCAAGGGTTTGGCGCCAACCTCAAAGGTCACGAGATCAGCGTTTCCATCAGAAAAAGTTGAATGGAAAAAGGGGACAATCATAGTTGAATCATGTGGGTGAAACAATAATAAACGGGTTCAGAATAGTTTTTGTTTTTTTGGCTCAGGTTTTGGATTCTTTTGGTGGCTTTCTTTTCCGGTAGCATTTGCCTTGTATTTGCAACAGTTTGGAACTAGAATCTGTCATTTTGCATGGTATTTGTTGCATTTTGGCATGGTTACTTTGCATTTTGCATGACATTTGCTGCATTTGGCCATGTTCGCCTTCCATTTTGCATGGTATTTGCCATGTTTTGGTACTTCAACCTCTCATTTGCATCGTATTTGCTACATTTTGGTACTTCAAACGTTCATGTGGGTTTCTTGAGACGTTCTTTAGGCTTTCATTTAGGGTTTCATTGGGTTTCATTTAAGGTTTCATTTACAGTAGGGTTTCATTAGGATTTCATTTACGGTTTCATTTAGGGTTTCATTTAGGGTTTCATGTAGGGTTTTTTGTGTTTCATTTAGACTTTCATTTAAGTTTCTTTAGGTTTGGGGTTTCTTTAGAGTTTCATTTAGGGCTTCTTTTTAGGGTTTCATTTAAGGGTTTCTTATCGGGATGTCTTATCAGGATTTCCAAACGTCCATGTGGGTTTCTTTGGGGCTTCTTTAGGGTTTCATCTAGGGTTTCATTTAGTGTTTCTTTAGGGTTTCATGTAGGGTTTCTTTAGGGTTTCATTTAGGGCTTCTTTAAGGTTCATTTAGGGTTTCTTTAGGGTTTCTTTAGGGTTTCTGTCGGGTTTCATGTAGGGTTTGATTTAGGGATTCTTTAGGGGTTCATTAAGGGTTTCATGTAGGGTTTCTTATCAGGATTTCTTATCAGGATTTCCAAACGTTCATGTGGGTTTCTTTAGGGCTTCTTTAGGGTTTTTTAGGGTTTCATTTAGGGTTTCTTTCGGGTTTCATTTAGGGTTTCAGGTTTCTTTAGGGTTTCGTTAGGGTTTCTTTAGGGTTTTATTTAGGGTTTCGTTTACGGGTTCTTCAGGGTTTCAGTTTGGGTTTCATTCAGAGTTTTTTAGAGCGTCGTTTAGGGTTTCTTTAGGGTGCCATTTAGGGTTTCATTCAAAGTTTCTTTTGGGTTTCATTTATGGTGTCTTTAGGCGTAATGTATGTTTTTTTTTTTGTTTTTTAGGGTTTCATGTAGGGGTTTCTTATCAGGAGTTCTTATCAGGATTTCTTTAGGGTTTCTTTGGGTTTCACCTAGGGTCTTTCGGGTTTCATTTAGGATACAAACAGGAAGAAAAGAAGCTGGTAAAGTAGAGAAGTAGAGAAGCATGAAAAGCAGAGAAGAAGGAAAAGCAAAAAGCAGGAAAAGCAAAAAGCAGAAAAAGCAGAGAAGCAGAAAAAGCAGAGAAGCAGAAAAGCAGAGAAGCAGGAAAAGCAGAAAAGCAAAGAAGCAGAGAAGCAGGAAAGCATAGAAAACAGGAACAAAAAAGAATCTGCGGCGAAAAACAAAACAAAAATAAATAGCCCTCCATAATAAATCACCCATTTGGGAATGGTTTATACCACCTATCAAAATTGTGATTTGGGGGATGGTGTATGGCATTTTGTTTACCCACATTACCAATCACCTAAAATCGGCAGGTCGGGGGTCCCCTTGGGACCAATCTCTTCAACCAAGCTTCCATGCACTGGTTTTCTGCCGTGCGAGCGTCTTGTATCAAGCATTCCTGGCACAAGGCACCTCGGCAGCGAAATTTGCAATGCCTACCATGTCGATGTTCTCCAAAACCAATACGCGTCAAATTTGCAGATGCAAAAATGCAAAACACAACCAACCCGAGGAACCCAGGTTGCCAACCCTGCCTTGGCCAACGCTGCAAGAGAATTCTTTGCAGGTGCCGTTGCTCAAGAAGAAACCAGGATTGCACTCCGCACATTCCTGCGGCTTTTTCATCATTATCTTGGACTTCGGCACATTTTTTTGTCTTTTGTGTTTTGCATTTCCTGATGTTTTTCAGGTTTTGCCACAGAATCTTGCAACATCCTACTCGTCAAATCAAACAGGATTCCAGCCAACGCCGTGAAGACCATGAAGTGAACATCATAAACCCACTGGCTGTCCCACCTCATCTTGAGTTCGCAATGCCAGCGGTTTGCATGTCTTGCACGCTGCACCGGCACCACTATTGCACACGTATGGCCTGCACATGGAATCCTTCAACTCATAGCCGGCATTGCAGGCGCTGCACTGGCTGTCCATGCCCCGGGAGGTCTGATCCTTGCACGTCTTGCAGCTGGAATTCTCTCCAGTGCTGCACTGGTAAGGTTCACAAGTGAAGCTGCTGGAGAGACGGTACCCAAAGTTGCACCTCTCGCACTGATCATCACCTTAGCCAGTCTCGATTCTTCCCCACCTCTCAGTGAAAATAAAGCAGGACCAGAAAAACTGCGTCATTTCATCATTTCATCATCTTCATCCAGCTAGGGCCGTAAAGGTGAGAATGAGGTCTCCTTAAATCCACGATGATCCATCTCATTGTTCAGACCTTTGGAATCTTCACCCATCTTAGCCAATCTTCAACCGAAATCCAACCAGAATTTCAACCAGTTGGATCCAACATATTCAAGGACCACTGGTGACCACTGGTGATGTGGACCTTTCAAGCCAGCGACTGGTCAAGCGTGCCAGGTCCCTACATCTGTTGCAGGCATTTCCAGCCCCCGTGCTGCAGCTGAACGGGATACAGGTCAGGTCTTCGCTCAGCAAATGTCCTGAAAAAGGCGGTTCAAGGCGCAACGCGGCGCAACAGGGTTCAACGCACAGTGTCGAGCCCAAGGAAAGCACGCAATAGCAATGACGATGATGGGACAAAGAGAAAGAAGAACAATAAGAAGAAGAAGAAGAAGGCGGAGAGCAACTATCTGGTTGTTGCTTTGAACCCTCTGCAAAATACACCAATTCAAATAACACAGTGGGGATCATCCTGGAAGCGTCATCCACATGTCCTGCATTGCATTCTTGGCACTGATTCGGCCCAGTGCGATCGGCCAAAGGCCGACAAACCTTGCAAGCCGCACCAGCACCGCTCATCTTGCAGGGCCATGGTTTGCAAAAGAAGTCCTCCGGATGCTGGTCATGTGCTGCGCCCACAGTAGGGTTTAGAGGATCGAAATTGCGTGCACTATCCACACATATCCACACTCTTTCACACCTACAGTATATCAATGCACTGACTATAACTCCATCTTTTTGCTCTCTTGAGAGTCTTGGTGCTGCAATGAGGAAAGCAAATGTTTCTGAAGCACATGGCAAGCATCATCATCCAGGAAATAGCCCTCATTGCACGCTGAACACTGCCCCTTGGCGGTGCGATGCTCTTGTGCGCGACAGGTCTTGCACCCTGAGGCTGGTGAAGGGTGACATTCGAAGGCGCGGCAGGCACGGTCGATGGTGAGGTAGTAGCCTGTCATGGTTCCACGAGCTGATCCATTTTCAAACGGAGTAATCCTTTCCGTGGACCCCGGTGCTGGTGAAAATTCAGATCAAGGTTTGGATTCCAAGAATGGGATCCACTAGAAGCACAAGTGCAGAAAAAGAAATGACGTACCCTCCGGCGGATTGCCATGGCAACAGAAAGTGTTCCAAAAATTCGATCAAAATTTCATGCCGTCCCGGTGGTTACCATTGCCATGTCAAACGACCAGGAGATCAGCTGAGGGACCCCGGTTGCAATCGTCGCACTGTGTTCTGTCGGAGGTGCATCTTCTACACTGATGCCCAGGGCCCGTGGTACAATCGACGGCAACGCACGAGACGTTGTCAGCAGCCAACCTGGGCACTGGGCACAGAAACATCCCTGCCACCTCGAAGGTTGAAATGTGTATATGCATCTGGTGAGCCTTATCATTATCATTATTGTATATTAAATTGTGGGAAATTTCTGTTATTATTACGTGAAGCAAGCAAATACAACCACAGTAGAAAGATCTGAAAGGGTTCAACTCATTGAACCCATCTTTGCAAATCGGAAGTGGCGCAAACCCTTCATTGCAGCTGGCACATTGCTGGTCACTCCGTCTGGACGCTAAGAGCTGGCACGTTTTGCAACCTGCATCAGCTTGGTTTGGAGTGCACTCGTAGGGTCGGCAGCTACCATCTGGCATGAGCTCATAGCCAGCATTGCACTCCTTGCTGACGTGAACTCCAGGAATGTGGTGAAAGTCAAACTGAAACACTTGTCATGAAGCGGCTGTTTGCGGGCTTCCAGGTCAAACAGAAAGCAGATAGCTACTCTCCCAAATGCTCCCATCGTGCACATGGCACCAATACCCAAACCAACCCAAAGACAGAAAACCCGCAAACGCTCACCAAGACAAGCTAAGGTTCTAGACATTCCCCATCATGAGTAGCTTCTTTTGAGGAAGCGCATGACTTGCAGGCACTTCCTGGGCCCTCATTACATCTGTGCGGAATGCACATGAAGGTTTCGGGCCCCAGGCGAAATCCCACGTTGCATTCAGCACATTGGTTGTCTGCCCGGCGATCTGCCTGTTTCCTACATGCCTTGCAGGGATGGCCCAGACCCACCTCAGTGCACTTGAAGGGATGGCAACTGCCATCCGCATGGAGTTGATATCCGGGGTTGCACTCCTGGCACTGATCAATGGCTGTTCGATCGATCTGCGCCTTGCAAGCCTTGCAGCCAGCGCCATGGCCTTCCTGGGACAGGGAAACGAGGCATTTAAGGCTTAAAAGGAGGGGAGAAGGTAGAAAGGCTTGGTGAAAATTGCGGTGATTTTGAAGAAACCTCCGTGGAAAGGGGGCTGAAAATTGCGGCACAGCATCTCTGCAAGGCCATGGCGTGCACTTTTCGGTGTCTGAATCCAAGTAGTACCCAAGGTTGCACTGGGAGCATTGGCCTCTGCAGCTCAGCAGAACGCGAGTTGCATCAAGAGGAAAATCAGGGTCCAAACCCTGAGTTATATGATAAATATGCCCATGTTCCCAGACAAATATTGCACAAAACTTTTGAGAGCGAGATGAAAAATCGCTGAAATAGCAAGCAAAGAGCCATCTGCACTTGTTGAAGCAAGTGCTTTGCACACTTTGCAGGCGGCCCCTCCACCAGTGCGGCAGACCAAGGGTTTGCACTGCAGGTCAGACGTCAACCTCGGTCACTGGATCTGTCAGTGGCGGGGTTTGCTCCTTGCTACTGCTGAAACGAAGCAGAAAAGATGCTACCTGAAATGGGTATGGCAACACCTCAGCAAACAAGATAGACAAAGTTGAGGCATGCAATGGTTTTAAAAAAATGCAGCTCCTTCCTAACAAAAACAACCTTCCAGAAAGCCTACTCATTTTGCAGGCCCATGTCCAGGCAAGGCGCTGATAGCCAGTATTGCAGGAGAGGCATTGCCCACCAGCTGTCCGGTTGCTTTGAGGCACCTGGGCGTGGATTCAGGGGGACTGTACAGTGTGTTGCTTGGAGCAAGGTGGAGGCAGTCCATCTACCGCACCCTACCCTGGTGCAAACATAAGCGAAACCAATGAAGCCAGCAAACGCACTTCTTGCAGGAAGGCCCATCACCCTCAATACACGGCAGAGGATTGCAGGCACCTGTCACAGAGTCACACAGGCTGCGATGGAACACTAATACATCTTGCATCTTTTGCTGACGATTTGGGGTTGAGAAATTTGCGTGGCCATGAATCAAAGAACCCATGTAGTGCAAAAACTTCAAGAGGTGCACAGGGCAAGAGAGGATGCCAGCTCATTCGGACAAACGGCTGGATGATGTCCCAAATCGGCTAGAACCTCCTATGAGTTGAAAACCAGCATGACACGAAGAGCAATGGTTGTCTCCGGTCCTCCACACCATCAAATGTGGGAAAGGCAGCTGTTTGGAAAGACTTCTGCTGCATCCACCCCAGCAACTACCATGCGTCACTGTTGTTGCGGCTCAACAGGGCGGACAAGCACCTCTCCGGAAACCCTTTCAGCCCTTCAGTCCTCAAGTGCAGGGGCTGGCAGCCAGCACATCCACGCCCATCTGCCGTGATCTCGCAAGCGAAGGAAGAACATGTGAAGGTCTCCTTGGCACAGCTTTCTGCCGGTGCGGGGGTAGATTTCAAGCTGCAATCTGAATCCTGTAGGTGCCAAAACGTCCATCTCTTAGCAGGTTCCGAAGAAATCTACTACACTACTTGCGTGTTTTGGTCGATCTGCCATCTGCCCAACCAGACATACAGCCAGGCAGCTGTATTCAGCCAATATCCAGGGTTGCATGTTGCGCATTGGTTGTCCGCGGATCGCAGCTCTTGCTTCCTGCAGCTGGCACAAGCATCGCCAATGCCAACCTCGCAGGTGATCGGAATGCATTCCTCGCTTTCAGACAGGACATAGCCTGGTGGACACTCCTGGCAGACTTCGGTCTCAGGCTGGGCCAATGTTGCTTGATGTTTCTTGGCTGCTGATTGGATCTTCTCAGTTTTTGGCGGACATGTTCGCAGGGATAATGGATCCAAGTTTTCTGTCAGGGGCTAATTGCTGCAGCCCAACCTCAAAAACTCTCTTCATCCCTTCATTGCCTTCTCATTCTGAAAATGACATCTCTGTAGTTTATTTAGGCAAATGCAGTGTGATACGGTCATGCGTTCATGTTGTATCAAATACCATTGCAAACTCTTAGGCAAGATCTGCGCTCCTTCTTCTTCTTCTTGTGGGCAGTGCCATTCAACGTAGAACCCTGCTGCGCAGCTGTCCTGTTACCGAAATCTTTGCTGCTGGTGTGGGCGGCAACTCGAGGGAAAAAAGAAAGTAGGGAATGGATTCAAAGCAAATGCTGCAGGCAAGCCCAACCTTAAGAAAAAACGAACTTTTTGTACATTGAATACATCTATAGTGATCTATGTAATGGGCTATCGGTTGTTGTCTGATTTCTGGTTACAACCAACCAAAAACCCTTTCCACCATAGTCCAACCACTTCTGTTCACGCCTCTGAAAGGCATCCACATCTTGGTCACGGGACAGCAAGCCCGTGTGAAAAACGGTGACGATGGGTTCGTCCTCCGCTCTCATGGCAGTTTTATGAAGATCAGGAAGACATGACAAGATTGAACACGGACGGGTATGGCTCAAATTTCGAGCCCCCATGGAATCAGAACCACAATTCTTGACCAGGATCCAGGCCTCAGATGCGAGAGGCACCCAGCCGGATCCCCACCTCGGTCGCAGCAGTTGAAAATGCGGGGGAAAGGCCAGGCGACGCTTGAAAAATCATTGAGAGCCCCTGCGATCTGCTATGGGATGCCTTCATTGCCTTGGAACCAGCTGGATGTTGAAGTCATGGTGATAGGTAATGTTGACAATATTCATCACCGAAATGTATTATTCATTGGTATTGGTATTGGTATTGGTATTGATATTGATGATGATGATGATGATGGGAATGTTATTCACCAGTTCCAAGGCGATTCATTGGAATGCTGAATCTCAGTGTCAATTCTCAACAGCACGCGGTTGCCTCGCCTTTGCCATGATTAGAGTCAGCCACGCCATCACTGGTAACAAATAACTATATAGTCCCAGCCACATCGTTTAAGCTGCATAGGCTGCAGATCAACAGCAGTTGCAGCACCTTGCTGGAAGGCTGAGAGTTTGACCAGCAGACTAAAATCACACCAGGATGATACCAGAATATTTGGCCCTGCACCATGGTTTGCTTCATTGGTTTCTCTCTTTTCGGTGCGGGTGGCAAAAGCCACGCAACACCCAATGGAAAGCTACAGTTAGCTCCTGGCAGGCGCCCAACACAAGCGAATACGGTACGTCTACTCAAACTTGCAAGTTGGGGACTGTTTGGGCAAATGGCCCATGATCAGACCGACAAACTCAATGAACTCCACGAAGCTAGTGACCAAGAGCGGTTCCGGCCCATCAAAAATGGTGATTGAGCTGCGCCTGCTCATCTCTATTGATAAATCGTCATTTGGGGACCTTGATTATATTCTTTCCTTCGGCCGCGTCCGTCCAGTTGAGCAAGGAATTGCACAAATGAGCAGCGTTCAACACCTTCATACTGGTTGGTCAATTGAGATTCCCAGAGTGCGTGATATACATATATATATATATATTATATATATATAATCCCCATTAATCCCCAATAGCCCCCTACCATCATCAACCATCAGTTCATCAGTGGTTTGGAACACAAATATGTTCACCCGCTCCTTGTCCCCTTTCCTGCCTTAGCTGCATTCCACAGTAACAATGACAGTGAACCGTGAAACGTATGTATTTCTGGAACCACGGTGGACTATCTGGAGTAAAACGAGTCGAAGGTTGTGAAGGACTTTGAGAATCCTTCATCCTTGCCTCTCCTGAGGATTGTTGTGGTGCCTGTGCTTCGCACAGAGAGGCCAACTCCAAAACCATGATAAGCGCAACAAAGGGTCTGCGAACAGGTTCAGGGACAAGAAGTAGGATGAGAGGGTCGCGGAAGCAAGTGAGCCTCCACCAGGTAAGTTGCACGACTTGCACTGGAAACTGGACCAGTCAACCAATGCTCGCGACCTCGTGCATAGAATGTATGAACATATTGTCATCATATACACCACTATTGATCAAAACCCTGGCAGGCTGGTTTTCGGATCAAACTAGCGTAACTAGCTGATTGCTTCTGGATTTTCATCCCCTTTAGGAAACTCAAAAGCGGCCCCCAGCCTACAGCAGCTCACATGATCCGACCCATTAGAGCCGACTCGAGCAGCACCCAGCTGGGGCTGCAGAGGGCTGCTTTTTTGAGCCAACAGGTGACGAAAAAACAGACAGAAAGGCCGTATCAAACATGGCACGCCTGGATTTACCTTGGGCTTTCATTTCATAAACCTCTGGTAAAAGAAACAGTAGGAACACGTTCATTGGTTATGAGGGAATGGGTCAACTCAGTGGGGTACCAACAGACCGGACAAATGGCTGGTCATTATCATTTTTAGAGTTAAATAACATCCTCCATTTCGGCCAATTCTCTATCTATACGCAAAAGGCTTTGTTCTGAAATTGGGCACCCTGGTTGTTTAATTGCCAGTTCTTGGTGGTATACAATTCAGATCTACCCCTGTGGTAATGCAACTTAGCAATAGGAAAACCTTTGTTCAAGGTGAATCATCTACAAGTGGATGATTTTCGGTTGCTCAATTTGCCATATGTTTGATCTCCTGATGGTATCCACGTTCAAATGGACAAACCCAAAGAGTATTTGATGATTAAACAGGTTAAACAGGTTAAACATGTCAAACCATACCCCATTTTTAGATAAACCCATTACTTGATGCTCAAACCCATTACTCCCTTCGTGCCGGTGATACCCGCGGAAAACCCCCCAAAGAATGGTGAAGTCCCCAGAGATCCCCGAAGAACCGGTGATCCATGGTGCCTCCTGGCCCGTTCGCTGGCTTCTGCCTCAGAGTTCACCAGCTTGCTGCGCAGGCAGGACGTGTCCTGGGAAACATGTGACCATTCCTGGAAACCTCATCAAGAGTAGGTGATTTAACCAACAAAAATGTGGGCTTTTTTCTGGAGGTTCTCCCAAAATGAAAAGTGGGATTGTGCATCAAGAAGTGTTGTTCACAACAATAAAAAGTGGTGATGTGCCCAAAAAAAAGCCGGTTTCACCATCACGAATGTGGATTCCTCAAGAGTCGGGGCATCATTGGATAAAAAAGTGAGGCCTCCGGGATCATATGGGTATTCACCAGAGGATTTCGGTATGACCATCCCCTGGCGGTCTGAAAATTGCCGATTTTTTTCAGCGCATGTATATGATGCATATGGATATATATATATATATGGAATGGTTATGAACCTCGGCATTGAGCCGTTTGGCGTTTGGCGTATGTGCCTGGCCGGTGGTTTCAAACCCTGAAAATATCAGTGTGAGGCCATCATCCCATAGAGGCCTTTGTACAACTCAACCGGCACATTGAGGCCCCATGAAGTGAACCAACCCTTCAAGCCAAAGGAAACATCATAGCGCGACATATGCCGAGCCAAGAGTTGACTTTGAGCCATTTACGCACTATTTCCTCCAAGGGAAAACGGCAACAAATTAGGCTGTAAAACACATGCGACACAATTCAAATCCTATAAAATCATAGAAATGCTTTAGAGAATCCCAAAAAATCCGCCCGCACCGAAGGTGCCGAGGCGTTTTTTGTGTGCCTGCGTGAACCGTTAGCAATTGCATTATAGCTAATAAGCTTTAGCTTGGGGGGGGCTTTTGCTCTAGAATCCTATGTTTTTGCATGTTTTTCAAAAGGGGTCAAAATTCTTGATCTGGGCCAATATAGGCCAAAAATGGGTCAAGATAGGCCCAACATAGGCCCAACATGAGCCTAAGATAGGCTCACATGGGGCCAACATAGCCTCAAATGGGGCCAACATACCCTCATATGGGGCCAAGATAGCCTCATACGGAGCTAACTCCTTAGACTTCCCGAATCCATTACACTTGGTGCGGGCGGTTTTCGTCGCGAAGCGACTGTGAATATCAAATCCATGCAAATCCCATATAATTCATATAATCCATGGATTCATATCATATCCTATAAAAGGTTTACCCAGGTTCGCTGAAAAACCCAAGAAGTTTCGGCCAAGTCCTGACGCAGCTGTTCGAATGCGCGGTGCTCAGCGGTGAGGTCGCTCAAGTGGGACTGCCACAAGCTTAACCTGGAGCCCCGGGAGCGAACAGCGCCCAGCACGACCCTCAAAATCCTCAAATAATCCACCACCATCCAGGACCATCTGACCATATTGATATTTTGGGCAAATCATGGGGCGCACAAAATGAATCAACACACTTGCCACTTGCCACCTGGCCAAGTTTTAAAGACTTGGCATCCAATCATCCATTTTGGGAAGGCCCACGAATATGTTTCGATAGTTTGAAGCTAATCTGAGCTTCGCTGGATTTCCTGGGGGCTGGGCTGCTTGCGCATCTCATCCTGAAACCCACCAGTTCGCTTTTGAGGCTTCAGATTACAGCTGAATAGACAGTAATTATGGAGCATGGAATTGCATGTGGCATAGATTATCATAGGTGCCTAGAAAAGATGTGCCTCTGGTTATGCTGCACCAAATTCTTCACCCAATCCACAGTGTCGACTCTGAGACCGCTGCGAAACTCATCATCTCCGCGTCAGCAAGAGGCCTCGTCGGAAAAATTGAACGTATCACACTTGAGAACGAAATGTCATGCCATCATCATAGTATATCATCCTACCTGTGTGATCAGTATTCAATGTATTCATGAACTCTAAGTAAATATAGTAAATATGTTCAGTGTAATGTTAGTAAAGCAAAATCATAAACCCCCATGGATCTATACACCCATATGGTTTATGATTATAATCTATAGATGATTATACCACCCATGGATCAAAATCTATATGGTTTATACCACCCATCACAATGCTGATGACTTGGGGCTGGTTGAAAAACGCCTCGCCTAGGATCTGCCTCTTGTGGAGAGCCAGCGCTGGGGCGACGACGCCCAACATCCTGCAGGGGTTGACCCAAAAAAAATTGGATGCAGATGGTGAAATATGGTGAAATATGTGGATTCAATGGGATTTGATGTGGATTCAATGGGATTTGATGTGGATTCAATGGGATTTGATGTGGATTCAATGGGATTTGATGGGGATTCAATGGGATTTGATGTGGATTCAATGGGATTTGATGGGGATTCAATGGGATTTGATGGGGATTCAATGGGATTTGATGGGGATTCAATGGGATTTGATGGGGATTCAATGGGATTTGATGGGGATTCAATGGGATTTGATGGGGATTCAATGGGATTTGATGGGGATTCAATGGGATTTGATGGGGATTCAATGGGATTTGATGGGGATTCAATGGGATTTGATGGGGATTCAATGGGATTTGATGGGGATTCAATGGGATTTGATGGGGATTCAATGGGATTTGATGTGGGATTCAATGGGATTTGATGGGGATTCAATGGGATTTGATGGGGATTCAATGGGATTTGATGTGGATTCAATGGGATTTGATGGGGATTCAATGGGATTTGATGGGGATTCAATGGGATTTGATGGGGATTCAATGGGATTTGATGGGGATTCAATGGGATTTGACGGGGATTCAATGGGATTTGATGGGGATTCAATGGGATTTGATGGGGATTCAATGGGATTTGATGGGGATTCAATGGGATTTGATGGGGGTTCAATGGGATTTGATGGGGATTCAATGGGATTTGATGTGGATTCAATGGGATTTGATGGGGATTCAATGGGATTTGATGTGGATTCAATGGGATTTGATGGGGATTCAATGGGATTTGATGGGGATTCAATGGGATTTGATGGGGATTCAATGGGATTTGATGGGATTCAATGGGATTTGATGTGGATTCAATGGGATTTGATGGGGATTCAATGGGATTTGATGGGGATTCAATGGGATTTGATGGGGATTCAATGGGATTTGATGTGGATTCAATGGGATTTGATGGGGATTCAATGGGATTTGATGTGGATTCAATGGGATTTGATGTGGATTCAATGGGATTTGATGGGGATTGAATGGGGATTTATCGGGGTTTACTGAGAATATGATGAGTGATATGCTCGTCAGTATACTTTGCTAAAGCAAAGGCAACTCCAACTAACTACCGCTAGCTTTCGTGATTAACCAAAGGGTATCACATCTGTATATTGTCTTGTCTTTGTCTCGTGTCAAGCATAGGCATCACAGCCCTCTGGCGGTACCTAAGCTGGCTTCAGAGGAGTTTTGCTGATCAAGTCATAGAGACAGAGAGGTAGGAGATAAAGGGGAAGGGACGAACGATAGGTCACCGATCGCACAAGTCTAATATGATCCCAGCATCTTTGGCATCTTTGACATTCTTTGACATTTTAGCCTACATAGTTTCCATTCTTGATGTTAATATCGAATTTCTTCATGCGGCTGACCGGTGGTTCCATCTTCCCGTCCTCCCCTCCCAAGCTGCGGCGCTTCTTTGGCGTCTTGTAGGCTTCCACCTTACAGCAACATCTGCCACCTGATTCCACCTTGACTTTCCAGAAAAGTCAAGTTATGCCAAATTCTTACTCCCAAACTACTCCCAACACACAACCAAGTCGATTCTGAAGCATAGAATTGGTCTCATCTCAACTTCCACCCAGGAGCCGGGAGCGCTTCATTGCTGCGATCACGTAGGGGAGAAGATCGCGCCAACACCTGTTGCAGCCGTAGCTACTCTGACTGATGCACTGAGAAATGTCATGACCAACATGGTCATGGAAAAATCATGAAAAAAATATGAAAAACTATTGAAACTGAAACTCTGCATGCCACCCCACCGTTGAATCCTGGCAACTTGTCCAGAAAGCAAAGTAGCCAGACCACCGTGTCGAAAGTCGTTTCTTGGGGGGTCATTTCTGGCACCTGCTTTGCGGATGAGCTGCTACAGTGCTACATTACCTGATTGCCTGTTCTTTCAAGCTGCAATATGAATCTGGCCCTGAACTCCACACCAGATCCAAAGGTTCATCCATGGTCGTCTCGCCAGGTGCAACCTGACAAGCGAGTCCACCGGCCATCCTCTCGACATGCTATGCATATCACGGCTGCAAAATCGACTTCCAGATGTTCAACTAGGACCTAGGATCTTCCAGCACTCTTCTTGGCTCTTGGTTCCAGAAATCCCATCTGGGATGTGATCCCCCCAAAAAAAAAATCTAACAATTGTATTAAT